AGCCTTATTTTCTTCTTCTCCTCTCCCTCCCTCGAGGCTTGGTCTCTTTTTACCTTATACACAGCTCGCAATCTCTCTGGATTTAATACTCTATCCGTCTTCTGCAGACCTCCTGGTTGACCTCTGTCACATCAACTTCCTGTTTGGAAAGTTGCTTCTCACAGTTGCTTCTCACAGTATTGTTGCAATTATTTTCACCCTGAGCTTGTTATAAGGCCCCCAGCAGTAGGGTCCCATTCATCTAGCTAGGCAGTCGCATCACACGTGTGCCTGTATCCTCCAGCAGAAAGTTAATGACGCGCTGTGCTCTGTGCACCTCTCTACTGTTTTTTTGTCACTTCTTCCACAAATGACATTTAGACGCTGAACTCCAGACGTCTTTCCAACAAGGTGCTCTCACAATATTGTCCAACGCGTAGGAAAAGGTCAAACGCCATATTCTCTCAGCTCACTCTTACACTACCATTGATTTTTAAAGAATGGCTCCACACCAAGCACAATTACATGCGCTCCTCCCTCCTGGTTTAAGTGCTGTTCGCTTTCTGAAGTCAATCCACTGTTTAGAGCAGCTGGTTTTATATTCCAGGCTGCAACTATGTTTTTTTCATTATCACAGCTGGAAGATATCTTCCCCTCAGCCTCAAATATGAAAGCAACCTTAAGGTTGATAAAAAGAGGGGAGCGTCTCTTGTGCAGCGCTTACACAATGGGAGCAACACAAAGCAGAACATCATCCAGGCAAAACAGCCGATTTGTTTTGACGGTGTTTTCTATTATCTAAACAAGAAAGACTTCGAAAAATTGTAGCAATAAAAAAGTCGGCCCCTCGCGGAAGATTGTTAAAAGTTCTCTGCGGCCTGCTGGAGCGGGAGGGCTAGTAGGAGGAGTTGGCCGTCCGGCTGCGGTCTGGGGTGTGGGGCCTCCCTGCTGCTGCGGAGTCGGGGCGGTCTGCCTCTCCCCACCGCAGGGAAAAGGGTAACACCACCTGGGTCTGGGTGCATTCCCCCCTCCAGGGGCAAGGGTACCTAGACCCGGTTTGTAGAGTACGCTTGGGGAGTGTGATTGTGTGTACAGCGTCTCTTTATGTCTGTCTCCATGTTGGTTGAGTGTGGAGTGAGTGCACATGAGAGCATGAGGGTGGGAATGGATGTTTGTGTCTGTGTGTGCCTGTATGTCTGTGTCTATATGTCAGGTTGGGTATCAGACGCCACCTCTCTGGGGACACCTCAGGCCCTCCAAGGTTTGGAGGCCTATCTCCACCCACCACCACTTCCCCTGCCGGTGGCGGACTCCCTCAGGTGTCGGTGTGCTGGTGGTTCTTTGTGTCTGGGGGTGGGCGTCCGGGTACACACCGGCTCACTCCTTGGCGGCCGCTTGTCGGGGCCTGGGGCCTGGGGCTCGCTCGGGCCCCCTTTGGAGGTGGGGTGCCCCCGGCCTCTCGGCCTGGGGCTCGGTCACTCAGGCACAGCTGGGGGCCGGCGGAGCTCACGGGCGCGTCACTGCAACTCCCCCTGGCTTCTGCTCCGCGGCTGCTGGGCGAGCCCTCATCTGGGACTCTCCTCAGCTCTTACTGGAACAGTGGCGCGGCTGCCCCTCTGTTGGTCTTCCTGGTCTCTTGTGTTCTGGGGGCCTCTGGATGTCTGGAGTTTTGATCTCCTCCATACCCGCTTCACACCCTGGAGGACGGGGCTGTGGCCCCCCCACACTCCCTAGCAGATCATTACATGGAGAAACCTTTGGAATGCAAGCATGCTGATCCACACAGGTATGCACACAGGTGTACACATGGGTATTCACAGACGCGGACTAAAGCTTTCTTGGCTGCTGCCTCAAAGCACACTGTGCGCTGTCTATCTTGCGTGCTGCACAATATCGTTTATTATTTAGTAACTATTGATATCTATGACTAGCTAGTTTATTGTGATGGTGCTTTGTTTTCTCTATTATTATGTTGCTCTTTGTTGTTTGCTGTCTCCTCTGTTTGTTTTTTTTGTTTGTTTGTTTTTTCTCCATACAGGTGACCCAGAGTTGTTTTTCCCCCCCCTTCTCACCGTCTCTTCTTTTTTCTTTCTCTCTCCCCTCTTTCTCTCATTCATTCCCCCTGTCCTATTTCTTAAAAAAAAAAAAAAAATGACAAAGGATGAACTGAAGCTCTGCCATCACGTAATGTCGCATACTGCTGTTTCTGATGTCATTAAAAAAAAAAAAAAAAAAAAAAAAAAAGTTACGTAGTGGACGTGGAAGGCTGTTGTGTGTCACCCTCAGCTGCTTAATGATGGGCTGCAAAATTGCATGCATGGGTTCAGGAGATATTGAAACTGTTGTTTATATCTGCAGGTATACGTCAGGTTCATATCTCGGACCTCACAAACAATATTGCTGGTTATTTATGTTCAAGGACATTTTAGGAGACTGTCAGAAAGTATCCACAGTGTGAGCGCAACAATTTTGACACATCACAGGCAAATTCAGATTATTGGATTTTTTTTCACAGATAGGGGAATTAACTCCTCATTGATATAATACCAATGACTGCCTTTATATTAAGGCCTCTCTATGAATATTTAAAAGCTTCTCTAGTATTTTGGGATTTGTTGATCCTTCCTGCAGATGGCATATCAAAACACGCCTGCCCCACAATTAAAAGAAGATAAGGAGCTCAGCAGAGGCACTCAATGTCAAGCTCAGAAGTACACGCCAAGGTCAGATAACACAGATCAGAGCTTTTACTAGAGGCACCTACACAAAGGTCTGATGACAGCGTGTTGTAGTCGTAGTAGAAACAGGACAGAGATTACACCGTGCTCTCGGTAGGCTCAGATCAGACAGATTGAGCGGGGGTTGGACGGTTCCACAGTCACTTAAGAGAGCGACACACTTGGACGAGCTCCCTTCACTGGGCATTAAACACAATTAAGAGAAGGCATTGTAACGCTCCCCACCTGGGCTCTTAAACCTCCTGGTGCTCCCCCTCACTAGCTGTAAATCCGCTCTATGTTTCTGCCCTCTTAAACTTACTATTCGTCCTCTGCTTCCTTGAATGCCTCCTCACTCTCTGTACTCTGGCCTTCTGAATGGTACGCGTGCGATCCTGTATATTAGCCGCTCTGCATAAGGACACGACCTTTTCCAACATTTTCAATTGACATTTTTATTCTCCCGTTTTTAATCAGGGAAGAATAAAGGGCCAGTTGCCTCTGAATTATTTAGATTATGAATGACCGAAAGTCTTTTGAGCACTGATGTACCTTTCCTTCACTCTATCAGAAGTGATCATGCTTGTTGGTCTGTTCACAGCAACCTTGTCAACCTTGACAGCAGAAAGACTTTGTTTATGCGAGCACTCACGTCAGGCTTTCACACAACTCCCCCGCAGTCAATCAGTTGTGGAATTCGGCTTTCAAGTATCTTTGAGGAATTTATGCACAATCATTCTTTCGCTTTGTCCTCACTTCTAATTGCTCGTAGTCATTTCCCAGGCTTTGTGAGACCAGGTGTATCATTCATTCAGCAGAATATGCTGATGTCTGTATACGTTCTGAGGAGTTTCTGGAGGTCACAGCTTGTACATATCACAGGTCAGTGAGAGTAGGATGCGGCTCATTTGGTATCTGAGAACAGAATTCTTAGGCTCGGTTTACGTATTTACAGATCCTATAGGACTCATTAGACCTGAGGTATCTGTCCTCACTTCACGAGGTCTGCAGCTGCGATCCCAAAGTTGCACATCAGTTATACGTCATCACCTAACATCGCCGAGAGCGACTTTGAGTACACTGCACCGACTAATTTGTTTCCAGTCACTTTGTTGATCAACACTTGTGTGCATTTGTCTAACTGGAGCTACACTTGTTTGCTAGGGAAGTGCTGATAGTGCAGCAAATTTTCAGGTTTGTTATTAGCTGACAGTTAAACTTTGTCAGCTGCTGCAGATTATCTCTCCATGTGGCTGATTAATTATTTAATAGTAAAATAAGAGGAAGCAGTTTGCAGCAGACACATATCTTAATTTCTTCTTGATCACGACTGCTTCTGTATACTGTGTATAAATGTGCTCCTCCATGTCTGTTTGTTTGCATGCACTGCAGGTTTGTTGTACATATTGCTGACAGGCATTAAAGCTTTCTGGTGCAGTGGTGCAAAGATGAGAAGAGAAGAGGGCAGCGGTGTTAATAGAAAGGAGGAAAGAGTAACGGTGCAATCATTTACCCTGGTTTGTTTGCATATTTTAGCTCTCTTTGTTTTTCATATATATTGCCATATATATATGTTCTATTGATTTTTATGCTGTGAGGTCTCCATAAAAACGTGACTCTCTAAGCGGCGACCATGTACTGCTCTGATCTTTGATAGGAGGACTCGCACATCAGCAGGCGTGACAGTCTAAGCTTTCCATTAACACTTTATTGCATTAATGGATTCTGCAGGTCACACACACACACATAGCAGGAGCCTGGCGGGGTGACAGGGTGAGATTAGGGAATTGCTCCCTCTAGGTGAAACTCAACTCTACTGCAAGCAGATTTCATAAAGCTGGGAAGTTTTCATTACAGCGATTGGCAGTAATTACATGTCTGTTTGTTCTGGATTTAATGAAATCAGCTCGAACGTGCAAAACCAGCATGGCCCGACCCCAGTTTTTGCTCTAATCACTGGCAGAGCGTTATTGGCTTATTGTAGTTGTAATTGGTGTAAAGTCTCTCGTTTTTTTGACCAGTGTTTGGAGATGTATGATTGTGTGGGCAGTTCCTCAGGCTGCTGGAGGGGAAATTGAGACTGTTGCACTGGGACTTTTGAGGTGGGGATGGCTTTTAATTTAAAGCTAGCCTTACTCTTTGAATTACTGTTATTGTTCGGCAGGTCTCGCATTAAACCAACGCAGCCAGTGGAGAGCTAAAGATGAATTTGAATGCTAATCATTTCTGCAGCTTACCCTGAAAAGGTTGTGCCTGTCTGTTTGTTTTCTCACTTTGTCGTCTGTCTTATCTTTTGCCTTGCAGTTATGTGGCTGCGGGCTGCTCGGCGTGGGCATCTGGCTCTCGGTGTCTCAGGGAAGCTTCGCCACCTTCTCACCCTCATTCCCTTCACTGTCAGCTGCCAATATGGTCATTGCCATCGGCGCCATCGTCATGGTAACAGGCTTTCTCGGTTGCCTGGGTGCCATCAAGGAGAACAAGTGCCTGCTTCTGAGCGTGAGTTAAATCCGGATACCTACAAAAAATATTTTTTAAAAGTCACACATCTGTCAACAGCACAAATGTGCACATTGTAGTTCTTAATTTCTCTCACTCGAGCATTTTATGACTGAAATTCATTTGTAGAGTTGACCGCTTGCAATCAGTTGTATTCAAAAGTTTTGGCACCCCTGGGGAAGCTGCATATTTTATCGGTAAATACAACGCTTGCAGCAATGAAATATTAAGATGAGCTTTTCATGAATGTATAAAATTGATAGAAATCGTGGCAGCGGGCCAAAGTTTGTGCAAACTACAAAGACAGCACTTATAGTAGCAGCCCTAATTTCATAGCTTGGAAATGTTTTTAATGGACCACTAAGAGTCATAGTTATTTGTCAGAGATGAGAAACGGAAAAAAGCAATGCCATAACATTTTGAGAACTGCTCGTATTTTGTGTCTTTTTGCTGCAAGGCTTGTCTGCACTGTCACATGCAAACTGCAAGCAAGTGTCTATACTCAAAGGCACACTGGTCACAGGCCACCAGGAGCTTTTTTTGTATTTGTCCTATTACCAGACCCTCGGGAGAGCTAGGTGACTGGGGCTACTTCAGTAATTCAGTCTGCCCTCTATCGAACCTCAAGAGTGCACAAAGGAAAATTAGAGCTGAGCAATAGGATTCCCCCTTTCTGCAAATTAATACCAACTAATGCATGTCATTGCCATGGCTCTGGTCAAAGCCCAGTGAAAGGAATTTCAGGCGGGGGAATTAGTATTTGCATAGAGCACACCAAAAGGCACTTGATGTTTTTGAAGCTCAAGATTTGAGAATGTTCTATTATTCATTACAAAGACTGTTCTGTCTTGACGTTGCACTGTTTGCCCAAAGTTGTACAAGTGTGTTATCTTAAGCACAAGTTAATTATGAGAGTTCACCCAACAGAATGAGGTTTGCAGGGATCCGCTGCAGAAAGGCAAAGAAAAAAAAACTTTCATGTATAGAAACTTTAAATGAGAAGTGGAGTTGGGGCTCTGAGTACTTAACATCACAAACAGCTCAATCCCTTGAAGCTCTTGCATCAGTCAAAAGCCCCACCAAATCCTCAGCGTTAGACATGGCTTCCTTCACCTGCCTAACAACTGTGAAGCAGGAGGAGAGAGCAGAGCGCAAAGACAGAGCGGAGCGGTGTGAAAGATGGCTGGAATTAGAGAAAAAAAATCGGAGTCAACGGAAAATATCAAAGTTTTGATGTTTCTCACCGAGTCTCCTGCCACATCTGTGCGTGACAGCCTTTTATATTTGGCCAGAATAATTCTGTTTAGGGCATCCATGTCTGCTGTCGTTGCTGTTGTTGTGTTTGTCTTTGTCTGTCTGTCCAGTCGAGCACATCCAAACATTTGGGGAGGTAGTGGTGGTGGTGGTGTGGGCTCAGGACGGGGAAACATCAAGAGTAGGTTTAGATCTCCCAGCGCAAATAGATCTGAGTGTTTACCTTGACATATTTTCTTTGAAGTTGGTCTGCGTACAGCTCTCTTTGGATTAGAAATATTCAAAGACCGGACATCCTTTGCAGCGATATTGCAGTGCACCTTTTCTGCCAAATAGTTTTATTGAGACATTTTTTAAAGAAACAAAACAAGGTGAGACAACAGTGCGATTGCTGGCAAATGAGAGCATGCACCCACAGAGCTGAGTGTGCAAATAAACACAGAAGCACATGCTCTCACACATGGCCGCTGAAGCACCACCAATTTGCTTTGCAGAAACAGTTCATTTGATTGCAAATGCCAGGAAAAGTATGACAAGTTAACTGCGGGTGAACAACAATCATTCTGTGGGCTGCAAAGCCATATGCAGCAGCAAACCGTTGTAACTATGTCGTGTGAGCCGTGACATAAATAATAGCTCGCACCCTCCCTCCCAGATGAGTTTGGAATTAATGGGTTTTTCAAAAATCTAGGTTTGCATGCCTCCTCCCGTGCTGTGCAGAAGAGCTTGGTAAATACCGTGCTGTAATGGAGTCAAGTAGAGAGAGTAGTAGATGAGATGCAAGGCTGTGCTAGAAATTAATCTTAGGAAGTATTAAACCTTTTATACTCCCCTCAAACATTCACAAGCCCTTCAGCACCGAGATTCTCCTTTTTTCCTCCCACCATCACTCCCACCTCTTCCTTCATGTCTCTTTTTCTAATTTCCTTCTCCCTTTTTAAATTTGCTTTGTTTATGTTTATGGATTTCTTTCTTCTTTTTTTTTTTTGTCTTGAGAAATGTTGGTTTCTGTGTATGCTGCTTCCAAATGAAACCATTAACTGAAACCTGGAACGTTTTTGGGGAAATTTACTCATTTGTTTTATTGTCAAGAGCAAAAATGAGAAGATTAATCTAGCTGGTAAATATAAAGCTGCTGCCAGAAACTGTCCAGCCAAGCTGAACAGTGTAAATGGAGGGGTCAGTAGGTAATGCCAGCTAGCTTTATTTAGGGCTGGTTTTACAGTCATGTGAAGTGATTCGCTGGGTCATAGCTGGGCAATTAACCTTAAAATACTACAGCTTTATTTTTTATTTGGTTTTTCCTTGATGATGATTCATGTGTTAATTATTGGGTTTTAAGAGATGCCAGCTGGCAGATAAAGCCAGGCTCTAGTTTTTTGTGTCTTTTTGTTTCAGTCTGAGCTAAACTAATTGACTGCTAGCTCATCTCATTTAACCCTTGCCTTATGTTTCACAAGATGTCAAACAATTGCTTTAACCCAAATTAAAAGATCATTAGATGATCCGTGTATCTCCGTGAGTCACACAATACATTTGAGTTTGGAGTATAAATAAATGCGCTTTAAATCACAGATGCAAGTCTTACTGTGAAGTTTGTGAAATACTCAGATAAAACAGCACTTAACTGCAAAAGAAGCTTAGCTGTTCAGAGTTTTGTTCACAAATTCAATTTACAATATTGCCTGTGCTGCTGTTGTAACAGTGCTCTTCCTCTTTCTGGCAGTTCTTCATTGTCCTGCTGATAATTCTTCTGGCGGAGGTGATTTTGCTCATCCTGTTCTTTGTGTACACAGATAAGGTAAGTTGTTATGTGTTGTGTCCAAATTTTGTTTTTTATCATTCCAGCTGAAGACATTAAAAGAAAGCTCTCTCACACACAGATGATCACAGACAAATGCAGAAAGCAATAAACGGTGTTAGTGTGATAAGCATACCTAGATTCCAGTTGCTTCCGGGTATCAGAGTTTTCTGTTTTTATATTTGGTTGTTTCTCTGTCAGAAGCTTGAGTGTCTTCACCCCACCATTAACACAGCAGTCAAAGGTTAGGCCACAAAATTCAACTCAATCCCCGACAGTTGGCTCCCCCTAATTAGTTCCAGGAATATTTCCCATGACCCCTTGAATGAGGTTAAATCAGGTGACTGTGTGGGGTAACAGCAGATGCCTACACGCAAAGCTCTGGATATTACCGATGCTGAATTCGTCTTCGTCTTTAATCTGATCCAACCACAAATGTTTCATCCCGAAGAAGACAAGTGTCTTGTGCAGGACGAGCGATGAAGACTTCTCTGTTTTCAAGGACATGTCGTTGATAGATCCGTCTATTTATATATTTGCTCTCTTATGTCACACGGCCCTCGGGACATCAGCTAATTCTGCCTCTTTGTTCTGAGGTTATTGCTCAAACCTAGTCTCTCAGGCAGATAAAGGAATTCATTTAGCAGCCAATCCATTCTCAGATTCAGATCGGGTCTCGCAGGCACACCCTGTCAGGAGTAAATATGTCTGTTGCCTTATCATCAAAATATTACCGGCTTAACCGTGATCCCTCTGGCGGAATTTAAATAGAAAGCCTCTTGACTTCACAGCAGTGCCTTTCCCATCACCTGTGAAGTCAGTAAAAGATAGCCCAGTAGTGCTGAGGATTTCCTAAATGAGAAATCAGTTGAGTCTGCATTAGCAAAGCATGGGGCATTACCCGGGGAAAACTCATTCGCACAAGTTCCAGTGAATACCCACCGTATTTTATGTTTGTCCCGTTCTTGCCAAATTACTGTGTTTATCCTGGCTTAAACCTAATGGAACGTGAAACCATGATAATGAGGATCACAACCAAATATATTTTCCTTTATTGGTCTTCAAATGTCATTGGAAGGCAAAGCGTTTAAAGTAAATTGCACGTTATTGGAGATGACACTTTCAGACTGCTCTAATCAGGATGTCCTGCAAATTTAGGAAACTGCATTAGATTTTAAAGTTTGTCTGTTTGGCTAAAAGGACAATCACAGACGACCTTCACATATTGCTTTTTGTTTTGTGGTTGGGTTTTTTCTCCGTCTCCAGTGAGATCTTGTATGCCGTGTGAGGCTCCCCTCGTCTTCTGCTACAGGCTGTGATCAGAGGAATCACTAATTCACTTTTCTTATTTGATCCCCTAATCACACGGTATTTATTAACAAGACTGGAAGACATACGGTACAGTAGTTGGCAGCTTTTAAACGTGTATCGACGGAGGCAAAACAGATATTTTAGTCTCTCAAATAGGTCATATTTAAGTCATGACTGACTCTTTGTGCATACTGTGATCCTTCTGGGCGACAGTCTGTTGACAGGTGGGAGGGAAAGACAAACATATAGTATCTTGCATTTGTTGCAACATGTTTTTTTTTCGTTTAGTGTCCGTTTCCACCAGTTTAATCCTACTTTGGGAGGTACCGCTCAGTCCTGTTAATAGATAATTTCTCTCACGTCTTCTTCAGCCCAGCAGTCTTGCCTCCAGGTATGGCTTATGCGTGGGCACTCCCTCATTCCTTCCACAGCCCAGTGGTGTTAAGCTTTCTGATTAAATGCCATGTAGAGGGCGTAGTATAATAAAGGCTGGCCCTGCAGTTAGCAACCAGCTGACTGCAGCAGATGGCTGGGCGGCAAACCAGATTACAGCCATCCGTCTTTAACGCTCTGACCTCATTGTGCCGCCGTCGACCCAACACGCTGAGCTGAACACCGGTGAAGGTTTATTAGCTCAGAATGAGGAAGCAGAACTTTGCAAGAGAGACAGGAAGCACCGGAGCATGTACGTAGGGATGTCGGGAGGGCGAGGAAGAAATGAAGGAAGGGTGGAAGGTGTGGAGAGAGGTGGAAGGAAAAAAAGAGATATCAAAGGATGCTGGGAAGAATGAATGTGTCATGTGTTAGGGTGCTGAAGTACACAAAAAAAGGGGTAGAAAGAGGTCAGCCATGTCAGAAATGAAATTAGATGTCACTGTAAAATTTTAGGAAAAGAATCGGGAAAAAGGAAAACATGGAGTCATGGAAGAGGAAGGAAGCCAAGTTTGGCTGTGGTACATCCTTGATGTCTTACTCAACGACAGCGGCAGTCACATCTAGCTGCGTGTGTCGTTTGTGCAAAGACAGAATTATGTTCAATTCCTGGCTGTGCGTTATTTCCCAACCAATTAAAGCTGGAGTGGGGCTCTTCCCCTGACTCTGTCAAGTGCCCTGGCCTCCGTCTACAAAGCACAGGGTTGCAGAGCAACTGAGGGAATTAAGTAACGTGTTTAATAATGTGCTGTTTGGAAACCTCTGGCACTGATTCTGTTTGGATTCACATCATTTATTACAATTTCAGGGCAGTAAATGTATTTGTCCTGAGCTTTGCAATTAGAGCAACAGTGAAACGTTGTTAGCTTCTTAGTTTCCCAGTAGTCCTGAAACTAAAACTAGTGTTTCCAGACAGTATGTGACCCAACAGTGACTGCGTATGAGAGGAAAAAAGCACTGAACATGTTTGAAAGAGGTTCGGTCTATCCTTAAAGAGCATGCAGCAAAAGACTGAAGATGTGACAAGAGACAGTTTTATTTGCTTCACGAAACAGCTGTTTAGCTTTGAATATGTTTTATTTAAATAGGATTTAATGGTGATTTCATGCTTGAAACTCTGCATTTAGGAACATTTGAGCCTGAAGTCTGGTATTTGTGATAATGTGAGCTTTGTGTACCATACCCTGACAGCAAGCTACAATCAGAAGTTCAGTTTGGTAGAGGTTGACTTGGGTTCAGATCCTGTGTACTTCGGTGCATTTTACATCAAATATGAAATCTACTGTGATAGAATATCAGCTCAACTGTCTGTCACTTTTTTAAACATTAAAAAACAGCGTTATCTGCACCTCCTGTCTCGTCAGAAACCTGCGTATGCAGGCAGATCTCTGGTTCTTTGCATTATAGATGAGATTTGAAGACAGGTGAGTATGTGTGGAGTCGCTTCATCATTTCTGCATCCAAAAGAAAAATGCAATAATGCCAGGGAGTATTTCACCGTAAAGTATATTTTTAATTATTATGCAGCTGTCGGGTAAACGATGATGTGAGCTACTCTGGTACTGAACGTTAATGTGACGTGAACATTTGCCAGTGTGGGAACTTGGGAGTTTGGGGCAGTTTGATTAGAAATTTCACAAGAAAAGCTATTCAACACCCCGAACACAACAACAGTTAGTAAAGAACCAGAGTTACTAGCTGGTAAACACAGGGGAGCAGCTACAACTTAACAATAATGTATTTAATTTAGTAGTTGACCAAGAAGAAAGTGCAGGGACAAAAAAGAAAGAAAAGTGTTTTTAAAATAACAATCAATGATTATCCTTCATATTTTTCGCTAGTGTGAATATGTAGATAAGATATTAGCCATTTTGAAAGTTCAAAGCTGTTCCTAAGCACTTAGCCATCCATAAAATCAGATTCAAGTTCAGGTTTTTCAGTGGAAAGTTGAGCACTTGTTAGTCTTTAAACACTGACCGTGGTTGGTATCCTAAGATAATTCCTCTGTTTTCCTGTCAGCATGCACAGAACATGCAGACAGATAAATGTATTATCTATCTATAGTTTACCTGCCGCAGGTGCCAATACACTAACTCCCAATGGTCCACTAATTCTTTCCTTTCAGAGCCTCATAAGATCAGAATTGAATGCTGTACAATTTTCGTAAGATATTAATTGAGCAAACTGATAAAATAAACGTTTTGCTCGTCTCTTCTTGTCAGTAGAAAATTGTACTTAGTAGTCAGGATAATCTTTTAATGATATACGTTTGCAAATGATAGAATACTGCATGATGACCTCTTTATAACTCAGACTGTTTTTAGTTCACTGTGACCCGTTATCATGCAGGGAAGGAGCAGTACCTGCTAGATAAGAGCTTAACGAGCAGTTTCACTTCGTGTCAGGTAGAGGAGCCTCTCTTGGCGCACACACATATATATACACTAGGGGTGCAACGATACACAAAATTCACGGTTCGGTTCGATACTTTGGTGTCACGGTTCGATATTTTTTCGATACAAAAAAGATGTTCATGCTTTTTTAATTTGTCATTTATTAAAATTATAAATATATATTTTAACTCAAACTTACAGTTTTTAAATTTAATGTTGCTGAAACAACAAAGGGATGAAATAATAAATCTATCTGATGGAGAAATCACTCATCTTTGGAAAAGAGTTTATTACAGAGAAATGGCTCTTTCCAAAATAAAAGCTACACTACACCCTTCTTCTGGGCTATATTCTCAGCAGCATATTAAACATATCAGGTCCCCATAAGGAGAATCATGTGCTAACGGCTGTCTAAATGACTCGGGTAAAGTTTGTAGCATGCTGCTTGTTGTTTTTGTCTGCTTCCACTTGTCTTTGCACTAGCTTGTCTTTGCACTAGCTTGTCTTTGCACTAGCTCCGTTAACGAGCTACCGCAGATCGCCCCGTGCGTGGGGCTGGACTGCGTCAACACATTAACGAGCTAACTGCGCTAACGCACTAGTTCCCACCCATGTAATTGAGCATTGCGTGGCACATCCAACATACTATTTTACTTTTGTCCATGACACGCTTACCTTCAGGGTCATGCTTCACATGAAGACCAAAATAATTCCAAAGGCCAGATCTGAATGAGGGTGGGGGCGGTTCAATTTGCCATGTTGCAACGAGCTTAGCTTCTGTCTCGCTAGCTTGCGCTGCGCTCAGTGGATCTGCGCTCGACAGTGCAGCCTAGGCGGAGTAGTCGAACGCAGATCCTCTGAGCTCTCAACACAGACAGCATCGTCAGAAGAAAAGTTGATAAAATAAATTGAAAATTTTGTATTGTTCGATACATATGCGTACCGAACCGAAAGCACTGTATCAAACGGTTCAATATCGATATGAGTATCGTTGCACCCCTAATATACACATCCACATTCCAATGTAATAAACGAATGCACCTACTTTTGTATATAAATAAAGACCAGAGCGGTAACAGAGCGCACTTCACAGGGCCCCCACTCTGATGTGAGCGCTCTGTGACCGCCCTTGCAAGTAAAAACTGCGCGTGTCTCCACTCTCTGACTCTCAGCTGAAGAAGTGTCTTTAGAATAAATCTCTTGACACTTCTGTTTTCACAGAATCCTATGTAAATACGTAATGCTCTCCCGTGTTGCGTGAGGAACTCTAAATGTTCCACAGCATTTTCAAACCAGCCTGCTGAGACACCAGTCGTTAGCCAGATGTCCCCCCACCTCTGTGGTGGCTGTATCCTTCTCTGAAATGATCAGTTCTTTCACGTCTTTGGAAATTGGAGCAGTCGGTTCTGTCGTGGCACACACTCTGGTAATGAGCATTCAGTGTAACCTCACAGGTCTCAGTGTACCTGCTCCCCTGGGTGTTACCATGTCACCAGATCTGGGACAGGTGTTTCTCCAACAATCTACCACCCGCTCTCTGCTCTATTTTTGTGATCGTTGACGGGGAACGTGAACAGTTTGGACAGAAAGGCTTCTCCTTCCACCGCCCTCACATGCATATCTTCTTGTCTTTCTTTGTTTTTTGTTTTTTTGTCTTTTCTGTGAATTATGAGTGTTTTCTCAGCCGGCCAAGCTGAACCCTTTAGATTTCTGTGATGAATGTGCAGTCGTATATTGCTGTGTGCGGACTTGGTCATCACAGAGGAAACTACAAGCTTATCTATGCAATGAGACATATGAGCTCTGTCTCAGGGCTTTGTCTACATGCCACACGTGAAATATTGCGTGGCAACATCCAGGCAAAACTTCCCAGAAGTCGGATGTTGCCACAGCACGGTGCAGGCCTGTTATTTGTCAACATTTTCGAGGACCGGCAGTGTAAGCATTAGTCGAGAAATCGCCTCGTGTTTTTGTCTGCTTCTGTGGCGAGGAGAAAAAGGGTCGGCGTGCCGCACGATCCTCCAACTCCCTGTTTGTTCTGTATTCATTTGTCTGCCTCTCGTTAGAGGTAAATCTGGATCATTAACTTTCATTTCACACTGTAACTAAGACACAAAAAAATGATGTGCAGTGACTTATCGGAGACTCGGAAGAAGACTTTTATTGCAATAAGAGGGACCCTGCTCTCCAGCGGCTGTGTGAGGAGTCTGTAATGAGCCAGCAACATCACATACAGCCTACTGTAGATGGAGAAGACAAGATGGCAGATAGAAACAAAGCATAAGGCAGAGATTGATGGTGCTGCTGTTCTTCATTTCATTTTCCTGCACGAGGACCAAGATCTGCATCAGCAAACTTGCAGGCCGAGGAGCAAGAATGGGATTTGAAATAATTCTCGTCTTATTTCAAAGCTTTTAGAGGATGTTTTAAATGGGGTTTGCATTTTTAATGATTACTAAAGCATTTTATTGCCCGAGAAATTTTAATTAATCAGTGAAAATTCAGTTTGACTTTTATGTCTAATTCAGCAAATAGATTTCAAAAGCCTTGCAGCTGAATAACAAGGGTACTGAACCAGTGAATGACTTTAAAGCTTAATGTCGTTTCTGTACGGTCAAAGGAAAGTTGGGTTTGTACTATTTCTAATGTGTAAGACAGAAAGTCAAGTGATATTAAATGTGTTATTATTTTAGAGAAGCCAGGCTTCTGGCTGCTTATTGTTACTTTCGTCCTTATTCTTTCACTAAAGGATTTACTGACACCTAAAATCACCTTGTTGTTTCTGGACGTGACAGTGCTAATGCAGCTTCTCTTGTCCTGTGCAGATTTCCTGATCACACTCTTTAACTCTAAGCTTTAAGTATTAAGTGCATTCCTATTGTTGTGATATTACTTTTATTGCCTGTGAAGATGTACAGCGTGATTCTGGCAGTCCATGTCATTTTTCTAGTCATAATTACCCCGTATCTAAAGCGCCTCTCAATCTGTCCTGGCAGTTAGCAAATCCCCACAGGCATATGAAACTGCAGGAGAGCTAAAGCTCTGATTTTGTATCTCATTAACACAGCGAATGAGATATTAATCTCCCTCAGACATGGCACAACCCTGAGCAAATTGTTGGTGTTCACTCAAGAGGAAAATGATTTGCTAGCACAGCTGAAGGGCATGTTGAAGCCGAGCGTGTGAGCGACACATGACATGTCAGACGTTCAGGCATCACACAGCGGTCCGCGTTACTGTTGCAGAGTTATTTTTATTTGACAAGACAAGAGGTTACCCATAACTGTGAAGGCGCTGGCATTTTATGTTTTTATATTGTAGTGTCGGATTGCTTTGCGTTAATGATTCGTCAGTCATACACAGTCCACTAAAAGCACTTAACTGCACACCTGCCACTACTGTTTGCATCTGTGTGAAAAGGATGCTGACAGTTTGAAAAGAGTAGAATAATCCGAGTGCACCTCTACAAACACCCAAGCTTCAACTGCCTGCTCCAATACAAAGACAACATAAAGAGGTATTGAATGGTGCAAATCACAGGACTGTTCTTGCAAAGACAACCCCTCCAAACTAAGATCTCTAACTAAGGCTAATGTTTTCTTTTATCCTCTCCAGGTGCGTGAGAATGCCAAACAGGATCTCAAGGATGGGCTGGCTCTGTACAACTCAGAAAACAACATAGGCCTGCGAAATGCCTGGAACATCATCCAGGCAGAGGTAAGTAACGCCATGCATTTACAATATGAGAAACGTTAGTGTGAATGTTTAAGCACAAATGACTAAAATCTATTCAGATATTCCAGCTAATGTATGTCCTGGCTTGTAGCTGTGGTGTTAGTGTGACCTTAAAAGCCCAAACTGGCTGTCCAAGTACACTTCAGTCCTTTTTTGCTGTCCTTTAAAGGAAAGTGACCAATTAAATTTTTTAATTAAAGTTTGTTTGAGCTTTTTGGGGCCATTGAGGACACAGAGCATTAACTCATCTTCCACCTGACATTTGTATGGCATTAACAGTGGAAATGCTGTGGAGTGATAGGATACACCGACTGGCACGAGGCCCTGAAGGACAAAGTAGTTCCTGATCGCTGCTGCCAGGAGCATTACCAGAACTGTGGGCGGAACTCCACCAACATGTTCTGGAACAGGGTGAGTTGACCTGGACTCCGATGAGTTGAGTTTTGCTTCTCAGTCTTTTGCTTTTGCTTTTAAGTATAAGAGTCACGTGTCTGCTCTTTATAAAATATTCAAAACTAACAGATTTACTGTATTAAAATGACAGACTCCACAGAATATACTTACTGTATTTAAGTTTTTGTTTTGGAGGATATGAATGATACACAGTCATTTTCTACCTAATCTCGGCTGAATAGTTTGCCTTGACTTTTCTCTTTTTAAAACTGATAGTCTGAAAGTATTCTGTATGATTCACGTAATATTCTTGTCCAGATTATAGGAAACATGCTGGGCCCAAAACTGCTGAATCAGAATACTTTATTAATCCTTAAGGAAATGATGTGGTTACTCCAAGACTTTAACAGTTACAGACTAAACTATTTGAATATGTTACAGAGTTTACAAATTTAAGAAATAGCACTAATATATACAAGTCACTCAGTTATAAATATCAAGAATATTGACAAAGGATATTACAGAGGTGGAATATATATGATTGACATTTGACTCTGACTGAACTTTGTCATTTGGTATTTAGCTGCAGAGCGTGTGCAAACAGGGCAGTGTTTACAGTGTGTTAGATGGAGGAGTTGCACAGGGAGACGGTCACGGGCAGGAAGGATTTCCTGTGTCGTTCTGTGGTGCTTTTTGGTACCATTTATCCCTCTTTGTATTGTTACTGTCTCTCCTCATAGTAGGTTTTCCATTTACTTAGAACATGTGCTCTAAAACTGCTTTAACGAAGCCAAACTTGTTTTGCCACGTTTGTGCAGTTTTGAGTGTAATCTGTTCGTTTGCTTGAGTCAGCCAATGCACCAACGGAAACAGACGTTAACTTGAGGTAGCCAGCAATTAACTGGCTGGCTGTGTGTGTTCGTGTGTGTGTGTGTGTGTGTGTGTGTGTGTGTGTGTGTGTGTGTGTGTGTGTGTGTGCGCGTGCTCAGACTGTTTATGCTGCGTTTTTGCAACAACTCAGAGTGCTCTCAGCACTCACCAGGAACCCCGGTTGCTTTGTTCACTTTACCGCCAGACTCTTTCTTTTTATCTTGTTTTGCCTTGCAGTCTCAGTGCGCCTACAAAATATATACATGTGAAGTTTTTACTGACACTGAAGCCTTTTTAGGCTGCGCAGGCCTGTTTCTTTTATGGAGGGACGTAAGCACAGTGGACAACCAGAATAGCAAAAAGGTCTTGACTGGTGCATCTACATAACAAAATCGTTTTAGCGTCCCTGCGGTATGAATATGTCATTGTAAAACAGTTGTCTGTCTTTTCAGTAAATGCTGCCCCTGTGATGGGGTGGCTCGGTATTAGGAGTCTTTATTTCAATTTGCCTTTTCCTGAGAAAATGTTTCCCTGTCCTTCTCTGCTCCCTTTGTTTTGTTCTTTTAGTGCATTTTCCAAACCGAGTTCTGCTCTGTTCCTGAGTCATGCTGTATAAAAATAGCTGTCTGTGGTGCACCTTTTTCCTAAGTCCATTTAATCTCCAACATCTCCAGCACCTGATATTTTTCACTTCTCAATGTGTTTTTACTCCTCAGTGCTCAAGTACACAATTAAGATACCTGTCTGACATTGTCTAACATCCATCCGGTGTCCTTGAAACTTTTAGATACCATATTTACAATCAGTCGAGCGTCACGCTGTGTATCATCCCCATCTCAGCCAAACCAATTTATCTTGTGATCCTAATCTTCATCAGGCTGTTTTTCAGCTCTTTAGCAACATTCAATCTTTCAGTTTTAGGCCAAAGAAGAAGAGTGAGGAGGGGTTTTTATGACGTATATAGTGACTGACATTAAGCAATGTTCTAAGCTAAAATTCAAATTTCCATTGTGAGATTGAACCACTTATTCTTCCGATTTTGAGAGCTGTACTTTGGAAGAAGTGCGCTGTCTGTGGCGTTTCAGGTGGAGAGCCACTGTGGCTCTGATTAGTGTTACTATGGCTCTTTTGTACATCCTGATTACTGCTGCAGCTGTGCTCTGGGCTTTCAAAAAGTGTATTTTTCCATTCTTTAGACCAGGGGTCCAAAACTCGCGGCCCGCGGGCCATTTGCGGCCCACGTCACCTCTACTTGTGGCCCGCATACTGATGTGAAGAAATATATACAAAAAATGATTTAATACATGACAGAGTGTTACAGGCATGGCCCTTTAAGACTGTAGCCTCATGTGCGGTGTAGTCCTTGCTGCAGGGAGAGCGTGTGGGACCGCCCCTCCCGCTGTGTGTGAGCATGAGGGAGGGAGGAAAAAGGAAAGTCGAAAAGTACGAGGCGCTACCGAGCAGAAACGGGAGCTGGAAGCATGTAAATATAAAAATAACCACTGCAGCCTAAAAGAGTGGCTGACGAGCCCAGTAAGCTATTAAGACTCGACTGTACACTGTGTTCGTGTTTTCCTCCGAAACAATAAAGTTCTGCTGGAGCAGCTTTTCAAGGCCTCTCTCTGTCTCTCGCTAGCAAAGTTGATCCAGACAGTAAAGCTCGTTCCACGAGCCGACATGGAGCCCAAAGTATTAGCCAGAGTCTCCTTACCACGTTTCAGAGCCGCGGACCTGAGCGACGTAACAAGAGCGTGCAAACATGTTGAGGGCTGTTAGTTCAGGGAGAGATTTATTTAGAAAGAAAACAATTTTCACTTGCAATCAAAGACTAATGTGTACGCTTATGTCTGCATTTTTATTTTGTTAAATACAAACAAAATTATAGCAAAAGTGCTTCCACGTGTCTGGCCAGAAAGAGCTGTTTATTTGGTAGTTCAATGAAACTACTGTACTACACTGTACTACACTGTACTACACTGCTGAGTGACTGTCTTCTGCTCGTCAAATACATTTCACTGCAATGTTGACCCTGTGCTAACTTGCATATGACAACTGAAACTGAAAGGCTTCAGACAGTTAAGAGTGAGAAAAAAATTGTGTTCATGTTTGCAATTTTGTCTTGTTACACAATATTTGGAATTAAATAAAACAAACAAAACACTACATTTTAGGAAATATTAGTGGGTGTTTTCGTGTTTGTTTTTTTTGTACTACTTGGACACTGAAGTGGCCTCCAATGAGGTGACGGTGCCAGAAGTGGCCCACGGCTCATTTGAGTTTGAGACCCCTGCTTTAGACAATTCTTCTCCATATGGGTCCCAAACTCACTTAACTCCCAACTCATTAACAAATTAAGTTGCACTGTTAACAGGTCATGTTATGACTATGCTCATACAGTTAGGCTAATTTAAAATAATCAGCATACTTACATCGTCTTAGTGATCACAGGTTTTCTCACTGTTGTTGCAGTGTTCAGTTGTGCTTCACCGAGGATTTGCGTACGAGAAGTTTTGGTTTGAAATGATTTTGTTAGTGCATTTTTGGTTTTGGCTTAAATTAACAAAAGAGCTGCAGAGCTGTGAAAGAACCACAAAGACAAAACCACCATGGAAACTTCAACAGACTCAAAATGCAAAATGTCCATAACAGGAAAACAACACGAAACAAGTCGAGGCGGAAAACTACTACAGAGAGGTGCGGACGAGCATACCGATGAACAGCTGCGAAGAGACAAATTAAGAGGAACAAAGTGACCACAAAGAAAAATACTGAAAAGTGAAAGAAAGGGACAGCAAAACAAAAACACAAAGTGACTACAGAGTGAACAATTGCTCCGTGTTGGGGGTTGTTGATACTTTTCTTCCCATTAACTCGTGATGCATTGGGAAGTTAGATCCACAGCGTCCTACTTTTTAACGCCACATTTGAAGTGCTCTAACATATTGCCTTTAAATTACACTTTTGTTGCTCTAAAATACAATACTTGCCAATTTCTGCTCCCCGAATTCAAAAGAGGCATGCATCTGTAAGCTTTAATCCACTGTTGTTTTTTCCAACACTTTGTGGGTACTTAAAGTCGCTTTAAAGTTTTCCTCTTATTGCCTAAATCCAATGGATTTTTCTATTGTTCTCGAGACAACAGCTCTTCTTTTCTCACAAAACCGTGTAGCACAATGTTCACCAGTTTTCCCTCGTATTGCTACTCTAATCTGCTATTGGTCTGGCATGTGGTTCGTTAGCGTGTCCAAAGTAGAGGATTAAAAGCTGTAATATAATTGCCAAAATGAGAAAAGACAGACATTGAGCTGGCCCATTGGGAAAGCTCATCATTAAAAGCTTGTGTGTAATCTTGCCCAGAGGAGATGGCCACACGCTTTGTAGTTAACTTTACATGCTGCCTCAGCAACCACAGACCAGCAGGGGCACAGCTTTGCTGCTGAAACCGCCCTTAAGTGTGTCGCGTTATATCCCTGCCAATGAGTAGCCTCTGAATGAACCCAGGTGGGAATGTATTTAAGCATACGATTAGTGCGCACGTCGGCTTATGTGTCCCATACGTCTGCATATAAATGTCATCGCTCACAATAACTCAGCTGTGTTTAATAACTCACCTGCTAGTTATCCATCCTACGGTATAGCTCACATTAAAGAAATGCTTTCTTGCGGGAAAACTGCAAACCAGATGATTGAGTTTTCTCCTGGGTAACTGAACAGGGGGCAGCCATCGCTCCAACTACAGTGTCATAAACTGAAAATGTATATTTTAATGGTATTTTAACATGGTTTCGTTCCTTTTTTCAGGGCTGCTTTGAGAAAGTGGAGGAATGGCTGGATGACAATAAGTATCTGCTGGGAACCATAGGCATGGTCATCTTGGTAGTGGAGGTAGGAGGATTTGTGAGAAACAACTCTTTCCTGTTTTTCCTGCTTTGTGTCTTTTGCCAACATTGAAAACAATTAAAAGGTTAATGCTCAGTGGGCATTCTGGGCTCCAGCACATCCTGAAATATTGAAGCTCCTGTCTTGTGCACCCTGATCATGTGTGAAGTGGCTTTGTGCCAAGAATGATATAAGGAGCTATGAGACGACAGGAGAGCAGAGATGCTGAATATAGAGGAGCAGGTATAGAGTCGCAGATTAAAGGCTCTGTAGCAAGTGCTGGTAGAAATTCCACTGGTGCTTCTGTTTGTCTTTTGTTACTAAACTTTGCTTCAGATGTATCCCTCTTTATCTCAGTGTCTCTTCAGGATGTAGTATTTCCACTTATTTTGAGATTGCACTCTAAAAGTGTCTACTCACAGAACAACGGGGAACCTTTTTTTTTAACCGTATTTGTGCAAATTGTGACTGCAAGACTTTTTTGTATTACGTCTTTTGTTTTGTTTTTTTCACTCCGGTTAGCCAGTGTTTCAACAGAAGCTGTGATAGCGCTAGGTAGCCAGCACAGCTAACTGCACAGAAACCTGTGTGAGCATGGTGGACAACAATATGAGTTCATGCACGCATGTAACAACTGAAAGTGAGTGTGAATGCTAGACTGTCTGTATATGCCACTACTGGCAACCTGTCAGGTAGGGCTGTTCGATATAACGATATATATCGGATGGAGATATAAAAACGTCTATCGTTTCATTTTACGCTATCGTTTGTTTCATGGTGTCACAAAATAAACTGTTTACGGTAATATTTTTTCATGGTTTTGATGGTCACTGTAGCGGCTATATTAATTTCTTAAAGTTCTCTCTTTCTCTTATATTTAATATAACCACACTACGGACGGACAAGCGCCTGTTTTTATGCGTTGTCGTTAGCAACAGCGACGGTAACACCTTCGCGTGTCCGCTTGTTTATGTTCCACATAAACTTTTCACAATAAAGCTCAAGATCCTGTTGAGACTTTTCAAAATTAACTGAATCACGTGAAAGAGCAGATTATTTATGGATGAGAAGTAAAAAAGAGCCGCCAGGTGCTAAAAAATAAACCTTAGACTCAAACGTTAGAACAGGCTTTTCCCCGCAGCACGCCGTGTAATAAATACTCACAAAGAAAAAAATGAATCGTTTCATGCTTGGTTAAAACACTCGACTCCAGCTACATGACGCGCAGCTGGAAACACTTCCCGCAAGTCGAGCTGCCCGAGATTCACAGAATTTACAGAAAATGTTACATTTTTGTGATTTATATCGTTGTCAGGACGATAGAATTCTTATATCGGGATATGAGATTTTGCCCTACTGTCAGGGGTCTTTGCTTCAATTTGCACCTTCTTGAGAGAATGTTTTCACACTCCCTTGACTTTGTAAATTCACTATAAGATCCAGCAGAGATCTGGTCTTTTTCCTGAATCATCCTCTGTGGCAATAGCTGTCTGGTGCACCTTTTTTCCTAAGTCTGTTTAATCTACAACACCCGACATCTCTGACTGCACCTTACTCTCCAATCCTTTTGACTTCTTCTGCTGCCAAGGTGCATGACACGTGCAGAATATTTTAATATCTCGGCCCATGAAACCTTTTCGGTACAATATTTACATTTCACATAGATGATGATATTTGACACAGATTTCTCAGATGTACAGTTCATTTTGTATGTCCGTGCCCTTGATTTTATTTTTGATGCTGTGAAGACTTGTTTTTCAATATTTTCTTTCTGCCTAGCCTGATATGTCTGTGACTGCGTGCACGCAGGACAAGGCTTCACTTTGCTAATGCATGAATTCATGGTTCATTCAGAGCAAGGTGTCCTCACCAAGGAAGGCAAATCTCCCTGTTGAGTTTTGTATGATTCTGCACGTAATAATGTCCTCAGGGAGGGGTAGCTCTTGCACAGTCACATCAGAGAAATGTGTGCATTATATATGACCACACTATGCTCTGAAGAATTTGTTAAATTTCACATTCTCCTCCAAACGCACATCAGGCATGTGCAGAACACTGAGGCTTCTGGGCGCACACACGTCCTCCTCTGATTCAGGCCAAACCAGAGGTAAAGTTGGGAAATATTTGCAGACGTGACAATGAAGAGCATCATAAATAAAGCTAATGTCCCATAATGTTATTTTGTTTTTGTTTTTTAATGATTTGGGACCAGAAACATGCTGTAAATAACAAAAGTCAAAATAGTACCGTATTTTTCGGACCATAAGGCACATTAAGCGAAACAAAGCAGTCAGATAAATCAAACTTTATTAAACTCATTCTTCTTGCTTCCTCCACTTCTGTACATTGATTCATTAATGTTGAATTCTCTGGCAGCTGCTCTATTCCCATGTTGTTGCAGTATATTAATGACTAACCTCGTATTGTGGATGGATTATCTCAGTTGTTCTCCTGACTGAAGTTTGGTCCGTTTACAGCATCCTGCCATGTGATTGCATTTGTCCTAACCATCGGGAACTCTCACGTTAACTTTTATCGAGTGTAAAAAAAGTTAGCTTCACTGTGTTTATGCTATGCTAACATAGCTGTGTCACTAGCGATCACGTAGCACATCATTATATACCAGCTAGCCCAACTTCAGTAACCCTACAAACGTCACTGCTGTTTAGTTTTCTGTCTTCATTTATGTTGGAAGTGATAGCAGAGCTGTACGTTTGAATTTTTTCAGAAATCTCTCAGTCAGAACATGCTATATCATGTTTAGGTGGAAGCTAGCGAGCTAACTTCCTGCTAACTTCTAACTCTGTTAAATGTAATAAATTCTGTTTTCATGGATGCCTGGATGTTAAACTTAATTGTTACACCTGGTAAAGCAGCAACACTGATCATTTTATTAAAGATGAAAGAATTTAGACAGTTTTTAACTCTCAGTGATGCTGCAGTGTCGTTTGACTTTGGGACCTGAAGCTGACAGATTTTTGGACCCAGATTACACCGAGTCCGCGAGGCTCCTGACTACAGCAGCCATAATGCTCCAACAATCCATCAAGCTGCGCGGCTTCATAGCTTACCAAAGTCGTACTGAAACATTTTTGACAGATTTTTGAGCACCGTGTACCGCATAAAATTGGTTCGAGATCAGTAAGCACAACCAGAATTAAATAATTTCCCGTAGGGATCAATAAAGTATTCTGATTCTGATACATAAGGCACACCGGATTATAAAGCACACTGTTGATTTTTGATAAAATTAAAGGATTTTAAGTGCTCCTTATAGTGCGGAGTGTGTTTATCCACAATGCTTCAGAAATCCCAGAAATATTTCCACATTTTAAGCAGGAATCTGTGATTGAGCTTTAAAGCATCCTTCAGGAGCAACTGTCATCCTGTCTCTTAGACTGAATGAAGCAGACAGCAGAAACTTTCTGTCAGAGACAGATGAGCTCAGATGTAAATAATTGGGTTGGCTCTGAAGCACTTTTTCATCTGTCCTAACTCCGTCTCAGCTGGATGTTTACCTAAAATGGCACTTTTTTTTTTGATTGACACCAGTTTAAGGTGGCATTTTCTCTGAAGCCGTTCTGCGAATTAGGTTTTGAGTGAAACCAAAAGCGAATCAGCAGCTTTCCCCAGCTAATCACAGACCATAGGGATCCCCAGTGGAGTCCACATTTCCTTTTTTATTAAAAACTATGCAGCATTCAGTATTTTTCAGTTTCCCTGTCATCACAACTTTGCCAGATAATGGTTTTAGGATCAGCCTTGCGACTGTGTTTGATGTGGAAGTATCAGCGGTAATGGAAACTTCAAAGACATAGCTGGCTACTTTGATTCAATGGCATCTCAATTTACTTCACTGGCTTAATGCTTGCACACGCTGTACATTTTGCCATCACAAAGATTCCAGAGCTTCCATTTGAAGGCCATCTGAGAAAAAGAAACTGAACTAAAATGTGTTCGTGATTCAGCACACGATTCATTGTGCATCAGAAACGCAGCCCAAGGCATCAACATAAATTGACCACACGGACACACCTGCACATATATTACACATAAATAGATACTATAGACAGACACGAGCATGTGTTCACGATCTCCTTGTTTTCCTCCACAGCTCCTGGGCATGGCATTCTCCATGACATTGTTCCACCACATTCACAGAACGGGAAAGAAGTATGACGCTTAGCCTTGGGACAAGCACCAAATGGAGAGGAGCCCCAGTGCTTGATGGGATAAAGACTCTGATTCAAACATACATCCATGCTTTCCCTCTTTAGAGCATCCTTTTCCCCCTTCTCAGATCGTCTGTACAGATTCCAGCTGCTCTGTCCTGCTGTCTCCTCTCACCATTCATTTTGCCAAAGAGTAACACAACTGGAAGAGAAGAGGCACCTACTTTTGGCAAGGAAGAGAATCCCATATGTTGTCCCTTCTCTTGAGTACACTTGTTTTTTGGCTTTTTCTGTTCTTCTTTGGCTTGAACTAACCAATTGCTGGAGGGAAAGACAGACATTGAGACAATGAAGACTTTACAAATGCCCAAACAGCCCCACAGGGCGAAAAAACCCACGAAAGTGACAAAACCCTCCACCTCATGTGGAGTTTTTTTTCTTCATGCTTATTAAATTCTATCCCTGTTTTTTTTCCCCTTGTAAATGAAAAAGATCCAACATGGCATGCTAGTTTTCTACTTCACTGATTTATCAATGAAATGACCGTTGTTATTATTTTTATTTTAAACGTATTGTTTTCTTGTTGGATTTGCTTTTGTAAGTATATCATCCTGTGGAATGTAAGTGTCGAACAGATCGGTGCAATGTGTGTGTGGGTATGTGTGTGGGATTGGTTTTGAGGTAACATTGCTGCAGACGGGCAAAGGCACGTAAGGATGCAGAGGTTTAGGTGAAATGAGCTTCATGGAGGAGCATCGTGTAAGCACGAGGAGTCATCGGTGGATTCATTTTACACCAAACATTTGTCTGCGAACAAACTCGCGCACATGCATTTTGTGCTGCCACGCAGCAGCATACCCGTTCCCTGTTAGACAATATAAATGATGTAAAATGGCTGTTTATTAGGGCTCCAGCAGCACTGTCAGCTGTAGAGATCTAGGTGATAAAGTCCCCCGTTTGAGAAAGCAGACTGGGTTGTGTACACGCATGCATTTTATCACACAGTTCAAGCTGCAGAGGAGAAAAAACCCACTGAGAAAGACTTAGAATCAAGGGCAGGATGGAGCAAAAACCGAGCAGACACGCTGTCTCGTTTCGGCTATCAATAGCGTTAACAGAGGTGGCTCTAGCCTTTCTGTACTGAAGATCTCATCCATTCACACCGCACTCCTCGTGCTTTCTCTCGGCGGCTTGCAACTCAACCCTGCCTCTATCTTTTCTTTTTCACTCTAATTTTCTTTCTTCGTGTCAGGCAGCAATGAGTTTCATGCTCCATCCAGTGCTTCTGCTGACATTCCTGCTCATCACACGTTTACACCTCCGGTTTGCAACCCCCTTCAATTTTACGTAGGCTTCATTTTCTCGCAGCAACCAGAGGTGGGGCGAGATGGGAGTGTGAGAGTGTTGCCAGATCAAAGCTCAGACTGATATGTATGGCAACATGCCCTGTAGGACACATCAGTTTATGTCTGTTTACATCTACATTCTCTGCAGGGGGCCAGAGTGCCAGCCTTCCTCCTGAAGACTGAAAATATTCCATCTGCTGTGGCGACTTCAAAAAATGCCCTCCGGTGTGTCCGCTCTAGGCTTCAAAATCTCCAAAGAAACGGTGGAATAAAGACCTCGCTTACTGTCAAAGGATCACTGTAGCTTTTGGAATCATAAGGTTGTATTCAGTTGTGACATAGTGCTTTCCAAAGCAAGTGCAATTAGAGATGTGGGAAGATTGCTATATTTTAATCAAGAACAAAAAAATAGCAGTAAATAAGCCGGCCAATAATTACAAAACATTTGTAACAGAATGTTAGCAGATTGTTTTGCACAAAGGTTTTTACTACAGAGGGAAGATTTTAAAGAAATGGTCTATTTAAGCTGATATTTTACCACAGTTGCGTCTTTACCATCTTTATTTTGAATTTCTGTTACTGAAGCGTTGACCTGTATTGTCATGTTTGCCACTATGCCCTGTTTCTCTTCATCTCATCCATTCAAGCCGATTCAGTTTGTAGATTCCTGCAAGTTGGTTGGACTTCAATTCAGTAGCAACTCTTTCAGAACACAGTAAAAGCTCATATAAACTTGGAATTGTGGAATCTTTATGATGCAGAGTACTGTACTTGCACGACAGGAATTTAGGATTGTGTTTTACCACCTAGTTAAGTCAAGTCTCCCATTTATAGCCTATATCGCCTGCTCATGTGTAACCAGTAGAGCTGAGCTTGGCTACCAGGGAAGCTGCCAATTAAACTTTTACAAGTGGTTGCGTTCTAAATTGTTTCCTACATTATAGCTGCAATTAAATTTATTGCTTTGAATGACGCATCAATGAAGTACTGTCTATTCCTGCTACCTGAACTAACAAAGAAAATAAGCCACTCATTTACTCACGTGCCCCCTTGATGTGAGATGCTTCAGAGTATCTCCTGAAGTCATTGTTGGCATTTTAGGAAAAATTAGTCTGATGATTTCTTAATTTAAGGGAGAGTTTTAGGAAGAGAAAGGGGAATTCTTGCAACAGGAAGCAACAAATTTGTGCTGTTTTGTGCAGTGACCCTGCTGGCTGTGATACACTGTCTGCCCCCATATGCTCCAACTCTTCCTGTTGTGTCCATGGGGGAAACATGACAGCTGCTGATGTACAGTGCAGGCACGAGCGATCGCGTTTCCTCTGCTCGGCTGCCTCCACAAACTCAACACATCCCTTACTTACTGCCTCACTCTGCAGACACCTGGCGCTATTCAGTAACTGGCAATGTGGTTTGGACACCTTAAAGCACTCGTAAGGTACCCGAGACGGGTTAGCGGAGGAATAGCTCAAAACAGTTTGGCAAATGAGGCTGTGCTGTATCCTTACTGCAAAAAAAGAAGGTTCAAAGGAAACCCGAGATAGCCGCACATGTAACAGAAATACAAGATTGCAGAATAGTGGGAATAAAGCAAATCCGTTGGGAGGTCAGAGCCTCAGCCTGCGGACGCTGTTTGCTCTCGGCTGATCTGACTGGGGCGACATTTTCTTCTCTGTGTAAAATCCTTACCCCATTTTCCATGATTATGTCAATGTTACATTGTGTTTGTAATATGCGGGGATGAATGCCATTTTAACAAGGGGGGCTGTTTAATTATGTTCGTTTTGTACACTTTTCTGCTGTTTAAATGTTTGTTTTTATACAATATGCTGTTGATTTTCTTGTTGTAGGTTCTGTTTTTATTGGCTTTCCCCCCATTTGTAGTTCACTTTGAGTACATGACATCATTAAGCATTTTTTCCTAGAGGATTAGTCTTTGCAGTGTTCCTCTACAACATGCAAAAATGCCTTTTCTGTGTTTCAGCGATGCAGGCGGTTAAAGCAATTAACGTAGAACAAATAGAAGGAAAATCTGGCATATAGTATCAGGCAAAGTCCACAAAAGACATACTGCGCTTTTGTCGTTGTGCTTCTTTGTATTAGGATCAAATTAAATTGAATTAGGACGCGCAGCTATAATCTGCAGTATCTCTTCAAACTGCCAGTGCAGGACCCATTCTGTACTCTTAGAGCATGAACTGTTAGACGACTGTACAACAGAGTTCATCTCGCTCCAGTGTATCAGCTCACTGTAAATATGCCCATTTTACAAGTGATGTAACTTACTGTTATACCTCTGCCACTTCGCCTAACATTCACATCAACAGGCTGGTTTTCTGACAGCCCGTGCCCTTTTTTATGCTCATTTACAGACACTTGTACTGTATGTTATCCACTTTTTATGTCTGCCAGATTTCCTGCCTCTGTTTTCTCTTCAAGCACGAGAGCGGTGTAAATGTTCAGTAAATTTGTGTTTGTGTCAGTACAGTCCTCATATATTTTTGACTGCATTTTCATCTTTTAGTAAAACATGATTTCTTTTTTTTTTAATTGATTTTTTTTAAGGAGTATAAAATATTCCGTCTCATCCAAGGAAGCACTCCCAGTAAGCCACGGAAATGGTGAAGGAAGGATGCACATGCAGTAATTGGGTTTCGTCTGCTGTGAAAAATTCTGAACATAAAAACTGTTTTTTGTTGTTGTTTCCTTTCGTTTTGTGTGTGTGTCAGAATCATTTTTTGCCACCTTCGACATATTATTTCTGTAATCTGCTCCTAATCCTTCCCCTGTGCTGAAGCTGAATATGTGAGCAGTGGAAATGTATGCTCTAGAAATGGTGTGTTTGATGTTGTGTTCTGCTGGGTGGCACTATCTGATACCTGCCAGCCTTGTCCTGTGGAGTTTTCTGCTACACGTGAAAGCACTCTGAATATCTATACTAGCTGGTGCACTACTTTCTCTTTACTCGCTAAATCAACTATTTTTTAAATAAAGGAAAGAGTGTCAGAAAAAATCTCTCGGTACAGTACGCTTATTGCCTTTCTTGTCTAATGACTTGATGCTTCGGATTCCCTTTTTATGTTGCCGTCAATTAGATTTGATTCAGAATTTGTTTGTGGGGTTTGGGGGGTGGAGTGGAAGACTCGGCATGAAGAGCAAAGTGAAGTGGCGTCAGCAGATCCCATGATACATGAAGTGTTCTGTGTATACAATCCCTGTCTGAAAATGGGCTCTTTTTAAAAAAAAAGCATAACAAAACCTGAGGGACTGTTGTCCTAAAGATGCTGAGATGAGCTAATGGTGGTGAGCCAGTCAAGAAGAGGTTCTTTTTCTAAAGAACAAAGTGAAGATGATGAAAGTGGGAACCATTGCCAATTTGTCTCACGCTTCAACAGCACGGAGTGAAAAGCTCAGTATTTTTGTGTGCAGCTTGATCCCCTCCTTTTAACCTAATTGTTATGGGGCCTGTGTGCGATAGTGAGTGGAGTTTATTGTGCCATTCCACCCGGGCTTTTTGTTTTTCCATCACTGTTCCTTCTATGCAAAATAATAATAATTATGACCTATTTTAGCCTTTGTACAGATTATTTTGTATGAATAACGTACTGAAATAAAGTGAAAAGAATCAATCACGGATACTTTTATTTTTTATTTCCCACCTCATCCACAGCACAACTCATTTCATTAACCTGAATTTGGAAGGCTTTTGTTTCAATGAGGCTGTTTAATTTGTCCCCACACAGGACTGCTGAACTTGTTAACCTGCAGTGGAGGTGATCTGCAGGTTGTTTCTGGTACTGCTTGTTCTCACACGGTCTTGTTTCGTGGGGTATGCTTGTCATCTTTTAAACATCACATGCAAAAACAGCATGGCTCATACTGCTGCAGGGTTACTGTTGCTTCCTATTATTTGTTCTTTTAAACCTCCACTGTGCTTAATAGATCTGCAGTAGCAGGTGGAATTTTAGACACATGCTCTCATTTAAGGGTTTTCAACCATCTAAAGATGTCAAAACTATGCAGGTACGTTGGTTGTTTTATTCAGAGTTCAACACAACACAGCCATGCCATCTCATTGTTTTCACACACCTGGACCCTATTGTTTTTCAGTAGGTCAGCTCCAGGTTATCTAATTGGTATTTTGCCATGAAGCAGAGTTATGAGTGTTGTATCATATGATCTGACCTCCACAACCACACACTATGCCACCACCAGTATGGGGTATATTTTGGGATGCAATAACAGAAAAGCAGCCAGCAAGTGCTCAGAATATCTATCGTTCCCCGTTTCCTCTCAGCCAAACGGATTGCCACCCAGCCTAAGTATGGTACTGTTAGAGGTTTCTTGCAGATACAAGAGAGTTTGTCTTCTCCACTGGTGCTCAATAGGGGATTTGTTTTGTTGCTTTCTACAATAATGTAAGGTCTTGACCTTATAGTGCTCTTCAGATAGTCCCATTTACTGTGTTTGTGTGCTTTTAAGTCAGAAGTGGAAGCAACTGGGATGCTGCAAAGAAGCATACAGCTGTGATATCTAGTTATTTTCTACACTGAAGAAAATAGTACCAATAAGAAAAAAAACCTTGAGTGGGTAGTTCGCAAATTTAACCTGCTGCTGGTTGTGAATGTCTTGGCTGAAAATAGTTACATTTTATTATTATAATGACACAAATTCCATTAATAAAGCAAAATTGGTCAAATCGCTGTATTTTGTCTGAGTTCATGGAAGGAGGACGACACCACTTTCTATCTGTGCTATAAATATGAAGCCATAGCCAGCAACTGGCTAGCTTTGCTTAGCTAGGATTAGCATTACAGACTATTTTTTACGATTACAGATGAAGCAAAATTAGTGTAAACATTACAAGATGTTTGGTTTTTATTGGCCATTATGTTACAGATGAATACATTAACATGTCAAGTTCAAACCGTGAATCAAAATGGGGAAGAAAGGTGATTTAAGTGACTTTGCTTTTAAGACAGCTTGTCTGAGTATTTCAGAAACCGTTGATCTTGTGGGATTTTCCCACACAACCACCTTCAGAGTTTGCAAAGATGGTCTGAGAAAGAGAAAATATCCAGTGAGCGTAGCTAGACTACTTCAAGCTAAGAGGAAGGCAACAGGAAAGGAAGTCAAATAACCACTTGTTACAAGCAGGCTATGGAAAAGTTCATCTCTGAAAGCACAGCACATAAACCCTTGGAGCAGATGGACTACACCAACAGAAGACCACACCGGTTGCAACTCAAGTCAAGCTGAGGCTCACATGGGTTCACCCAAACTGGGCAACAGAAAAAAGTTGCCTGGTTTAATGAGTCTGGATGAGAATGTCCGAATTTGGCATGAACTACATGATGACATCAATCTAGCCCAGTGTTTCCAACCACTGTGCCACGAGAAATGACCAGGTGTGCCGTGGAAGATTACCTGGTTCCACCTGATTAGTACTCCAGGCGATCGGTGTGAGTAATGGGCAGAACAATTACATTATCTATCGATTACATTAAATGGGTTGCCAACTGCCAGTAAAACAGAAGAAGACGAAGAAGAAATTACATAGCAATACATAAATATTTGAAAAATAAAAGTAGTCACTCTGACCCAGGCCCTGGGGAAAATTCCGACCCAGATGAAATGCCAGAAGAAAGCAAAAAAGGTATACTGGGGACAAACCGAGCCAACTCCACTATGCCTGCTGTGCGGGAAAAACTTATCAATGTGCTTTTTGTGACATTTTTGTTTGGTGGTGTGCTGTGTGATTGTTCTAATGTGAAGTAGGTGCTGTGGCTCCAAAAGTTTGGGAAACACTGATCTAGTTTACCTTGTATCAGTGGTGACATAAGGGTTTGCCCCATGTACCTCCAGGATGTGGTGGAGTGATTCAGCAACTGTGTGATGCGAAATTGCTGCAACCAAAATCTGAGGAATGTTTCCAGCAATTTTCTGAATCCATTCCACAAAGATTTGAGGCCGTTCTGAAGGCAAAAAGGGTCCAACCCTGCTAATGAGGTGTAAGTGTATGGTGATGGCATGTCACATACAAAAAAAATGTGATGATTCATGACACAATTTTCAGAGCATAGTGCCATCTTACCAAAAACTCTAATATATTGATTGGAGCCAATCACAGGAAGATCCACCATACTTCTAATTTCTGTGTTCAAACAAAGCTCGAGGTGTCTGCACAGCTCAGGACATCACTATGGTATCACCCATCTGTATCATCTCTCTTTTCATATCACTCCCAGTTGGAATCCATAGATTCCATTAGCACTACCAAAGGTAAAGTAAAAATGTTGCATAATTACAGAGTGCAACCTCCTCCCAGTTAAGGTTCTGTTCAACTAAAATCTGATTTGTATTCAATCTAGAAAAAAAAGGTGAAACTCATTAAATACGAGTCTCTGGCAAGTCACTGAGTTACTGAGGGATCTGGTGTCCAGTGATGATGTAACACATTAACTTTATAGTTACGTTTTTGTGCTTCCGGTCATTCTGACAGATGATCCTTCATCACCAGTCAATAATCAGCTTTAGTCTTTCAATCTATATCTCTTCACAGAGTTTGTGGCTTGACTTCTTTCTTTCTTTTTAACTTCTTTATTGGTTTGAATGTTATTTACTCAAAGTTTGGCAGATTCAATCTAAAGCACACTGGAGACATCACAGCAAAAGGCAATGTCATGTAACTACATTAGATGTTCCTCCTCTCAAAAATGTCATTGTCCAGCCTCTGTCAACCGTCCTTCTGCTTTATTCACTGGAACAGTAATCTGAATCTGTAATCTGCAGACTAGAACATGAAACTTTCACAAGCAATAAACATTAATACAGAAAGACGAGTGCACTGCGTTTGTGCGATGTGGAATCTAGGCCCTTTGACATAATGGCGAGAGGAGACAGAATGCACAGGGGTAAACTAAAGGCAGCTTGTAGGCCATTCAGCTGCTGTCAGCTAGAGATATTTTTTGTGCAATCTGACCCATCAGCCTACATGGACAGTTCTGGGTCTCACCAGCACGGTGAGGCGGCGTCACAAATCCATGCCCCCCTTTTTTTTAAGCCACCCCAACACCAGCACAGCTTGCAACCCACCCGCTTCTCACAGATTCACATGGCGCCTGCAGATCTGCTGGGTGGGGCAGGAACTGGGGACTGTTTACAAGTGAAACTCGCTGTAGCTTTACACCTCAATAAATAATGGACCGGAAACTGAATCTGGACCGAGCTGAGACATTCTCCTTTGTCAACCCGTGGATCAGATACTTTCTCTTCTTCTTCAGCTTCTTATTTTGGGTGAGTAGAGTTGCAACGATAAAAGTGTTGTGCCGTCCCGGCAGACAATATACTCTAAATATTTTGGAGAATGCAAATCACCAGCAATCAGAGAGCTTTCAAAGAAGACAGATCTGCTACAAAGAAAAACCAAAAAGTATATAAATAATAAATGGAGAAAAGAAATTCAGCTATTATCGGGAGTTAAAAACAGCAGGAGCACCCAGCCTCCATGCTGCTACCTATTTCACGTTTAGTACAGTTACACATGAGAACTTTGATTGCCTGTATACATCACTGCAGCAATGCATTCGTAACAAATAAATCGAGTACTGACTCATACTAAACCATAAAACACCATGTAAGCACACTAGTACTCTGTAAATGAATTCTACTTGGAAGCTGTTTCTGAATGTAATAACTGCTGCATCATTTCACAGTATGGTTGCACAAATGCAGAGTCCACAGTTACAGTGCTGTGAAAAAGTATTTGCCCTTCCCGGTTTCTCATTTGTCTCATTTATAAATTTCAGCTCATGTAACAAATTTTAATATTACAAAGATTGTCCAAATGAATGCAGTTTCGTAAATGATGCTTTCGTTTATCAAGGAAGGAAAGAAAAGCTATCCAATCCTACCCGGTGCTGTGTGAAAAAGTAATTGCCCCCTCAACCTAATAAGTGGTTGTGTCACTCTTGGCAGCAAGAACTGCAATCAAGCGTTTGTGATGACTGGTATTTAGTCTTTCGCATCGCTGTGGAAAAATTCTGGCCCACTCTTGTTTGCAGAATAGTTTTAATGAAGTCTCATTGGAGGGTTTTCAAGCATGAATGGCCTTGTTGAAGGTCACGCCAAAGTATCTCAACCTGATCTGAGTTCGGACTTTGAATAGGCCACTCGAAACCTTCAGTTTGTTTTGCTTTTTTGAGCCATTCAGAGGTGTACTCGCTGGTGTGTTTGGATCATTGTCCTGCTGGATTGCCCAAGTGTCCTTAAACTTCAGGGCATGAGCTGATGGATGGACGTTTACAGGCTCCCAGACAATCATATTACTATTTGTATGAAATGTTGTGTTTGTTTTAAGCCAAACATTCCACCAAGTTTAACTTTTTTCTTGTCAGTCTTCAGTATATTTTCCCAAAAGTCTTTGGGATCATCAACATGTTACTGTTTGGGTTTTTTTGGCAAATTTGAGCCTCTGTGTTCTTTTCGGTCAGCAGTGTTTTCGCCTTGTAACTCTCCCATAGATGCCATTTTCGACATCAGTTTCTTTCTTATTGTTGAATCGTGAGCACTGACTTTAGCTGAGACAGGTGAGGCCTGCAGTTCTTTAGATGTTGTCCCAGGTTCTTTGGTGACCTGGTGGACGAGTCGTTGATGTGCTCGATGTGTTGGTGAAACAGAAAATAAATTGGTTGATATATTTGAACGATATTCTTAATGGTAGATAAACTGTTACATTTCAGGCAGTATAGTGGATACATAACTGCATAAATGTGTGAGCACGCTGATGTTAATGGATGCTTATATGTTTTTTGCTCACTAGCTCAGGAGATGATCTGACCCAGTCACAATTCAGCCCCTGTCAGTCGCTCACACCATCACACCTTCCATTTCTCCCGTATTCAAGGACAGGTGCCCTAAATCGCTTATTTTCTAACAGATGTCAGGCATGCATGCACTGCTGATATGACATAATCATTATGCGTTTTTTGTAAGTCTTACATTATACACGCTCCTCTACTGTGGCTGTTAGTGTAACAAAAAGACAACAAGACAACTGGGAAATGATAGAATGATAGAAAGGTACAGCGGATACACTGAAGCAGCCATTAAAGCACCGCGTCCTCCATGAGCAGTTGCTTTCGCACAAAAACACACACTATTAAAATAGAGCTGTTTGGCTCACTTACTTTCCCAGCACATTACAAGTCGAGCACACAGATCACATCTCTAACTCTGCTAACTCCCTACACCTCCATTACATCCCTGTTCATCCAATCCTCCACAAAAACAGCAGGGGGGCAAACACTGTACTGTGCTCCTACTGTGTTTAGAGCCAATCAGCAATAACTGCACCCGCAGCAGCCTCATACCCCAGCCCGTGTTGACTTTGTTTATCAGACATGGGCTCAGGAGCGAACACTGCAGCCCTAATCCATCAGGCCTTTGTCCCCCCGTCCCCGTGGCTCAGTTGAGCTGGCTTTCACCTCCACACAAAATCCTCTGGGAGAAGTCTGATTCATCCCTTTGAAAAGCCTGAAAAACAGAGCTGGAATACATTCACTGTGTAAGTGTGTCTCCTGTTGCAAATGCCACCCTCATTCACAAAAGGCACAGTCAGTGGAAAACTGACAAAAGGAGCTGCAGGTGCGCACACTCCTACACGTCAGAAAATACCCCTTAAAAATGTACAATGGTACTTCCAAAGAAAATAGGCGCTATCCACGTTTTGTGTTTTGGCAGCTTTTCTCTTGTCAAGGTAGATTATTGATTCAAAAAGTAGTACCATATCCTGTCATGCAATAATTTACATCTCCAGAGCACAAAACACCGGTTTGGCATGAAGGCTGGCCAAGGAAAAATTATACCTCTTTCAAGGAAAATTACACCTCTAGAGATCCAATACAGGCTTCTGAGACGGAAACAAATCTGTGTTTATAAAGGCTGAACAAAATGCATCCTTTATACACAAAAGCAAACACGCACAAATTAGTAATCAGGAGAATGTCTGTGAATTCGGAGGCTGGAAATGGAAGCCAGGACCGCACAGATTGTTATTCAAGGTGAGAAAAGCAATCACAGAGAGAAGGGAAATTAATGTTGACAATGCAATCAACGGGAAGCGTTAATTCCACCTGTTTTCCACTCACTTGGCTCCTTTAATACGTCGATTCTATTTGGGTGAACTCACCTCTTCAGCAGTTCACAACACGTTCGGGTAACACTGTTTAAAAGAAGCGCACGCACACACATCACAGTCAAGAACTAAGTGACGTTAGGGTGGATAATAAAAACAATTCTCTAACCAAGGTCGAGTTCTTCTCGCAGTTCTATAAATCCTGATAAAAACTGGAGAGAGCATTTTTCAGTTCTGGAGGATTTCCATCGCAGTCACAGGCGGACTGAGTCTGATTTCTGTTGCGAGGTTCCACATTAAACAGAGGTCCATATGTTATTATTTTTTTTCCCTGTTGATATCCATCTGTCCGTTTACCGCCAACACATAAACTAGTGATGCAGTTACCATGGCAACGGGTGCTCTGCCTACTCAGCACCTGAGGAAAAAGCTTATCATCACTAATCTAATCACACCTGTCCTGCAAACAAAAGTCCGAGGCGGCACCCTGGAAGGAACATGTTTCCTTTCAACAACTTTTCAAACATCCAAATAAAGACTCAACCTGGATAAATTACAAACACACTGCATTTTCTGGGCTTTGCTATTGCTAATTAATTACCAGCTTAGAAGTATCTGGTGTTTAATTTCCCAAGCAGAATACGAAGGACAGACAGCAAACGCGATAGAGGAGAATTACTTGCTTTCTTTGCTGGTGAAAAATAAATAAAAATTGCTGGTAATAATAAAATCATCTCCTTTTTTTCCAGGTTTTCTCCCTGTTGATTGTTGCAATTGGTGTGTATGCTAAAGTCCAGAAGGCCACAGGTACGCAAGACGACACTTTTCGCTCACACCTCCTAAACTCCAAAGTGAATTAAAGACCAGCGATAAACCGTCCCTCATAAAAGAGGTGCAGGAATGAGGTGGCACTCTCCTTGGGATCGTAAACTGTTTAGCTTTCCTGGCACAAAGCAAATGTGTGTCAGGCTTTCGCCTTCATTTTACCTGGTGTCTTTAATGTTGTAATTACTATGAGAGATATATATATATAGTTGAGAGACAACCAAAATTTTTTTACCTGTGTTCATTGTGCACAACCCCACAATAGATCATTAGCTGCTAGCGTAGGAAGGGATGCTGCAAAGACAGGGAAACAAGGTACATGATGGAATTATTTAAATCAAAATCAGGTATTGGGGTTGGAAACAAACAGAGGCTGTTTTCCCGTCTTTCTGCCAGACACGGTGAGGGACACGTTCCTGATCGACCCGGCTGTCATCTTAATCGTGGTGGGGGTGGTCATGTTCTTCATCACTTTCTGTGGCTGTATCGGAGCTCTCAGAGAGAACATTCGCCTCCTCAAGACAGTAATAGACCTCACAGACACATTACAAATACTGGCACAGTGTTTTGCTTCCATCTAATCCAAAGCCAAGTCTCACATCTTATGTGTAACAACTAATCTGTCCTTTAAGATGATATTAGTCACAGCCTTTTAATATTTTTGTCTTTACTCCCTAGTTCTCCTTCAGCCTCACACTGGTCTTCCTCACCCAGCTGGCCATAGCGATTCTGGGCTTCTTTTACTCCGATCAGGTATCTGAATCTTTACAGACTGTTCTGTGCGCTGGCTCAGTTATTCTACGAGGCCATTTAAGGCCACATTCAGGCTCCAGTGATAACAATGAGCACTATTGATTTATGGTGTCATTTCCCGGCTTTTGGACATTCTGTACATTTGTAAACTGCAGTATATGCAACTTAATAAGGCAGACATCTGATCCCACAGATGGGCCAGCTTAGCCCACAGGGGAAATGTCTTGTTAATGTCTGTGCTGCGCCGCATACACAGGAAACAGAACGGCGTATACGCCAGCTTCCAGTGAGAATCAGTGTTTGTGTCACTCTCTATAAATCCTCCAAATGACTCAGGCTTGTTCTATAGACTGACAGAAAATACGCGAGAACTTTCTCTCTGTATTACAATGTGATTTGAAGTGACTGGATATAAAAACTATTTGGGTTTATTGTGGCAAAGTTTTGAATGCTAGTGGCAATAACGGCAACGACAGCATTGTGTTCAGTGAGCTAATTGTTGGCACCTGGGGACAATGGAAAGAAGCAAGAGTGTGCTTCCAGGCAAACTCATAAACTTTAACGTACTACCTCTCTATGTATATGAATAAATAATGGTGCCAGTAGCAGTACCAGTACCTTTGACCACTGGAGTTAAAGTTTTATTGAGCTCGCTGACATGTTTGGTCTTTGCATTGATGCGTTTGTTTTGCAGTTATTCCCACAGACCACAGCTTTTATTGATTTCAGAATTAAGTCAACCTGACTAAATAGTCTCATTCGCAGCCTGTCTCCTGCCTCTCTAATTGATACAATTAGAACAATTTAAAACAAAAAAAGAATTTTAACGATTGTTTTTTATTATACATTAATAATAAGTTTAATTCCAGGTCTAGATACATTAAAAATGTCTGTTTTTGTGACCATAGGTGATCTAGTCTGTGGCTGCATGAATGTACATATGTACTACAGTACTATATCTCAGCCTATATCTTATACTTATATGACCCAAGTGATTGGTTTGGAGACTACAGGGATGAGAAGGATCCCCCTCCACTTATCCCCTTCACTAACATCCCATTAGGGCTCCACCGAGAATAAAAAACACAACAGCCAGCAGTGGCAGCACTCGCTGTCATCAGTGGCGGGGATCCTGGTGCCTGATGATACCTCTCCTCTCCCTTGTGTTCTCTGTCAGCACTCAGACTGCCTGCTGCTAAACAGAGTAGTTTAACAACCCTCCCAGCATCCTTCCTCGCTAAATGATTCAAATGCTTCGGCACTTCAAAGTGGAACCAAATGTTCCATTTCAACAGATCCCTTGAAGGAGACTTTGCCGCTAATGACACACTGTGACGGTAGCCTCCAAAGCCCACGAGCAAACTGCACCACGTGGGAACAGAAACAGGGGAAGGCACAGGGTGAGCGTAAGGAACATTGTAAAAATCCTAACACAAATTAACAAAACTACTTCAGGATAACATTTTGGGCTATTTTGACAGTGCTCACAGTATTTATCAACATAACCTGTTCTAACGTAGTTTGTAATGCGAACAATTCGCAAAGCCTTTAGCAAAGCATTCAGAGAAGTTTGTTTTAATGAGAATTTAAAGTTCAGTGGCTCATTATCATACAGTGCTCCTATTAGCATATATTACATCTGAACTCAGCCTGTATAACCATGGCCCTCTTTGTTCTCAGCGTCTTAAAAGGTGGAAGAATAGCAAAAACAAATATTAACAATGCAAGCCCTCGTTAATACTCTGAAAATGAAAATAATCTTATAGACAATGAAAGTTAAAGTAACAAGCAGGACAAAATTTCACCGTCTGAATCAGCCTCGTTCAGTTTCAAATGCTCATTACTGATAACTCAGTCAAATAACGTATTCATATATCATCTAGGTTTTGTTTATTCAGCTCGAGAGGAGCTGATGAAAATCGACACATTATAATAACAAATGGCTAAGTTCAAGTAATTATCTACTATAATGTAGAACCTGCATATGTGCTTTGTGTTTGGTATGCGCTTCATGTATAGTTCTCACAGGCACAAATGGTTTTATTATTCTGTATGCTGTACTTCCTGCTCTGCTGCCGCCTGGTTTACGTGCATCCCGCGGGACGCTTTACAATGTAAACAGGACGATGCTGTGTTGCCTCCAAACCCATGTGTTAATATTTGTTTATTTTCAGAAAAAACTGAAGTGGCCTTTTATGGAAAAAAAAGTTCAATGCAACGTTGAACATGAATACCGTTTATGCAAATGGTGAAAAGTCCCACAAAAAGTCGATCAAATCTACAGCAAAGCCACCTGATTAACTATGAATAGGTGTCTGACAGCTCCCCAGAAACCGTTTTAGCTTGGATCTGAAATTATCCTCGACTTCATCATTTCAAGCTTCGTGGGGATTTTTCACTGCATCTGTTCAAAAGAGGGTTCACAAAAAGGTACTTTACAATCCGAGTAATTAACTGAGAGATCAGTTGTGTCAATGAGCACCTTAGCAGGCAAGTAACAAAGACATCTGCAGATAGTTTATTGTAAAACATGCTGTTATTCTGTGTATTCAATCAGCCTTTTCCTCTCTCTTAGGCACGGGATGCTTTGGGAAAGTTTGTAAAGAAAGCAATTGTGCACTACAGGGATGACCTGGATCTGCAGAACCTGATGGATTACATTCAAAAAGAGGTGCTCTCATTGGCCATTTCCACTGAGCCGGAGTGGCTCCTTTTGTCTGTAGAAGTCTTCAAACTGATCACAGATAGTTTATTGGATGCATCTGAGACTAAAGCAAGAAACCGCAGTTTGTTTTGTTTTTTTTGCCTTAGCGAGGGTTTCCACAGGAGGCTACATGCAACTTACAGTTCCTGTTCTCTGTGGGTCACCTCATGTGAAACTGCTCTTCCATCTGCACATGCTGGCACATTTATGAGTTTGGGTTTTCCCACGGGAGAAGCCCTGACTGGCAGGATGCCCAGTACAGACCAACACTATGTTTCTAAATATACACCCGATTTCACTTTTCACTCTTCATTTTTCTTTTTCCCCCCAGTTCAAGTGTTGTGGATGGAACAACTACACTGATTGGTCTTGGAACCTCTACTTTAATTGTACACATGACAACCCCAGCTCTGAGCGCTGTGGTGTGCCTTATTCCTGCTGTACTCCTGTTCCTGGGGAGGTCAGTCTTTCTCTGTTTAGCCTCTTAACATACACAACATGTACAAACTAACAGCGTGCCTTAAAAGAAACCTTAACACAAACTTTCATAATCTTAAGATGATGTATTATTAAGATTGTTGACCTCACAATTTCAGTCAGCATTTCAAATTTGTTCAGCGTTTTAAATCTTCTCTGTCATGCCGAATTCACTTGATTAAGCAACTGACAAATCAAACCTCCTTCACATTTATGATAAACAGAAACAAGAAAGGCAGAAAGATTGTGACATGAACAGAACAAGCAGCTGTATGATGATGAAACAGGCTCTTAACACTTTATTAACAGAGAAAAATAAATAAAACTGCTGAAAATTTAAAGTTACAAAAAAAATCTTGTATCTTGACTCAGCAGGGTCTTATGCAGGAGCTTGGTGAGTAGAACAGACTGTGGCAATAAAGGATAACACACGTAAAGCTACCCAGCCATGTCGACACAAGTGTGCGCCAGTCGTGTGTATTTCACATTCACCTCCACACATCTCTCTCTGAATGCAAGATATGTATGTGGCCAGTATTCAACAGGAGACAAAGTATGGCAGCTATGCATGTACGCCTGTAGTGATGAAGTGCTTTGAGAGACTGGTCTGTTAGCACATCAGGGCCGGTCTGCCTCCCACTCTGGACCCCCACCAATTTGCCTACAGGACAAACCGATCCACCGAGGACGCTATCACCATAGCGCTCCACACTGCGCTGAGTCACCCGGAGCACCGAGGAAGCTATGTGAGAATGCTCTTTCTGGACTTCAGCTCAGCATTCAATCATATCATCCCGGAGATCCTGGTCCAGAAACTGTCTCACCTGGGACTCTCCACCCCCATCTGCCTCTGGATCAAGGACTTCCTGACAAATAGACCACAGTCTGTCAGACTCGGCCCCCACCGGTCCAGCACCATCACACTCAGCACCGGGTCTCCACAAGGATGTGTTTTGAGTCCCCTCCTGTTTACGCTCTACACATCCGACTGCTCCCCTACCCATCTCTCAAACACCATCATAAAGTTCGCGGATGACACCACAGTGGTTGGACTCATCTCAAGGGGGGATGAGTCGGACTACAGAGATGAGGTCAACAGACTGACTGAGTGGTGTTCAGTTAACAACCTCCAACTGAACACCACGAAAACTAAAGAACTTATCTTGGACTTCAGGAAGGGCAGAGCAGACCCGGCCCCACTTTACATTCACGGGAACTGTGTGGAGAGGGTACACTCCATGAGGTTTCTGGGCGTGCAATCTCTGATGACCTCTCCTGGACTGCAAATACTAAAAAAGGCCCAGCAGCGTCTCCACTTTCTGAGAGTGCTCAGGAGGAACAACCTGGAGGAGAGGCTGCTGGTGACATTTTACAGAGCCACCATAGAGAGCATCCTAACGTACGGCATAACAACATGGTATGCAGGGTGCTCAGCTGCGGACAGGAAAGTACTGCAGAGGGTCATCAACACAGCCCAGAAGATCACTGGCTGCTCTCTGCCCAGCCTGGAGGTCACTGCAAACTCTCGGTACCTCAGCAGAGCTGGCAATATCATCAAGGACCACTCTCACCCCAGCAACCAACTGTTTGAACTATTACCGTCAGGCCGACGGTACAGGTCACATAAAACCAGGACAAACAGATTCAGGGATAGCTTCTTTCCCAGAGCTATCACCGTAGTAAATAAGCACAAAAACAACTGAACCTGCTTAGCTATACCATACTGTCACTGCCATTATATCAATGCTGCTATCCTGCATATATCGTACTTACTATTGTTTGAGTACTTGCGATTATTTTATTGTACTTTTTATATTTTACATTTATATTTATTATTTATCTTGCACCAAGGGAGTGGCACTCCAATTTCGTTGTACTCTGTACAATGACAATAAAGGCTATTCTATTTCTTCTAAACTTGGAGAATAGGACTTCCACGGGTCCCTGGAGTCTCCAGACAGTTTCATTCGATTAGAAGTGAGGCTTCTCTGTTAAGACATCAGACTGTCTTATCCAACAGAAGTGAGACTGTCAGCTGATGATGGGGATTCAAGACTTTCCACTGACAAGCTGGCATTAAGAGAGACCCAAAGAAAATTTGAAATCATCTATAAAATATACCCGATACTTTAGCTAATGGTCTGTGGATGCTGAATTATAGCCAGCACTGCCTGACTGTGACAACCTGCGTTGTTTTGACATGTACGCAAGTGTGTCCAAACTAAGAGGCTCTCAGTCGGGAGGTGGCAAGAACATGTCTGCATCTGCTTGTAAAAGCAGTTTTTGGTATTGCCTTCCTTTCCTTTAGGATTAGCTGTCATGCACAGAACTGGTCTCATAATGGCCAACCAGTTTCTCTTAAAAGGAATCTGCAAATTGATTGGTTGAGTACCTGAATGAGTCACTGCCAGGCAATTTCCATCTTAAAGAAAAAAGAAAAACAAACATGTTTAACATATTCCGATATGATCAACCTTACAGTAAATTTGCACAGATGATTCCAAATCAAAGTCTTCTTTCATGAAGGTTTTATGATATTTTGAGACTACTGAATCAACACTACAGCTATCTGCGTGCATGAGGATCCATGCTGTCATACAAACAGCATATATGTAAATGTCTGCATGAGCACAAACTTTGGATTCACAAATACACGCAAAAAAATCTCTGTACAGACGCAGCAGCACAGCTTGAAAACCACCACCGAGGAAAAAACATCTATCACACTATTGATTAAACATCATGCAACTCTGAAAACAGATCACAGCAACATTTTACAACATGGGGTAAAAATAAAATAACATTAAAACCAACTAAAAACGATTAATTAAACAGTTTGAGAGCTGCTGCTGTGCTGCGACCTGCTGGTAGTACCCTGTAACTGCATGGTTCCCTCAGGGATTAGGTAGCTTTTCTTTTCAGAGCCAGTGGGTTTTGCTTGTACTGCTCACATTATTTTCTTTCCTCTCAACAAACGTCACTCTTTCATTATTTCCAATTTACTTTCAATTCAAAGTAAAAACAAGCAATGTGAAACCAGCAGCATGAAAGCGACATCTGAACGTATTTAGAGTGCTTTAGGTTTATGTGCTTATCAATGTATCATGCACTCAGGGTTTCGTCTGTCTTTGCTTTTGTTCATCTGGCTTACAGGCAGTGATCAACACTATGTGCGGTTTTGGAGTTCAAACGCAAAACTTCATGGAGGCAAACAAGTCGATCTACCCAGTAGGCTGTGCAGACAAGGCAGTGATGTGGATCGAGTCTCATCTGCTGCTGGTGGGAGCTCTCGCCTTGGGTCTGGCCTTGCCTCAGGTAACCCAGTGTAGTAATTAGGCAACACAGGACTAGTAACTTGCCAAAAGGACTAGTTTCATCTTGAATAAGACTACAAACAAACAAGCCAATATAACTATTAATGAAAGTTTGCTGGATTCAGTGTGTAGCAATCAACATATTGACTGGAGACGCTCCCTCAAAGGCAAACTTCAAACTGGCGTTTTTGGATGTTGCTGCGAAAACAGTCCAAGCTTGACTTCAGCAATCAGAGCCATGCAGACTTTATACTCTCATACAAATCTCAATCTGAGAGCTTCCCACGGCCTTTTTTACAAGTTCAATATCGTCCTTGTAAAAAAATAAATAAATAAATTTTTTAAAAAAAGGATAAAACTTGGATTCTAGAGGAAACCAATAAGGAGTAGGGTTAATGTGAGGCCACTGTGCTTCAAGGGACTTGGAATGGTGTGTTCTACCTAGACAGCAATAACTAGGCACATTGGGACAATAAAATTTTAACTGCACATTATTCATTTATTACACTATCCTAGAATGAGTACAGGTTAATGTGCAACAGAGGTAGAGGGGTGTGTGTGATAATGTAATATGTCTAAGAGATGCTGACGACTCCCTGATTCTCACTGTGCAACGCACCACGATCCCCCAGCATTTCAGCTGCAGCAGACGGAAATCTAGAGAATCTGAAATGCCAGAATCTGAAAATAGACAGGCCTCCTCTTGAAGCTCTTCTTCCTCTTCTAAATCCCTCCCATGTTGTCCCATAAATATGTACCAAACATCTATGCTGACGCCTTCTATTGCAATGGCAGTTCTTTATACTACTTACCTGCTAAAATTTCCCATCATGAACTACATTTTTTAAAGCCTGAACAAATGGGTCAAGAGAAATGTATTCACACCAACACCACCTAAATTACAAAATGCTGACAGGATGTGTTACGGGGATGATTTTGTTTTGCCCCTCTACCAATGATGCTGAAAACACGCCTTGATAACTAAATAAAACCATTCAATACACATTAGGCAAACATGAAATCAAATTAGCACTTATAACGAGCTGCCTCTAAATAATTACTCCGTTTACTTATTAAAATGTTTCAGCTAATATTAAATGGCAATCTAGCAGAAGGTGTAGCTTTAGCACAGGATGTTTAAACTGATTTGTCTCATTCTCATCTGTACGCTAGGCTCTGCAGTGAATCTGAAGAGAAGCACAAATTACCCACAAGGCCCGACAGAGCAATTGCATTAGTTTTCTAATGCTTTGATGTGCCGTAAATCTGATGAAGTTCTCTTTTAAGTCTTGCATATCCTCTCAAAACACTTACTGACACTTACTTTGTCTGCATAACAAGCCACAGTGTTAATTATAGACTGCTGTTTAAAAGCTGTGTTTGCAACCCAATGGTTTGGTTCCTCTCTGTAAGAACACCTTATGATCGGCTTGACAGGTGCGTGCAAATGTGAGTACGCAATTATTTTAAGTGACTCGTTTGAGTCAGTCTCAACTAATTTGGGAACCTTTCTTCCCAGCGCCACATTGCAGCACCCTGCTAAGGGACCTTGAGATGCTCGGTACAGAACGTACAGTTACAGAGAGCCTCTTCTGTGATCTGAAGTGGCTGCTGTTGTCCTCTAGATTGCAGGAATTGTGCTGTCCCAGATCCTGATCTCTCAGATTCAAGATGAGATTACCTCAGTGTTGTGAGAGTACTACGACAGAGGGGAAGAAAACGAAAGAAAGGAACTTGCAGTACTCCACTCAGCTTCTCTGACATGTTCAAGGACATCTTTTCTACAGCTACTACTGCAATATCCGGGCATGTGATATTCTTAACATGTGGTTGCCTACAGGTATACAAGTGTGATGCACTTTAATGTATTATTTACAGTCAATTATATGCCAAGTGTATATATTATTAACCGGTTTTGAACATTGACGTCAAGATTTCATCTCTTTAAATGTGAAAAGTTTGCTTATAGAATTGAGTTAAAACATATGCATTTATTATTTTATGTTACTGTTTATCGATGAACATCAGCTCACATAAAGCAAGTCATTATGTGTCGTGTTTTAAAGGTCTGGAAACACAACATTCACACACTGCTCGCCTCCCTCACTCAGCTAACGGGAAAGAAAGAGTGAAGTAGTAAATCAAACAATTTCTGATCCTAAAGTCAAGGTAGGCGTAGCCACACCTCCACACAACCAGGCAAGAAGGTGTCACACTGGATTTTGTGCGAATGCAGCCAATATGCAGTGTACGTACTCGCCACTGTGGGCCATCTGTTCTGCAACCCTGTGTTGGTCAAACAGATACAGACCCTCAGCTGTCCATGAGAGACAGAGAGCAGAATGTGGGTAAAGCATTGTCCTCGTAGCTGTTTTTATAGCGCACCACCACACACTTCAAGTGTTTCATAAGTCACAACTGTGACGAATTTATTTTGCTCAAAGTCCAAAGATTGGTTTTTGTATATTATTTCTTCAACACCATTTATCATAGACATTGTCAGGCTATTGCTGATGTTACATACATGGATATAGATACATACATATAGATCAAAGTGTTTAGTATTAAATCAGTTATTTTTAAACTCTAATCAAAGAAATAAATGTTACATTTTTGATTTTTTTTTAATCAAAGGAAGCTCATTTTAAAATGTTACATCAATTTCAATATAACATTTTAGGTATTTGAAATTTCAAAATGCTATTTTTCCCCAAAAAAAACATTTTTCTCTTTCTTTAAATCTCACATTTTTATATATTTCAGCAGCATTATCACCACATTCCCACCTTTCAGTCGGGGTTCAGCCTTGTAGCACCAGTTCAACAGCTGCTACTCAATTTAGCCCAGTGGAAATCTTTTTACAACAATGTAAAAAACCATACCAAGCTGTACAGTAACTAAATAAATGAAAGGACTTAAGACGGTTTATAAAATGTACAACAGCATTAAACCAGCTAAACAGGGTTTGGGGGGGGGGGTGTTTATTGCTGAGCATCACAAGTCAAGATCCAGTGGCAGTAATATTAATCATCATTTAAAGCTCTGATGAGCTAAACAATCAATATAGAATATTTATAAAAGCAAATGTTAGTTTATTTGTTTAAATACAGAAAGTGAGAGAAGGTTCATTTAAAATAACATTGTTTTCAGTCTAGCTTCAGAGTGCACAGCGCCACCACTGTCATGTAATATAAGTAATAAAAGCTTTCATTAGAAAAATGGAAATACAATTATTTGGGGAATAAAATTAACAATTTTTGGAATGAATAAAATTAAATTTTTTTGCACATAAGTTATTGCAGAAATTTGAATAATTCAATTTTACATATTTTTTCATGTCAAACTAGCTTACAGCTGTGTATTAATTATTGAATACTTGGAGTCTATAGTAAGAAAGAACTTCAATGCGAACTACAATGAGATTTGCATGAAAGGTTTCCACTCTCTTAACACTCCAAGCTCTTGATAGTTAAATCTTTTAAACCCACAATGGTTGTTTTTTTTGTATGGGAACTGGTTTGTGCACCTCTAGTCCTGAAGTGCAAGAGCTTTCTGCATCAGACGATGGGTCAGAGGGGAGTTTGGCCTCACGGCATCGCGCTCTGCCAGAAGACATCTTGGGAAATTCAGCACAAGACAGTGCAAAGACATGAACACAGATTCAAAGAGACTGCAGGCTGAGAGGCTAAGCTGATCAATAATGAAAGTATAACATGCTGTACAGACATGGATGTCAGTTACATAATAGGAGCATGAAAGCAGCTCGTGCTCTGTATGCAGATGGAAAGCAGTTAAAGAAAATCGGAGTGGACAGCAATCGCAACAAAACTATGTTGGAATTTCAGTGTTTCAGTGAATGAAAGATGGGGTTTTATTTCCCCTCGCACAATCTTCTGGCATATTCCCATGCAAAAACACACTGATACTGGGGGGAAAACACCCCAAAGCATGAAGCCTGAAATCCCTGCTGCTCCTTACCTTCCCAGCTTCTGGTGGTGCTTATTCTCCGATTTCATCGCAGCATGAATAAGCAGCTGATTAAACAGATCCCTCTGAAAACAACAATACACAAACACATTATTAGACACAAACCTCTTTCAGTTGTAAAAAGACATTCTGCATTTTGTGTTAGATTGTGTTACATTTTATGTAAACTGTGACGCCTTAGAGAACGGTTCTCAGAACAAAAATAACATAAAAGAGTTCATTATTCATACACTGGTGCACTGCACTCCACATGTTCACACGGTCTGGTATGTTCATAGATAGAAAGACTGCAGCTTTTCTGCACAACACTCCTAACCTCTGACCTGTTTTTACAGCATCAAGGATTTCACTTTTGCTCAAGAAAACAAAGTATGAGCAATGATATCCAAAGATAGCAAAGCCTCGAGGCTTAAACATTTTCAGCAGTTCACTAGGAGAGCTGCAGTTTGAAATGATTTTCTTTAACAGTTAATAAATTCTTTGAGACTTACCTGTGCATCACTGCCACCTATGTCTACCATGCGATAGCGTAAAGGGTATAGTAGCTCCACAGTTTGACCGTAGTTACCCTGGTTGTACTCCAGCATAGCCTGGCACATTGGTATCCCTATAGTCCCGGCCAGCTGATGCTGCTGATTGTCTCCTGGCTCCCTGTGCAAGAAAAACACGGTTTTAAAAAAGGAAACAACTTTTCTTATAAAAGGAGCCAAAGATACAGAGTAACAAGTTAAAACCTGTTAATGCTGCATCTCAAAGAAGGCATCAGCATTAAATATTTTGTGAGAGTAGAAATCCAGGCATCTGGTTTGTCGTGCAAAAAGAAAATTAAAGCAAACATAAAGAACACATTCTGGAAAAAGACACTCTGTGGCTAGTTAGTTTATTTCTACATTTTTTGCTGACTTGTAAAGACACGGGAATGTTTCCCTCTCCTTTATCTTTTGTGGTAGTTTCCCTTGTGGCAGGCTCTCCATGTGTGATAGCATATTGGTGTCTAAGTCTGCCCTCCTCACACAAATGGAGACGAACTGAACAGAAGCGAGTTCAGTGAAGTGCATCTAATATTATGTGAATTTAAACACTTGTTATGTCACTGTAAGTGCATTAAAAGCTTCGAGAAGTGTGAGTCCATCTGAAATGACTTCAGAGAATGACTCTCTTAGGTTTGTCATTGGAAAAAAAAAAAAAAAAAGTGCTGCTGTTGCACTTATCCAAACTTCTGCGGCCCAGTCTCCTCCCTACAGCAGTCAATCTAGAGGGAAAGCTGCAAAGACATCTGAGAAGGATTCACTTCACTGTCCTTAAGCTTTCTCAGATTAGCAAATACTCTGAGTGACTGCCTCTGACTGTATAATTACCATATGGAAAAATATGGATTAGTTTAAACTATGCAATCCTCCAAAGACCCAGGTAATAAAAAGTAATATGCTAGATGTAATTGATGCATGCTGCGTTTGAACATGCATGCAGCTCGTCTAATACACTCAAAGTAAAGCTGCGATGAGGAGAAAATTACATTTTCTTACTTAACTCACTTTCAAAGAAATCCAACACGTCTTAAGTAATAGTGAAAGCACGACAGCTTTAAGGACTGGTTTTAAATGTGAGCTGTGCTGTGGTTTGTATGCTCGACGAAACGAAGAGCACAGGCCATTATAACCTCAGAGGCATCTGCTGCAGAGGGAAGCCCCTCTCTCTGACTGTATTCACACTCTATCTCACATCCTACGCTCAGTCTTGTCTCCATTTTACATAAGGCTTGTGTTGTTCTTATGTAAGCCTGACAGAGTGTTGAGGTGTGCAGTGAAGAGAAGAAATGGCACGAAACTTACTTCGCCAATTCCTGAAGGCCCTCCAGCAGACGCCGACTAGTCCCAGTCTCTTTAGCTCCCAGCGACACCATAAGGAAGTGAAGGTCATTAAACAAGGTCACATGATCGTCAGTGTGAGGCCGAGTTACTTGGAGCAGCTCCTGCCAACGCTCCTTCACACACACTCCTGAAACATGCAGAAACACAAACACGCTAATACAGCTTGAAGGCTGCATAGTCAGCTGTAAAACAGAGCAGGAAGAAAATGTGGTCAGAGGTTCTGTTAATTACCTTAATTTCCAACAAAGCACTTTTGAGGTTCAAATTAATGAAGGATGGCAACTGAGATTATCTCACCTCATTAGCAGTTTCACTCAACACCATACTGTCTTAAATTATCTTAAATTATTTGTTCCAGTTGCCCATCAGCCCATTAGTAACACATTAGGAAATGTTGCAGCATTTTGCCAGCTGGCATCATTTTAAACATATTCTATGAGCACAAAAAAAATGCATTACTCCTGAATTTTAATCAGAGTGTGATGAGTGTCTGAGATGTATTTTTAGCATGCAGTTTGTTCTATATCTTACCGTCCATTTCCAATCTGTAAAGTAATGAGCAGGCATCTACAATGTCCAACATGGCTCCCGAGGCCTTGCAACGCCTGAAAACCTTAGTTGAACACAACACACTGTCATCACTATTCATTCTAATCACCAAAGGACATACAGACGTTTACATGCACTCGTCATGGGCATGAATGTCACGGTCAGTTTGCTCTTTGTTCTTTTTCCAGGGTTTAACTACCGTAAATGTCGGGCTATAAGCCGCTACTTTTTGCACAAGCTTTGAACCCTGCGGCTTTTAGTCAGGTGCGGCTTTTCTATGGATTGTCCGTGATTTTTGTCATATCGTAAGACGATTTGTTTTGTGTGTTCCGCTGTTGTACGGCACTACGTTGCCTGGCGGAAGGATCGGGGTTCAAGAGTGGTATGTTAGTCACATGTCCGTCCGCCAGGCAACGTAGTGCCGTACGAAGTAGCGCGAAAAACAAACTTCAAAGTAGCGGTACGCGTTCAGCGGGAGTCGTGGATGATGAGCGGCGATAAACTTGCAAGTTATGCCCAAAAAGCAAGTTATGCCCAACTCCACCGGTGGATTCTGACAGCGTGGAAAAGTGTGAAAACATCCACGATCACCAACGGATTTTGAAGGGCTGGACTGCTGCATGATGGAGAGGAGGACACCGCCACGGCCCTTCTGAGGGTGTTCGACTCTGACACTGACAATGAGGATTTCTTTGGTTTTGAAAGTGACAACGAAGGAGAGAAGAAGAGTGGATGACGAAGCCATCCTGAGCCTGTTTGTATCCGACACTGGAGAAGAGGACTTTGGTGGTTTTAGTGCGCAGGAAGAAGAGAAAGATGGTGGTGAATGACTGACTTTTCTTCTTGTTAAAGCTGTGTCACTGCACCTGAGCCTAAAAGGTAGTCCGAATCTATTTTTCTGGTGTGCTGTAGGCTACTGTTATGTACTACATGTGCAAATATGTACCCATAACTTGTTTTTCAAAATATTAATAAAAGTGATGTCTCCAAACAGCCATCTCTTTCCTGACAATTCCCTTTGTGCATATTCTCTTACATATGATAAGTCAACATTGAAACACCTGCGGCTTTTAGTCAGGTGCGGCTAATGTATGTACAAAACAGGATTTTCCCCTGATTTTAGCTTGTGCGGCTAATATTTAGGTGCGCTTTGTAGTCCGGGAAATACGGTAATTGTAGAGCATACATCTTTAAGGACTAAAAAACAAGAACTGGGCCACATACATACATATACAGTATATAACTACTATTTGGTTAAATGTCACTTAATAAACCAGTTTCAAAGTGTGTTTAGGATCACTGACCCAATTGTGTATCCAAGTTTCAGCTGTCTAGCTGTTGACTTGAGGTAAAGAAGAAGTTGGAGGTAGTCCTTTAGTATCAACTGCAGGAAAACAGCCCCAGAGCTTGATGCTACCCCCACCTTGACTGACAGCTGGTAGCCTATTCTAACCTTTACTTCTCCAAACTTCCTCGTCATTGTGGTCGAACAGCTCAATCTTTGTCTTGTCTGACCATAAAACTTTTCTCCACAAGGCTTGTCTCTGTGGGTTCAGTTCAGTTGTGCTTGAATTTTGCAGCAGGGGCTTTGTTTCTCGGTTCATAGCGATGCTTCACTGTGGACGCTCAGCCTGGTGTTGCAGCAGCTTCCTGTTCATGGCAGGATTTTTGATAGTTTGAGTCTTCTTCTAGACCTTAGCAAAGCTGTGACATACCTGAATAACTTTTACTTATGTACAATAGTTTTGAAGTTTGATGATCTTAGAATTTCCAGTTGTTTAGAAATGTCTCAGAGAGACCTTTCCAACTTGTGTGAATCTACACAAGTTCCTTGGACTTTCCCATTGCTCTGAGCATTGATCGATTCAGCGCGTGATGTCGAGCAAATAATTTGTATGCTGTAAGTTAACAGGTCTTCACCTTGTCAAATTACCAGACAATGTACGACCTTCAGCACCCCTTATTAATAGACTTAAGTGAGTGTATTTTTTTTGACAACTTTATTTATAATTTTCCAATATGACAAAAGTACAGAAAAATATAACTCGAATTGCGATTAAACGCTGCCATTGTGAAACTGGTTACGCCAGTGGCAAACCAGTTGGATGCAGGAAAATGTGTAATCTATGGGCACATACAAAAAAAAAAGTACTATCACGTGAACAAGGCAAAAAAAACAAAAACAAACGAACAGAAAAAAAACAAAACCCACCAAAGAAAACAAAACAAACAAAAATAGAATAAAATAAATACATAAATAAAAGGGGGGGCTGCATTGTGCGCAGTTCTGCAAACACCTCTTAAGTGAGTGTATTTAAGTATTTGAGCCTGTACGTATGATTCTGACCTTTGATGGATTAGAAAAAAATCTAAACTAAAATCCAACTTTTAAGCCAAATTCTTGTTTTTAAATATTTAAAGGTGTATCCACCTAACACTTCAAAGAAAGTCAGCCAAGAATTACCATGACATTCGTGTCCATGACGACTGTACACAACGTCTGACCACGTTGTGTACAGTTCAGAGAAATAAAGAAAAGAAAAAAGCGAGATGCTGAACTTTGCTGATGTGAATTTCAGAATTTCTTTTGCGTTCAAACTTTTAGCTGAGAAATATTATTCTAAAGGTGCAGGACATCAAAGAGATGTACTTTCAAATTGTCTCTCTTATTTTTGGAGTATCACGAAATATAATCCGCTTTGGCTGTTGACACTGAAATGAGTGTGGGTGGTTCCTTGGCTCTGACATATGAATGTGGATTTGACTTTCATTTTTGTTCACGCTTACCTTCTTGACTCACAACGAGCACATCAAACTGCATTAGTCTGCGTCTCTTGTGCAGTGTTGTGCAGTGGTGTATGCGTGACTCTGGAAATTACTAAGAGTATGTACTCAGACAGCTATAGTATTAAAGTTTAGATGCAAACTTTCAACAGAAACCAACCTGAGTGTCGTATATTTGCAGAGCAGCTTCGTGTTGCCTCTGTGGAGGAGGTGAGGAAGACAAATTTGAATAAGTTGAGCACTGAGAAATGGGCAACGTGGATAAATTGAGTTGCCCAAATGCAAACACAAATTAATCTTACAATATAATCAACCCCAGGCTTCAAATTACCTATGGGAGACAATATCATAAATACATTCTCCACAAACACTGTGACTGCCAGCTTTCCGCTTGGCTGAAAAACCCATTATCATCTTTACCTTCTCGATGAAAAATAGAGCCCAGTGCCAATAGTTATGACTGGCCAGCATGTCAGTTACCTGGAATTAAACATTACAGAGTTCAAATACTTTTCCCGGGGCTATTTGGATATGTAATATAATTCAGTCGTCTATGGAACAGATTACTTGTATGCGATTAATCAAAAACAGAAAAGAACAAAGTCATCGTACCTCCCAGTCTTTCTCTCTACTTTCCATGAACTTCAAGCCTTTGTCCAACTCTGCCTTCATCTCACAAACATGGGCTACAGAGTGGACTGACCAAGCATCGTCGGGAGTTAGAGCGAGCCCCTTCACAAGAGAGTTTGCCGTTTTGAAGCAAGAAGAAGCGATGAACGTGTTGATAAGTAACTAGATCTAAAATGACCAATCCAAAATAACTGCATTCTAAACACTCAACATCAATCTTTTCAGCGACCCTCATATCATACTTTGTATGCATTACACGCTGAGTTTTGAAGGGTCTGCTGTTTATTCCTGTAGGTCTTTGACAGCAAATTACTTGCAGAGTTGAACTAACGAAATCAGAAAAGGGACCGAGAGTCCAAAACCCCCTGCTACAATAATGGCACCAGCTTGAATAACAGCAGAGAAGAAAATCTCACCTCCATGGCTACTTTCTCAGCCTGGTCATAGAAACGAGTTTCCAGGAGACCAAAGGAATATAGTCCATTCAGGTAGCTGAGAGCAGGTATGTGCACACATACGTACACACAAAAACAAAGTAAAAAATTAAATTTAAAAAAAAAAAAAAGAAGATCTAATATGGCTCATTTCAGACAGTGAATTTACAAACGAGCTGCACCAATGCACAGCATACAGGAAATATTTATATTATTTCAAACTTTGAATCATGCAAAGCTACTCTGAGAGTGAAAGAACATCCTAACAGTTTGAAAGCATACATGCACACTTTAAACACAAAAATACTAAGCACTGCACAACTACTTACTGTAAACAAGCCTCATTAGCTTACATGCTGTATGTTTTGCAGGTATGCATCCATACTGTCCCAATGCATGGCATCAATGTTTAGATTGACAAACAAAATAAATCTCTGGTGACATTAAGCTGTCTTTTGTACCTGGACAAAGGCATGTGTGGTTTCCAGTGGGGAAGCACCCTGGCCACTGAGTCCCTCATTTGCATTTGGGCTCCCATGTAGAAATAAGCATCATGTGCAAACTTGAGGGCCAACATATCAGTTGGGTGGTCTAGCAGAATATCTTCCCATGCCTCACAGGCTTTCGGAAAATTTCTACAAGACAAATGTGTCGGTTTAAAAAAAAGAAAGAAAAAAAGAGCGCGTTCAGGGAACGTTGATCGGTACCTGGAGAATCACAAATGTCAATATGCTTTGTGAGCAGATTAGAGGGACTTGGAAAGTATCGCAAAGACAATGCTGAGAGCCAAAATGGCTCCTCGATATTACAGTATAGCTGACTATACCCCGGGGAAATAAGACAATGAATATAAAATTCAAATATTACTTGCTGGACTGTGACTGAAATTTTACAGAAGAGCTTGGCAGACAATCTGTAGTAAGAGAGTGTATCACATAAGGCCAGGCAAATAACTTAGGGAATGAATATCACCTGATAAAAAATAAATTAAAAAAACACTTGTACTTCTGTGTTATATATAAAAAAAACACAAGTTCAATCTATTTCTTCTGGCTCAATGGAACTCATTTCGACTCAGACTTCAACTACAGACCCCAGTGACAGATAAGATTAAATATGTAAGAGTCTCTCTTAGCATACAACTCTGAGAATGATTAAGTTACTTCATTTTAAAGTCATTACATCAGGATTTTGTACAGATTTATAACAGAAATATTTTTGATAGCATTAAATAATTAACCCTTAAAATAATTTTGATAAAACCAGTTTTGTGCACATAAAAAAAACTGTTGCAGTGTGCAGGGCTCTTGGATAAGGCACGCTAAAACTAACCACATTTTATGCTTTTAAAAAACAAGTGTTTGTGTGCTGTCAATTATTGAGGTTTTTGTTTGTTTGATTGATTTTACATTTGTTATGCATTTCAATCATAAACATGCTTTTCAATCAGTTTCCTGTAAATTCACAACCACTTTGAACATTTAGAGAATTGGGTTTGCTGACTGATACAGGTTTCATATCGTCATCATGGGTTTATTGAGGCCTTCTGAGCAGGAAAACATTCAAAGATAAATTTGGCTCAAACACAACCCAATGAAGCACGGGCTGCTTTGTGACTGCGTCTCCTGCTGTGGCGGTCTGGCTCTGGGCAGGGATAGCTCAGTAGGTAGAGTGGTGGCCCTGAGGTACCCCTGAGCAAGGTACCGTCCCTACACACTGCTCCCCGGGCGCTGCACTGGTGGCTGCCCACTGCTTCACTGGGTGAATGGGTTAAATGCAGAGGAACTATTTCCCTATGGGGACTACTTTACACTTTTTTTTGGACCTTACCCGTGTGAGAAGAGCTCCATGGCTTTGACATGGAGTCTCTCTCTGGAAGTGATGTCCTGGCTGTTGGCAAGTTCCACCGTCCTCCTCACAGCACTTGACAGACGCTCATCCAGCCTGGTGGAGCTTGTTGTTGCCACTAGCTCCAGGCCTGTACTTATCACATGCCCCATAACTACAGGAAAAACAAATAACAGCTGTCTTTTCTTTCTGGAGGTTTCCGCAGCTGCAGTTCTCATGGGGAACGAATCACATGCACTTGTAAAGTTTTGCCTTTGGACTTAAGTAAAATATTACAGGAGCTTCTTGGTTCCATTTCTGTTTATTTGCAACATGAGATGAAGAATAAGAGTTGTTTATCTCCACTGTATGCCCCTGATACGAATGAGTGCAAGCAGCCAGCATTTTAAAGGGTGTCTATTGTCAGCAATGTTAAACTTGGAAGACCTCAAATTGTTTTTCTTATGTAACCAGACATTAGGATCAATCAATTCAATCAACGTGTGTGTTTACAGCGGCTAAACTAAAAAGCAGCTTGCAAGTTCTGAGGAGAATCAATAAGTGTTGAACTTGCACAAAGGAGGGTAGAGTCATTTGCATGAACAACAACTAAATGCTTGATCAGAGCTCAAACTGACAGCTGACAACTGAGGCCTCCCAGCTACACATAACACTGAAATAATCTGAAGTGACTGACCTCTAACATGTTTATTTAAAGAGTAGTAGCCACATTTAATTGTTTTTCCTTGCAGCGTATAAACTAATCAGACATCTCAGGGTTTCTTTAGTCTTATTTTGTTGTTTTCCTTATTTCCATATTTATCAGAAGCATAGTTAACCCCACATATAGTTACCAAAATTTGGGTCAGCTGCCTGGACAGCAGAAATGCATCCTTCAATTCCTCCCAAGCTGTCATCGTTCCTCCACTTCACGTACTGGGGGGTTAAAACACAATTTAGATCTTAAACAGCCTGAAACACCCACGGTGTGCAAACTGCGTGTGCATGTGGAACAGGTGTTAAGTAGGCTACCTGCGTGAGTATGGCGTCATACATTTTACAAGCCTCATTACTGCTGGTGGACAATGTAAGCCCCTCCGCCCTCCATGCCTGCAAGAAACGGGAGCATAATGGTGCAGACGTTAATGCTGGGTTTCAGTGTGTAAGCCGTTTGCATGACAAACATGCTGTTGTCTCGTCGGCTTGAGCAACCTGAGGTTAAAGATTCATCGAGTAAAGGCAGCCAATTTCATTTCAGTGTTACCCAGAGCTTAAATAAATCTACTTGTTATTGTAAAAGTTCCGGACACTTATCAACAGTGGACATGTAACTTATCGAGGTTTGCCTGCTTTACGCCCCTGCATGAATATTTTTCTGTAAACTAACAGTTTTATCCTTTTTTCACTTTAAATATACATATCTCAATAATACAAACTATGTTTGTCAATCCTTACTGCCACTCAGTTATTGCAACAAATAAAGAGAAAGTGTCGCTTTCTGTTCTTCATCCTTCTTTAAAGTTTCTTTCTCTCTCCGAGTCACTGACCTGGCAGTCCCTGAAGCTTGAGGAAATCATTTCTAAATCTTCAGCTTCTCCACCTACACGGAAAAAAAAAAACCTGCTGGTGGGTCAACTTCTCGGTCAATAAAAGAAAAAAAGAAAAACGGGCCGGAAGTTTGCCCCTCCGTTGACACTCTTTCAAAATAAGTGCACGAGTAGCGTTTAGAAAGTCTACGTCAGAATGTTTTCAGAAAGCATGCGCTTTATTTTGTTAACTGACCTGCTATTTACGAGTCCACAAGATTATTTAATGTTAAAAACATTTTCCCCACATTCCGTTTGCTTTACTTAAAGAACCTGCTGTCGTTATCGGTTACGGAGGAGAAACTATCCTCGGTGGCTACAAGAATTATCAGACGGGGAGTCTTAATAATGTTGTAGGATTTATCTTGGCTTTTGCTTGAGAAATTTAATTTTTCACAGATGACAGGACCATTCAACAGGCAGGGGGCATCAAACGTATTAAATGTACAATTCTGGGTTTTTGATGTCTGACACCAAGGCACTAAAAATCTATTTTCCCCACCTCTGCTGAGAAGATTACATTTCAGCCCCCACCCTCTTTATTCTCCCTCATGCAAGTCCCCCAATTTCATGGAAGCGCAGCAATAAAATATCAGGTAATTTTAAGATGCCTGGGTTCCATCACAGTGCCCGCTACAGCTTCTTTGGCAAGTTAAAAGGCAGGTAGAAGTTAAGATTGAAGTTAAATGCGTTTCAAAATATACAGGAAAAGCACAGATAATACCATATGAACAGTATTCTACTACTTCTTTAAATCTATGCAGTCCCACCACATTATATAGCCTGCCTATTTGCATTTAGGAATTAATTCCTTTCTGCTACTGTACTTTGTGTTCTCGGTAGAAAGCCTCCGCTAATCCTTTATTAAGCCTGGGCTTGTAATGAAAGCAGAGAAAAAGTCACAGTAACATCTCAGGCTGGCTAAGGTGGAATGAAAGGTTTAAAAATAATAATCTCTTGCTCATAACTATAAGACATTCAATTAAAAAGTTTGATTTTAGAGGACAAACACGTAAAAGAACTGCATCGTTTATTGCCGTCTTCAGCATACATCCAACACCCCTATGAATTTTAGCTACATGAAGCATTTACATTACAAGTCGTTTGTCGACAGAGTAGTTTTAAAAATTAGGATTCACTTTCTTTACATATGATACAATTTGCACAGGTTAATAAATATCAATACAATCATGTCAACCTTGGAACACACAATCTAAAACAACAGCCCATAAAATTGTGTAATATTCACAGCTCCAAACAAGTCATAAATATAGCCTCTGACATTTCTACACTGTAAAACAGTGCCCACCTGGATTTGTACAGTTGGCAAAGAGGCCTACTAGTCCACCAAGGATGTCCAACGGATAAACCAAACCAATATTCTCATTCAATGCAGCTTGTGCAGTTCTTTAGGGTCCCATTTATGTGTAGTTTGGGGACCTGCTGTAGAAAAGTGTTGTTTTAAAAAAGAGCTCCAGTGGAACACACAGATGTGATTATTGGATACCTCAAAAAAAATCTAAACAAAATAAAAACTTAAGTTTATAGAATGGAAATGAAAAGGCATCTTTTTCAAAGCTAAAGTATTAACACTGCAGTATATAGTTGTGTAGTGTTCTCTCTTCCCCACAGTAAGTCCTCCCATACTAACAACAGTAACATCAGGTCGTTAGTAACATCCCATTGTTAATACAGTCTATCCCGAGGATTGTTTCTACTGTTTAACAAAGCAGGAACCAAAATGTGAACAAATACTTGTAAACGTTAACGGTCAGTGTGATACACAGCCAACGAGAGCTCACAGAGAGGCCCATCATCATCATCAACTCATGTGAAATGCTTAAATATTTGCATCCAAGTCTTCTATGTGCCTGAAGCCATAATTCCTGACATGCAGCGGCATGTATGCGAGATACAAAAGAGATATGCGAGATAATGAGATTCTGGGCACTCTCCTGTGAATACAAATAAAATTAAAACAAAACCATTTTTTTTAACTGTTAAAAGCAAAACATGATAATAAATACATAAACATGGACATATTTAATGGATTCATAGTGGTGACAGACTCTGCAGGGGGAAAGGAAAGAAAACAACAACAACCCTGGAGCGTTTTATGATGCATTTGTGGTTTCTGAAGGATGCTGATGTGAGTTTGTCACTAGGGAGAAAAAAGGCAGCTTCAGCAGAGTCCGTTCTACAGTCGGACTGAAAAGAGCGAGCTAGGAGACCTTGCTCTGACATTTAAAACACACCTCTGCAGCACTAAGACCGAGGACCCTCATCTACTGAAAATGGGACTCGATTATACCCCCTCCCATTTTTGTTTTTACAATTCTTGTACATCAGCAGGACCAATCTTCATTCTTCCCTTTAAATAGTGGAGAACAAAGTCTTTAAACGCTCTCCTAACCCCCCGCCACAATTTTCAAGGTTGATGTTAAAGTTGTGAATATACACACCACGTCTCCACCCACAGACTGAGACAGCAAGCATAACTGCAAAGTGATTAACATGTACTGCCTTTGGGCAGGGGATATGTAAACGCTGCAGACTGCTCCAACATCACAGGCAGCAGCCGTAGTGTACATATTATGTTGTTGGGGTTCTTCACACATTCACTGCTCTAGGTGTGACAGTTTTAGGCCAAATGCCTGTGTCAAAGTTCAGCAGATATATCCACATCAAAGACGCCCACGTGAGACTGAGAGCACCTACGAGCAGTCGAAAACTTGAAATGATTTCCCTCACATCAAGCCCAGTTGAGGTTAAAGCCTTTAGAGAGCATAACAGCCTCCAGGTCCTTGTCTTCCTCCTTCTCTCGAAGTCTCTGCTCCTCCAGGAGGGCAACCAGGGCATCTCGTTGCTCCACCACTTCCAACATCTCATTCAGGATCTGCTTCTCCTCAGCCAGTTCCTTCTCAGATTTCAGGTGGTCTGAAAGAAGCCCGTGCAAATTTGAAAACAAAGAGACGTTATGCAGATATGAATGCTGGGAGCTCATTTGTATAGCCCGTCAGCTAATTTGCATTCGAGCATTCACCTTCCACGGCCATCCGTTCCCTGAGTTCCTGCTGCAGTCGGCTCTGTCTGTCCTCCAGCTCCAACTCTCTGGCACTTGGGGACAGAAAGTAAGAAGGGAGACTGGCTAAGTTAGTGTCACTAATGAGCTATAGCTTTCGACATCTACATTATTCATCAGACTATTCATTTATCTATGTAGCATTTCATTAAAGAATATACTATCTGGCTTAAAAAAAAAAGATGGGCTATTAATCTAAAAGCTTTTAGTAAGCAATGATGAGATGATACTGGATAATTTAAGGGCCAAAATTAAAGCAGTAAAGTTGGTTTTCCTACATTTTTATAAATGTATTGAAAAAGCGGTCACATATCAGCAGATGAAAAATAAGTGACTTCATAGCAGGGGAATCAACATCACACTCATAATATTACTATTTATAAAATAAGGAGGTAATAAATCTCTACTTCTGTCAAGAGAAACATAACTTATAAACCTTAAGAAAGACATTATATTACATATTTAGGCATTTATGATATTACACTTATAAAGTAATCTGACGCTGGAATGTATTTTGATCACCCGGCAACCTTCGGGAAGACTGGCTGCAACTTTTGGTTTCTTTAACCCAACTTAAGGGTAAAAATAAACATTTATGACAACATATGTGCACTGGACTCATTCAATTTATAGATGCATCTTGTTAACCTATGAAAATGAGATGCTAACTTAGCACACCACCCTCTCATCCATGCACGGTCACTTCTGAAAAGAAGGATCCCTTTAAAACTGTAGTTCCCGAACCAGCTGGTGAGAATACAGTGACGTGGTCTGTTATTTACAAACCTATAATTTGTTTATTATTCTGTTCACTGCTCTGAAGTTTCTCACCAACTACTGAAAACTATCAGAGTCCAAGGAATTCAAGAATCATGATGTCTGGTCATGGCCCCGTTGTATTATCCACTTACTATAAATCACTTTATAAGATGTACCCTTAAAATTAACCACTGAATTCACCTCATCTCAGCCAACTACTGACATTTTCTAAAGATCAGTTTTCCATCTGTACAGTGCACATTAGTGAAATTTGCCATCATACATGTACCTACATAAAAAGAAGAAGCTGACATATGAACCAGTGACAACCAAGTTTTGCATCTTGGACATTAAAAGTATCCAATCAGCTAACACATTTGGGGGTTTTTCCAGTGCACCTTTAAAGGAATGTACTTACAATATCATGAGTTCGGACTCGTAGCGGACTAGGGCATTTTTCTCCTGCACCAGCTTGAACCACTCTTGCATTAGTTTAGGATCGTCTTTCTTACCCATACCTGGATGGAAGGAGGAAGCACAGAGCAGCAGTGAGACTCCAGGTGGCTGCGGCACGACACTCATGTCACAGAGACGAGGACTGACACAGGCAATGCAATGACAGCCAAGCCAGGATGTCCTTACTGAGGGATGGTGAGGTGGAAGAATGGATTCGACATTGACGCGATTGGCCGTGCCATACCTAACGATGGCACTCAGAAGGTGAGGAGGAGCTACAGGACTCAAATTTGGCATGTGTGCACATAGAAACACACACATTCCACATACAAACACATACAGACAATACCTGTTGTTGTGAAGCTGAGAGTTTGTGTTACCCAGTTTGGTCCTTTCGACAGACGTAGCTACTTTCTGAGCAACTCCTATATGTTTTTTTTGCAAGTGTGAGTAATAATAAAAAAATTCACAAGTCTACCAATCAATAGCTAAGATATTAGAGAGAAATATGGAAATATTTCATCTTCCCCTGTCCACATATTGACCGACCAGCTGAAATGAAATCCTTTCAGATCCTATTCATGCTCGGTGGTTTTATGGGTACAAAATAGGTGTGAATTATTCTGCAGTCTTTACATATTCAATAACGTACTGAAGTGTTATAGGAGGACTTATCACTGAGACCAGTAGAGAAGTTCCCTCTATTCATCCTGCCACAGAGACGAGCATATTTAGTGCTGCTGGCATCATGCATTGCAGTCAGAGCGCAGAGCAGCTGCACACTTCTCCTGTAGTCCCACTTGACTATGCAGAGAAGACCAGTGTATGGGGCATGCTTAGGGAAGGTCTGCTGCTGGGGCGATGCACCCTTTCATTTATCTGACTGCAGCAGGTGGAGCCAAGCGGTCTTGATGAAACACCAGAAGGCGAACCTTGATGCAGCGTGACATACTTAGCTGGGGAAGAGGAGGCTCTTGCACAACGAAAAGAAAAAACATTGTACACACATAAATAGCATGGCTGTGGTCTCGGGCACTGGCTGCTGCTAATTGACAGACAAGGGACAGAGAGAGAGGCAGAGCTGGAGGAGAGCTGCTCACACTTAGAGCAATGCAACATGAGAAGACAAAAACACGAAGCCTGATTTACCAGACCTATTCTACAATGGGAGCTTTTCTTCTTCCTTAACTACTTCTGTCTGTTCCACTGACACCACCCTTCAGCCAAGGCTCCCATCACAAAAGAAACAAGGACAAAAACAACATGCCTTTCTTTTTGGGGGGGATTTTTTTCTCTTCACATGGATTGAAAGCTTCACTGACCGAACCACGTGGCCCACTCATTTTTAAGACTTACATAAGGCTGGAATTTTACAACAAATCATCACAGCATGCAAGTTTCTTGCTGACAGGCCAGTCAGGTGTCAGGTGGTCATTGCTCAGTTTGAACATTTTATCAAAGGATAAGCCAGGAAATCCAACCAAAACATGCTGCTGATTAGAGTCACGCTGTGGCTGAGTAGTTAGTAAGTCACTGCAGTAGCACTTAGATGGTCTAAACTTTCTACATTATTGTATTAAAATAGGTTGAAAGGTGATTTCTTTATTTAAAAAAGAAAAATGCACTACAGTCTTCAATATTCTGTTTTTCTGGTATGGCATTTTCTGAAAATGAGCATTACACAGGAAAGACATAATCCATTACGGCTAGCAAAGAAGTATGCTATTAGCTAAATCTTGATATTAAATTACTCCCACAGTAAAACACCTGTTCAGGACTCGAGGGACCCCCCGAGTAGGAGCAGAGATGTGTTCTGGTAAACTATCCAAAATGATATAAAGCGGTCCCTCGTTTATCGCAGGAGTTACGTTCTAAAAATAACCCGTGACAGGTGAAATCCACGAAGTAGCCAACTTTATTTTTTTACAATTATTATAGATGTTTTAAGGCTGTAAAACCTTTCACTACACACTTTATACACTTTTCTGAGACAGGCGTGGACTTTTTCACACTTTTCAAAACGTTTCATCGACATCGTTGCGTTTGTTGGGGAGAAAACAAACATACCGTACGGCACTTCAGAGACACGCTGCTAGCGATCGAAGATTTATGTAGATTTGATAAGCTGAACGCGTTCTGTACTGTACAGGAGACACGGCACGAGATTGATTGACAATGGTCTACAGCCAATCAGGACGCAGAAGACAATACGCTGGAAAAAAAACAACAAAAAACAAACATGCAAAATTGAACCCAAAAAAAATCTGTAAAACAGCGAGGCTTCGAAAGGTGCACGGTGTTACAGCGAGGGACCACTGTATACTTCTAACAAAATTATTTTTCCCCAACATCAGCTTCAGCGTGATGAGCTCCTTCATATTCTGGAGAAACCTACTGAGCCTAATGTCACACAAACAGTTAGGAAAAGCTGGGAGGACAAAGGGGGGGGACCAACGATGTAGCCCATTTCTGGAGATCCTTACGCTTGCAGGTAACCTGCCACAACTGGCGGCAGATGCAGCGAGGTTATGTTACCTTCAGGGGAACAGCAGGGGCAGAAGGAGAGCGGTCTTCGGCGAGGCATCCCCACAAAGGGCTCAACTTCCACAAGACAGAGGGGAAAGAGCGTGAGGGAGTGACGCAGGTGGGCACATTAGGAGGGGAGGTAAGAAATAGTAAGAATGGAGGAAATGATGTGGGAGGAAGAAAAAAAATAGACATGACAGAGGCAAAGAGAAGAGGACAAAGAGGGTGCAGGAGGAAGGGGAAGGAGAGGTTTGAGGTGAGGAAGAAAATATCAAAGAGAAAAATCAACAGGGGACAGGAGCACTGCGATAGGGAGCAGACAAATCACCTAGAGAGAGGAGGTGGGAAGAGATCAGCTGTGTGGTGTGAGAAATGAAAAATATGGGATAAAATAAGAACAGAAAACAAGAGGGGGGAAATCTAGAGCATAGGAAGAGAAAATAATCCTGTTTGATCTTGCAAGTGTAGTTCTTCACATGATCTTTCAATTAGGTAAAAGCACCCTATATCTGTGCGCTACACACCACGCACATAGCCAGTGGTTATATATAAATGATTTATTCCCATTATAAAACCCATTACTGCTCATCAATCCATCCCACTCGCACATGCAGATAATTGCTTCATCTTTAAAGTGCTGCTTCTTGTACACGCTACATGTTTAGACCACCCTGCGTAATTTGTTGCCGGTTTGGCGACTTCTGAAGTGTAGCTTCTTCTCAAGTGCAAATTAGGATTTTTTTCTTCTTCTTATTTGCATCCACTAAAAAGATTTTCTCAAAACGTAAGATTACATATAGTGGTTTTTTCTTTATCTTCGCCTAAAATATAGACTAGAAAATATGTGTAATGTAAGGCACATTTCACTTAAAATGGAGCAAATATGCAGGATCTTCTATAGTAAGGGCTCATACTCGTGTAAAAAAAAAAAAGATTTTTCAGGTTGGAAGGTGAGGAGGCGTGAGAGAATGAAATGCTCAATACGTGCTACAAGGGACTATCACAGAAAAGAAGGAAAAATTGCAACTTAAAAAGACCGAGGCCCTAATAAAATGTTTATGGCTTCCCCAAATCATCCAAGTGTGCTTATGGATTGTGTTGTTTGTTCAATGAATCCTCATCTATGCTCATAATTATTAAAGTTGATTATTACATTTCTAAGTAAAGTTAATAAAAATAGCAGAAAGAAGAAGGGGAAATTACCTGGCTTTAATATTAGATTTTTCCTCTTTTTTGTTTTTTCCTTGCAGGTCTCATCTGCTAGCACAAACCGTATAACCCACTATTCAGTGTAAGCGCCACAGTTCTTCATCACCCACCAAACACGATAAGCAGGACGGAGGACTAATGGAAAATTATCAGGAAGCTAAAAGCGTTTTTTTGTGACACATCCAACCCAAAACATTCAACAAACCCAAAACAGTTTCAAGTTCATACATTTGAATTAGCTCAGAAAGAACAAATAAAACCAGCTGGATTGGAAGTGATGAAACACCATGCCTCCTGTTAGACTTCTGGGCAACCAATTAGAAGGGGAAACTCGGACGCTTGCAGAGTGACCTTTGTGCCAAAACAAAATGACTCTGCACAATCTTCTTTTTGATGAGTGGCGACAACCAGCAACACAAAAGCACAGAGAAGCCCTGCATAAAGAAATGCTCATTTTTCTCCCTCGTGCTGAGAAACTCCATTTACGCTAAATAACTAAAAATCAAACACGTGTTTCTCACAAACCGAATTCACAGCAGACGTGAGGTGAAAAAGATGCATTCCTCTCATACTCGAGTCTAAAGGAGAACAGTGGACACGACGAGACACAGTCAACGCGTTAAACAGTTTTCCAGCCGCAGCTTGTACACAGCGGCTAATGTTTTAAGATTACAGCACTACCCATTAGTGCACACATACACACACACAAACACTTTGGGGAGTTATGCAACTGAGCAGGTATGAGAAAGATTGCTGGGACTACAGTGCAGAACTACAGCAGGACAGAGTTCTGAGGCGAAGCTAAGAGCCAGGCTAGGAGTTTAGTATTAGTCAAACCAGGGTGGGTCACAGGTTACACATGTGTGTGTGGTCGGCAGGTGTCTGAGGTTTGTCCATCTTCCATCACACTCTAGCTCCAATGTGCAAGATCGGAACATGACTAGATGAGATGAGTTGACTCAAAAGTGTCACAAACGCGATATCTTTAGATGTAATGTGACAGTTGACAATAAAAACACAGAAATAAGACACAGATTTTTTTTTTTTTTTACATCTTTCTTGAAATACAAGGCTGGGATTTCTTTTCTCTTATTGTTAAAATGAGGAAAGCCAAAGCTCTTTCAGTTCATCTACAAACTGCGTTGCTTCAAACATGTTTTCCTTCCAGCTAATGGTGTAAAAGAGGACAACTGACAAAGATCGATTTAGAAATTTGCACTAGAAATGAAAATAGAGACCCTGTGCATGCAATATTACGAATGTACCAATTAAAAAGAGATGATTTACTGAAAAAAGGTCATTAGTTTAAAACAAATACAGACATTAATCTGTTTTACAGTTGTCCTGTATGTCTCCCATAAAAATAACACTGAATATATCGATGTAGGAATATGAGAAGACAGCAGGATCAGTGCATTGGTGGTTTTGGTCTTCTCATGAACAGAATATCCAACGTTCCCAGCCTTTAAGTAGAACTCTGTACTTTTCTCGGTTCCCCATCTCAGCTGGCCTGCTGCTACTCGCCAGGATTTTATTTGATGAACAGTATATTATTCTATCTGCTGAATTAAACGTTTTAATGAATACGCAACAGAAGACCAGAACTTTAATGTGCAGCAAAAGCATGAATGCATACTGCTGCTCTAATATCACTCTTTGCAGTGCGTCGCCGTTTGCATCAGTGCTGCGCCAAACAGTCTACGTGCAGCAGAGTGACAAATAAAAGTTACTTATTAATTCGTTCATTCATCATTCATAAGTTTATAGAGATCAAAGACAATCTTAAGAGAACAGCACGAGGCCAAGTGTCTGATCTCCGTTTGATGTAAAGAGTGTCTGAACTACAAACCCAGTAAAGGAGAAAGCGAGGGGAGGGAGGGTAAAGGAGCAGAGAGCATCGCAGTGGCTTAAAGCCAGCCAGCCAATCACGGCGGATATGAGGGGTACAAAGCTCAAGTAGTAACAGGGAGGAGGAAGGACAGATTGGGTTAGCCATTAGGTTAGTTTTAAAGCGACAGATGTGAAATACATACCGCCCAGATGCAAGTCCAGGATTTCACTGTAATTAGAATCTCCCCAATAGTCTACAACGACAGGGATATATTAGAGATAGGAGTTACTTCACACAGCCCCAAACTAGGCACACAAACACGCACACACTGAAATCTCCAACAAAAGCAAGTCATGCATGTTCTCTGAAACATACAGACACACACAGAGTCCATCAGTACTCACCACAATTCAAATGCAGTCATTTTGTGCAACAGAATATTTCCAATGACGATAATAAAAGACTGCTGCATAGATTTGGTGTGTTGCCGTTTGCTGGGTTACTCTGCATATTTGCTCTGTGTGTGTGTGTTTGTGTGTGTGTGTGTGTGTGTGTGTGTGTGTGTGTGTGTGTGTGTGTGTGTCTCGACGTGTTGAGGAGAAAAGAAGAACTAGCTCTCCACTTATGTACAATTAAATCTACGTGTGCTGAGATCTTTGGGTGGAGCAGATAAGCTGTTATGCATTCCCAATGCAGCAAAAAAAATGAGTAAATTGAAAAAAAGATAAGACAAGATCTCAAGAAATATCTGTATCAAGTCATCCAACCACAGCAAATATTTGCAGAAATGATTCCAATAACAAAGTTGTCGGGCTGCAAACCAATCCGAATTTGATTTCTTACATTCTGATTGCATTTAGGAAATCTAACGTGATCCGAGTATTGACTGGAGAGGCGGTGAGAGAGACGAAACACATCCAGAATGAGCAGACACCAATCTATGTCGGGGAGGGGGACACACGCATTCTCCTCGTTTGCATGCAGCTTGGACTGATGATGGCAGACACGTTATGAACGAACACATATCGACATGTTCGGAGATGGAGAACTGTTGCAGTGTGTCACCACAGATGGACCCTACGTAACAGTTTCATGTGTGGTTAATTAAAAGGAAAGGGAGGAAAAAAATAAGAAAACTACAGTAAAATCTAATACCTGATCTTCTTTTGTGCTGTTTGGGTAATGTACAAGTACCTTTATACAATCCTTTAAGAGAGTAGAGTATTAACACGTTAAAACATACTCAAACAGCAAACTGGATAAACAGCGGATGGTAAAGTAAAACAGTCATTTGGTCGGCGAGAAAAGGGACCGACTGAAATTAATGCTCCGTGTGTCTAGATGCATGCATTTGCATGATTAAAGTTTTCATTTCATTCCATTAACTTCACCATAAAGTGCACTAGGCTGGAATATCATTTCAGTGCTGCAAAGTCAACCTTCGTACTTTATCCTCATGCAAATCTACATCATGTAAATATTATATTATTACTACTGAGCACAATTCATGCTTAGAAAAAAATTGTGCTGCTCTCAAAGAAATTATTTATTTCTCATTTCGGAAGTATATCGTCTGTGATAGTCCCTTGTCAGAAACAATTCGGGATTATTACTTTGGAGAAATAAATGTGTTTTTCCTGCATACGAAATCATGTGCTGAATTATGCTTCGGCACAAGTGAATAAATGGTAAACGCACACAGTGATTTCAGCACAATCAAATGAGCGCAGAGGGACAGGTTTGCCGAGTTACGTAACCCTGTCGGTTGTTATTACTATTCCCTTTGGAGCTCTAGAAAACTCTGAACTCATATCGTGTAAAGATAAAACGCGGCCTCTGGTGAGCAGCTTTCATGACCAAGATCTTACGTCAAATTTATGGCAAAGTACTTGTAAAACATTAACAAGTGAGGTGTCTAATACGCGATATTAAAAATGCACGCGCACATAGGAAGCCAAACTGAATGAAAAAAATCGATATATGCAAGTATGACTGACGAGGAATTACCTGCTTCTCCTCTCAAAGCTTTCTCCACAGCTACGCCCCTCTCTTCCAGCTGCCTCTGCTTCTCCTCCACCTGCTCCAACTGCCTCTGGATGATCTGAGGAGACGATCAGCAGCAGAGGCACATCAGTATCATAAATGCACAGGGTGATAACTAACTACCAGTGATTAGAAATCCCCCCTAAACTCCCACAGGGAACACTCAGTCGATGCGGCTGTTTACTCTGTTGAAATGTCAGAAGTGGCGACGACACACGGGACATTTGTATTACTTTGTCAAAAACCCCAAGAAAACGTGCAGATTTCAGTCGCTTGTCATCTTCTCTGTGTCTTGATTTGAAGTTGTTTTTTTTTTAATTTGAAACTTTTGATGCTTTATAGCACACAAATTGTGTGAAAAGGTTTTTCCCTCCTCTCGAATCTCCTGTAACAGCTTCTGTCAGGTCTTGGGTTTATCTGTGCCACACAGAATTGGGAGCTGAAATAGAAGAAGTCCTGTGGGGTCCTGCAAATAGCCAGTAAAGGGAAGCAAAACTGAGGCCAGCAAATGACAGCTCCAGGAGAGAAGAGAGCTTAGTGCTGAGCCAGGGGAACGGGAGTCTGACTGCAGTTACAACATCAATCACAATGGATGAATCTGGCCTCAGTTCAAAACATTAGGAGTGACCAAATGGTAAAAAGCACCAGGGGAAGAATGCAGGAAACTGAATTCCCAAATTATATTAGGAAAGCAGTCTTTAAAAGAAGAAAGGACAAACCTGGGCTCTGTGGAGCCGCTTCAGTTCCTCCTGCTTGGCCTGTCGTCGTGCAGCTTTTTGGACTCGACGCGTCAGCTTGGCATTAAGCTCTTCCTCCGTGTAGGTTTTCTGTGTGGAATAACAAAACGCAAATCAGAAAAGTCTCATCCACAAGGTCCTAATGTGTGTAGGTGGCTCCATGAGGTGCTGAGCACTCAGACAAGCTGAGGAGGGGAACTTTCTGGATCTTCTAACAGGGCGAGGAGATAACAGGAAAGTGGCTAATGCTATTTAAAGCTTCATCGGTCATCTACGGGACTCTCGGGGGCTAGAAAAGTTATGCTTGCATAAAACACAGTGTGAAACATACTTCATATAAACTTTGCTGCAAGCTCTGTTATAATCCTCGACAATAGATAATACATATGTGACAAAAAACAGAGATGTTTCCGCTGTAAGCTGACATGGATGAGCATTTAAGCTAGCGCAAAACGGCAGAAAGAGAAAACATGAATGAAAACATGTGAAAAGGTCCTCCAGTAGCCAGACTGGAGTAAATACAGAGCCGCAGTGACAGATTAATCTCATAACAGCCTGGGGTGTCAACAGATGCAGAGGTATCACGGTGACCAGAAAAGAGAGCGCTATTGGAAACGTCGTGTTATAACAGGGTGGATATCCAGCAGTCAGTGAGCGAGCGTTGCTGTCCAACTGTCGCATGCATCCAGACAGAACAACGATTAGCTTTAGGCCAAGCCTACGCAGGGTGTTATGAAAGTAAACTGGCACGTGTGCAGGAAGACGAGACGGGGTGCAGGAGGGTTATCAGCGGGAATGTATGTAATACTACCTTTGTGGCATACGATCTCTTGAACGCCAGTGCGTGAGGGACATAAACAGACTTGGGGCAGACGAAACATAAAAGGGAGGAAACAAACATGATACAGATGATATGATTAAATGGGTTAATGATTATGTTAAATAAACAAAAGTAAAATAAACAGAACAGTGAGTCACAGTCTAGTTGGTACAATCAAAACAGGCAACGTTAATATCACAAAAAAGACAAGGTGGAATGAAATAGTTAAACATCTACATTAACTACAAAATTGTGACACTGACCAAGAAACTCAAGTGTAAAATGTTTTATGATGAGATGTTGTGTCCAATACTACAACTATGACGCTTGTGTCTTGTCTAGTATTCACAGATCTGAAAGGGATGGGGACAAAAAAAAAAAGAGACTACTCTATAGATTTCTCAGGGGCTCTCACTGACTCACACATGGCTGAGAGGCATGATACAACTTAAAACTCCTGTTACTGTAGCCGTATGAAGTGAATAATTCAGATCAATAATCGTTACAAAGAAGAAAACGACATTCATCAAACGACAACGAGCCACAACATCAAAACCACAGACGGGTGAAGCGGTTAGCACCGCGGCATAGACACCGTGATGCAAAGCAATGTCCTGCAGGTTTTAGATCTCACCCTGGGTCAACACACCTGAATCAAATGATTAGTTCATTACCAGGCCTCTGGAGAACATCAAGACATGTTGAGGAGGTCATTTAGCCGTTTAAATCAGCTGTGATGGATCAAGGATGCATCTAAAACCTGGAAAACCTTTTCCATGGCTGTATCCCAACTCAGGGTCTGCAGCCTTAAAGGCGCATTTTAAGGCCGATTACGTCACAGCGACGCGACGAAGGCTGTCCCAATTCGAAGGCTGCTCGAAATGCGGCCCTCAGATGCGTCCTTCATTTCCCTGAATTTTAAGGACGTGGCAGTGTAGACTTCGTGGCCCAACATATCCCAGAATGCATAGCGCGGCGGTGGGTGTGGATAATTTTGCCGGAAAAAAAAAAAACGGCGGATGAGGGGCGCCCGAAGAGTAAACTTTAAGTACTGAATATTATGTCACTTATTTATGTGCAAATGTTTAATAACGAAGAACATTAAACATTACTGTTGGCCACATGTCGACAAAGTCATGTGACATTAGTGACGTTTGTACTAACTTGGTTTTAAAGCCTTTACTTTAAAATATACGCCGTCCAATAGCTGAGCTTAATCTTACAGAGAATGATCAAAGCTCGTGTAGAAACAAACACATGAACAAAAGATTTTCTTCTTCATTTCTGTCAAACACAGCTGTATGACACGTTTCCAGCTGTTAGTATCATGGTTGCTAGGCAACCTGGGCAGCGCGACGGAGGCTAGACCGCCCATTTCACAAGCCTCGCACTTCCGGCCTTAGCGGTCTTTGAGTACGCGGCGCTTGAGGATCGTTGAGGCTGCGTACTTTAAGGCTGCAGATCCTGAATTGGGATACAGCCCATCAAGACATGTTGAGGAGGTCATTTACCCGTTTAAATCAGCTGTGTTGGATCAAGGATGCATCTAAAACCTGCAGGACACCGGCCCTGAGGTCTGGTGTCCTGAAACTTTTCCATGTGTCCTGGTTGCAACACACCTGAATACATTTCGTAGGTCATTAGTAAGACTCTATAGAGCTTGACTGCATGCTCTTTTAGAAGTACATTTTTCCAAAAGCTTAAATTTACTTGAGTAGGGTGAGGGGTTGCCACCTCAGCATGCAGTCAAGTTCTATACTCTTGCTAATGACCTACTAATTTTATTCAGATGTGCTGCAACAGGGACACGTGGAAAAGTTTCAGGACACCGGCCCTCGAGGACTGGAGTTTGCGACCTCTGACCTAAACATTGCTGCAAACCAATCGGAGCAATGAAAGCGCTCCAGAGCAGATCCACAGAACCAAAAGGATTCACTGCCAATATCACGGTGGGCGACACAACAGGACATGCCCAGAGGTTCTGTGGCCACGCCCTGAGTGGGGGAAAATCGACGCAGGTGTCCACAGGCTTTAGTGTTGTGGCTGATTTATGTACACGTTTCCAAAATATACACAAACAAAAGAGAATAGGAGTACATCTGAGCTTCATGCCTCTGGCCCTGAGCACGATTCTATCTATTTAAAACCACCAGAAACACACACAGACTCGGCAGCAGTGGCAAATATAATGCTGAATTTCAGCCATAAATGCAATGAGTGCAAATGGATTCCAATAAAAGAGCTCATGTTCTAAAATTTAAGGACTTGTTCCAAATATGTGCATAGTTCCAACGTGATTTATGCGTCCAGGATATTGAATTATTACGATCTTTTAACGAATTCACTTGTCCAGACCTTGAAAATATTTTTATCATAATTTGTTCTGAGACCTCCCAAGGTCAAAAAAATATATATACACATTCTTTTATTCCAATAACTCTTTAAAAAGAGATGAAATGATAGCAAAGATTTATCTGGGGTTTGCTTGCAAAGCCACCGGCACGTTATATGAACTTTAACTAAAAGATTGGTGATGCTAAATGGCATTATTCAGAAAGATGACACTTTCTGAAATTCAAAATTATGTAACCCCTGCTGCACAATACCTCCTCGTCGTCTTTCTCCATTTCTCGCTTAACCTCCTTCTCCTGTCCCCTTTTTTTATGCCTCTCTTTCACCCCCCTTTTTTCCTTCAACTCCCTCCTCCTCTCCTTTTCCAGTGTCTCTTCCTTTATTGCCTCCTTCTGCATGCCTGATACTAGGTCAAAGATGTCCACATGCCTCTAGGAGTGGAAGAGATTACATAAAGAAAAACATTTTCGAGAGGAAGCAAAACAGAAACTGGTACAGTGGATGTCGTGATGATATGTATAGCCTTGCAAAGCCAGACTGCACGAGTTTCATTCACAACAGTTTGATTTTAAGTTGTGATTTACATCTAATCAGATGAACCTGCATGAGTAAAATTCATTCAAGAAAGGTCCAAAAAGGCGGTTTTAAGGACCCCAGGCAACTCCGGTTGGCGTTGCAAGCCTGCGCATGCATGAATCCCTAAAGACAACCACGTGACATTTGTATTTGCTCACATCTGCTTTGGACTTCTGGGAGGATCTCTCCAGAACATCGTCACAGGACAGGTCGGAATCTTCGGAGAAACTCAGGTTTCTCCGCGTTTTCAAGTCTACTTCAAACGACAAGCAAAGACAACAATCAGCAATCAATAATTTCATAACATGAAATGAGCTTTGGAAGAATAGTCTTACCCGAAGATCTCCCAAGAGGTGATGTCCTTCTCTTCCCAGAGTCCTGAGTAGTGGAGCTGGACGACGGTGTACTCGGGCACGACTTATCATCCTTCTTCTTCTTGTCCTTCTTGTACCCTGAGAAGACAGCCTTCCACAGAGACTTGTGTTTTGGAGGCGTCTCATCTGCGCCCGAGAGCCTGCTGCTGTCGTTCTTGGCTTTTTTCTCCTTCTTGTTTTTCCGCGGGGAGAAGAGGGAGCTTCGTTTCTTACTTTTACTTGTAGAGGAGCCGTCTGACGAAGCCACCGAGCTGTCCAGGCTCTTGTTACTGCTAAAGAAACGCTCGGACAGGGCCTCGGACTTCTTTGACTCTAAAGCTTTCACAGCTGATGTCTTTGGAGATGCAGCCGACTTTTTACTTTTTCCAACAGTGTCTGGTGTTACATTCCAGGCCACTTTAGGTGAGGCGCTCTTTTCCCCATCGGACTCTTTCATTTTGCTCAACTGTTTGGCCATAGCTTCTTTTAGAGCCGGGCTCTTGACAGATTTTTCTCTGGCCCTTATCCTCTCCTCTGCAATCTCCCTGGCTTCTGGAGAGAACTGAGTTGCCCTCTGGGTCTTAGAGACTGGGTTGACTGGGATATTGGGTTTACCATTTTCCATTGCTAGTGCCAGATGAAGGGGAGGTTTTTCCCTGCTCGGCTTGCTCGTGGGCGGAGTGTAATACCTGTTCATGCTTGTGTCTGGTGTCCGGTCGTCGTAGCTCTCCTCCACATCGTCAGCAAAAGGAATCTCCTCCACAGTCTCCACAAATGACTTCCTCGTCTCCTGCGGACGTGGCTTCTCCCTCTTCTTCTCCCTCATCACGACCACCGGGGTTGTTTCTGGAGCTGCCTGAGGTGAGGAGACCTTCCTAGGTGCTGGTTTGGGCACAGATACGGGGCTCAGCTGGGTCCTGGGTGCAGGAACAGGGGTAGTGGCTTTTGCTGGCTCTTTGGCATGCTCAGATGGAAGTTTTTCTGTTCCGTTGGTCCAGGACACCTGGTGTCTCTGCTGCCTGAGCACGGCTGGAGACTGATTAGCAGGCACGGGTGGTGGCGGACTGGAAGGTGGTGTCAGCATAGCCGAGTCGGACGTGTTATAGCTGTCACTGTTTACCGTCTGGCTTGTGGCCACACTTCCATTCAAGCCCAAGCCTGAGCTGCTGCTGATGTCTCTTTTATCAGAGCCATCGCTCTTGGGCTCAACAGGAGCGATAGGAGTAATGACCTGACCCTCGAGAGTGATGTTGAGTCTGCGAATGACAGCCCGGCCAGTGAAGGCAGGCTTCTGTTCCCCGGACACGTCTGCCGTTTGTGTCTTAGCGAAGTTGGAGTCCTGAGGTGGAGTCTTAACAACACTCCTTTCTAAGATTTTACTACTGCGGTCCAAAGGAGTCAGACCGAGGCTCTTTCTTATCTCAGCACTCTTCAACCAGAACTCCTCAATGATATCCGTCTTTTTAGACGGCGTCTCTTCTGTTGAGGAATTTGAAGGCTCTGGCGTGGCCGTGTTGGTTTTAGCCAAGGGCGTTGAAGTGACTGCAGGGACGGGCTGAGTTCTGACGGGAGAATCAGAGGTGAGGGGTGATGAGGGTTCATGGCAGGGCAGCGGCTGGGCACAGATCGGGGAGAGGGGGTTTCCTGTGAGAGGGCAAATGGAGCGGTGAGGAAAGACGGGAGATTTAGGTCCTTCAGTTTCGGGCAGGGGTGTAGGCTGGGAGCAAATTGGTGAGCTCACTGGTGACTTGAGAGGTGACTCTCTGGGTGGCTGTAGTGGAGAGGCAGCAGGTGGTTTGGTGGGTGAAAGAGGAGGAGATGAAGCAGACGTTGGGGTTTTAACTGGTGTAGAAGCAGCAGCATTAGTAGGTGAGGGAACAGGAGACAACTGCTGGACAGGAGCAGGTGAAGGGCACAGCGGGCTCCTGGAAGTTGGAGATGGAGTCATCTTTTCTGGCTTTGTTTCCTCAGGTATGAAAGGATCAGGAAAAAAGCGGAGACCAGGAGATTTTACGGGACTTATCTACAAAACAAAACAAACAACAGAGGAGTTTAGGATTCAGGTAAAAGCCATTAATCGCTTTGAACCTCTGAAGCATCATCTCACCTGGGTTTCAGGTTCTGGGGATGGTTTAAGCGGAAAAAGAACGATATCGTCCTTCTGCAGCAGTCTGATGCTGGATGGTTCTGAATTCACAAAAGGGAGAAGAAAAGGCTCATTGCCTTTTATTTGTGGAAAACATATCTGCGTGATCGTGTAGAGAAACGTTTTGTGACATGTACCCATACTGGAAGCTGTTGCCAAGCTTTCCGATTTCTTGTCTTCCTCGGGAAGCGCTTCATCGTGCTCCGACTGGTGCAAACGAGCCTCAGCTTCCGCATCCGAAGGGATGTCATCTGGAATTTAAACATCACATCATCAAATATTTCATTATTACACAGCTTTGGAAGTTTAATTATCTGAGTCGTTTCATTTTGATGAAGAGAGTTCTTGTAAACAAAAATGCTATTTTCCGCATGTTAAACACTTGATGGATTCATTACTGTTTGTAATGTTTTGACTGTTTACCCTGATCCATCTCTGTGCCAGGCTCCATATCTGGACCGTCTGCTTCTGCTTCGAGTACTTCATCTTCGCAGGGCTCTGACGTGAAAAAAAGGGAAATAAATGTGTCGTTGGAACATTATTATCGTGTCTTTAGACAATAACTGTGAGAACTTTTTTCTGTTTAAAAGTAGCTTGAATGAATCTTTTCTCAGAAATCCTGACAGTGAGGTGGAAAGCTATCGAGGCCGATTTTGAAAAGCCGAATACAAACATTAAAGGTCGAACAAAAGGTGAGTAGATTTTAAAAATCAAAATCTATTGTTCTTCAGACAGCATTAGGAAAGAGTTTGGGCAAAAAAAAAAAAGAAAGAAAGAAAGAAAATCTTTTGCATACAAATCAAACAGTCCAAGTCTTTTAATATGAACAAAGGAGCAGCTAGGCTGCAGCTACATGCAGCAACTTTAAATTAGTAAGCTGAAAATATTTGATCCGAGCAGAAGCACAACCAGAATGTTACTGGTTAAACTGTGGTTAGCGAGCAAAACTGGGAGGGGGCAGTTTATCCATGCAGTTTATATATCAGCTTTAACTACTAGGTGACCGATCTGAGTGCACGGGCACATCAACTACTAAGAGAACTTTGTAATTGGTCTGATCTCTGCCGGAGGTCTTTACTGGGCCTTTAACCCTGAACTCAAGGCTTATACGAGGACTTCAAACAGACGTGTAGGACTCTCATTCAATTCATTCAAGCTCTTAATCAGCTGATAATGTACTTCAACACCCACATTCTGTGAACTTAATGCAAGTACAAGTGCCATTAAGAGGTGAGTTCCCAAAGCTGTGGTGCCTTGTGGTTTCACTCCCCGGAATATATTACGTTACAGCATAACATACAGAGCAAGTGCAAAGGAAAATACATATTTTGGAAATTAGAAGAGTAGAATGTAAGGTTTGGTTACAAAAGGTGAAACAAGTGCTGATCTGAACCCAGGAGAGAAAAACCTCGACAGCCTTACAGCAGGCATGCTTGTGAGTTTACTGGTCTCTGCATGTGTTTATGCATGCTCCATGAAAAGAGGCCAGCCCAGCTGATAGACAGAACAGGAGTCTAAGACGGGATGTCAGGATCCCTTTCGAGTCTGTGCTACCTCCAGACAGGGACTCCAACCAGACTCTCACTGCCTCGTGTCGGGCGGACGTGTGGGCAGGGGCTACATTCAAACCAGAAGATACAGAACGACGAGGGATAGATGGCGGGGAAATAACAGTAAAGCAATTAGACACATGAGAAACAACATGGGAGAACACAAAAGAACAAAAGAGAATCAAATCAAAGGAACTGACGAGAGGGTTAAATGGCGCGCTGGGATGCGTTTGGAGAGCGTTATATTCGCCCCAGAGGAACAACAGTGACTCTGGATGACAACAGGCTCAACACAAAATTAGACATTCCGAGAAATAAAGCAATGTTACACAAATGTACAAATCAGAGGTAATTCAAAACAACAAGCTGGGGTCCACCTGTGGCAGACACAGACAAAGCAGCAGCAGCCACACTTGCAAAATGAGACACCCTGATCCTGAACATGGCGAGACCCACGGCCTTCCCAGGCGTATAGGCCCCCGGGTGGGTTACCTGCAGAGGAGGGCTGCGTGAGCTCAGAGGGCTGGGAGAGTTGGGAGGCTGAGGCCAGCTGGCCATCATCCTTGTCTCCCTCAGACTCCAGATGTGCTCTCAAACCTGGAATGGCGCTGGGATCCACAGGCTGCAGGACTTGTTGGATGTGGAGACTCCTCGCTAAATGTAAGTGTTGTGATTTTGTATTTTTGCGTGGCGTAAAGTTGTGTGAGTTAGGAGAGGAAGATAAAGAGAGATGAGGGTAGTTGTGGGAGAAAGGAAGAGGAACAGGGGGGAAAACAGGGCAAAATGGAAGAGAAAAGGCAGAGAGACAGTTATACAGTGACAATGGGGAAAAATCATCAAAGAGAAATGAAGGGCGGCTGCATGCAATACACTGCAAAACGCCAAACCATAAAAGTAAGCTTCAAGGGTACAAAGCTTGGAAAAGAAAATAATAACACATTTGTTAAATATAACAGTTCCGCCGCACAGCTGTAAAACATAACTGCAGCGCCGCGGGGGAGATAATCAGATCTGATTCATCAGATTAGTATTTTAATGCCATAAAGAAGGTTTGAAACAGGAGGTTAGATGGAATGGGACTGACAATGAAAAGGGAACACCGATGAACACAAAACTCACATAAAAACACAACAAACCAAACCATAAAGAAGCCAAAGGCACGCTTCTTGTAGAAATTATTGAAAATTAAACCCAAACAAGGCAGAATTATTCAAAGTAACTGCAAACACATCCGCAGGCACTTCCGTTGCTACCTTTAAATGTACCAACATCCTCTTCGTCTGTAAGGTACTTCTCCAGCCAAAGGCCTGACTGGAGTTCTCTATCCCAGGGCCAGTAATCCCCCTCTGTCAGCAGGGGGAGACAAAGGCCCCCCAAAAATAAATCAAAAAAGAAAATGACACAGAGACAGATACATACGCGTGCATTGTATGTGGACATGGCAGACAAGCAGAAAAGAGACAAGAGGATGACTCGGTGTTTCAGACAGTGACGAGAACATGAAACAGTAAACAACACGGAGCTCTGAGGTCAAGGCCACTGAAGTCTGGATAGGGTGTAAACACATTAGCATAAAGAAACCATTCATTTCCACTATCACGGGAATAACAATGCAAAACTAATTTACCTTCGCTCGACTCCTCATCTTCTTCGGCCTCATTTTCATCCTCCTCCTCCTCGTCCTCTTCATCTACTTCCCCATCTCTGCTGCCTGTGTCAGCCAAAGCTTCACCCTCTCCCTCCTCGCAGTGATCGCCCCTCAGCTTGGCGTGGAGCTCTACCGCCTCCTTCCACGGAACGCCGCCGAGGTCTGACGGGCTGGGAGGCTGCTCCTCCGCCTCTTCTTGATCCTCCTGCTCGTCCTCCTCTTCCATGTCTGACTCTGAGCTACTGCAGAAAGTAGAGAAAAGGCGTCAGCAAAGTGTTAGGGAACATGAAAGGAAGCAAGTATTTGAGGACAGCACAAGTATGGAGACGTTCACAGCAGCCTGAGGGATTCTGGACTCTTGCAAAGAAGTTTTCTGTGATTCAAAATAGACAAACTGCTCGTTGGTGAACCCCCACAGTTAATCCCAACTAAGATGTTTTTAGCTTCCTCCCACTTCCTTTCTATCCCACTTTATCGTGATTGGCTAACTGTCACGAACAAAAAGTTTAAAGAGTGGGTGGAGCTTCTGTGCGCATAGCCAGAGCTGCTTGCGTGACGCGACTATTTTAAGGACGTCCAAAGAGTTGAAACTTGTTTAAAGTCTTATTAGAGATCGTTTAAACAACTCGCTGAACACTAAACGGCAGAAAGGGTAAAACTGAATATCATAAAAACGAAATTAACGGATGTTGTTAAAATCTTACCTTGAACCCAGGTCAGCATCTGTGGCCTTGTCCAGCACACTGCTCAGATTGTGCTCCGCCAGCGTCTCCTCAGGCACCTCCTCCAGCTCCTCCTCCCTCTGCAGGGACAGACGGTAGTTCTCCAGCTCAATGCGTTCTGGAGTTCCCTTCAGGCGTTTAGCTAGGCTCGGTTCCTGCAGGCCGTTCACTTCCAGCACTGTGGGGTACAGGATCAAGGTAAGAAAGCAGAGGAGAGAGAGCACATACGTGCAGGTGATGATCAGGCAGGTGCAAGCAGGACCAAACTAAATCCAATGTATTTGTGAACGCTGATGTGAAAACCGATGCAAATTCTGGCAGTGTATGTGTGAAGCTACGTCAGCGACAGCATCAAATCCATCACACATCCAACTAGTAAAATGGTGCATTTTCATCCACATCTGCAGCCAGAACTTTAACCAAAGTAATCTTGTACATTAAGGACAAACTGACAAGGAGACACCGATTTAAGATCTATTACTGAATTTATTGCATTAGATAATATTCCTACAGCAAATAAGATCAACAAACACAAGTAGGTTTCACACTTTAAAATAGAGCCATTGTTCTTAACTTAAATGTACAAGATTGGTGCCTTGCCTTGTTCCCATTCTGAGAAGCAAACCTTAAAACTGTACGTTTTGACAATATTTCCTCTGGCAAAGGTTCATGACAGTGAAATGGGTTAAAATAGAGTTATCATGGAAGTACAGCCGTCATCTTGTCACTTAGAGATAAATTCTAATTGAAATAAAGAGCACTAGCACTGCTTTAAGGCCAATGCCTTAAAGTCCCATGATCTCATTAAATGTGTGATATTTGACACTGAATCCTGTTTATTTTGTATGTGTGACTCATATGAATGTGACGATAGATGTTTCCTCAAAAACCAGTGAAAAGTACGTAAAACAGCAAAGAAGAGAGAGACTTAAATTTAAACTGATACATATTTATACTTTAATAACCTGCATCACCAAACACTGTAATTACTTCATCTGATATAGTCCAGGGTTGGACTTCTGGTCTGTTTAGGTTTTTTTGTGGTTTATTTTGGTTTAGTGGTCTAACTCTTATTATTTTGCTAACACTAATTTAGTGGTCCAAGAACTCCACAGTTGCTGAACTTTGCAGCAGCATGGGACGTCCTTACCATATAATGCATATGTATTTGTGGAGGTGTCTGTGCAGCACAAGCACACATATCTGACGGATGTATAGACCTGCAAAGTATTGCTTTGTTCTACACTACTTTACACTGACTGCAAACCTCCACCAATATATTAGCAGTTGTTTGTTGTCTAATCTTAATGTAGAATATATTATAGTATGCACGGCTGCAGCATGACTACAGTATTTAATAAAGTCTTGCATCTGCAGTTATAAACTACACTTGCCACATTGCGGCAGGCCTACACTTATTAAAGTTTCAAATATTAATTTTCTGCAAAGCTTACCGGTTTCAGCTCTCTCTAGTCTAATCCGTGATTTTATTCAGCTACAGTGTGCAAAGCAATTACTGCAGATGAGACGCACTACGTCGAGCAAATACAAGTGGTTCTGGCAGGAATCTGTCGGGGGTGAAAGGCTGAGGAATGCAGGAAGGCAGAGGAAGGGGGGGTGAAAACAAAACTCCAGTCCCAAGCACCAATGCAAGCACTAGTAAAGCTCTCAGTTTTAAGATGCTCTGATCGGAAGGGGAAAGGTAAAGCTCACAACAGCACTGATACAGGCACTTTATCACATATAATAGTGAGTTTTAGGAAGAGGAATACTAATAGGTGCAAAACAACTTACAGAGAGAGAAACACGTCACAGAGCAGGCAGTAAAACAAACACGTGACACAGGAGGAGGTCGAGCTAAAAAAAGAGCACTCACAGGCCACTCGGGATTACAATCACCAAAGAGTACAGCTTGGCTCTTCATTAAAAACAGGCAGCTCTATAGCAATCATTAACAGTATATAGAGATTGAATGTACACACCAGTGGGTAACTGATATATTTTTTTTAAGAAAGCTAAACTTTACTTCCACATTTCACAGTAAAAACCAGAATAGCAATGAGGAGGTCTATGCAAAGGGTTAATGGTGCTGCCTGGAGAGCTGACCAGAAGGAATTCTGAGCAGCTCTCTATAATTTCCAAGCCAAGAAACAAACAGGTTTAAGATGCACCATTCACTTCTAAGATTATGGCGCCAGAGCACTGTTTGAATCCATCTGCCAATCACAAGTCATAAAGAGACTGCCAACAGAAACAGAAAGAATGCTGCATCTTCAGGAAATAATTCAGCAACTGAGAGACTCACAGTATTTACAGGACCATTTTGAAGCTTTGGTCACACAAACTAGATCTATATACATCCCACTGACAGTAGTCGGCAAAGAGAAAAAGGAAGCAAGGAAGGAAATAAGAAGGGACACAAAAGTCATGCTAGAGGAGGCTGAGCAGGACATTGATGGTGAAACAGCAGAAGAGGTAGATGCAGTAGGTAAACAGGAAGGGAGAATCTAAGGGGTTGTGTGCCACCTGGTGGCAGGTCCGGGAGAGAGTGCGGCGGAGGGTGCCTAGCTGGACTCCCACACCCACGGCCAGACGCCAGGGCGCAGCCGCCACAGCTAGATAGGAAAGTCGAGTACCTGAGGGTTGGAGGTCAGCCGAGGGGGCAGCTGCTGCCATCGCCCTTCCAGGGGCATCCACGGTCGTAGTAGGTATTTGGGGGGTCTGATTCTCCTGCAAATGACACAAATGATTTTAACATCAGCCCTGCCAACGGAGATATGAGAGCACTCTCAGAACATTTTTCCAGCCCTATCCTGATTTCCACCAGGATTTCTTCAAGTAAATAAAAATGGACCTTGGCTGTGACTGGAGCAGCAGAGGGAGCAGGCCTCTTCCTCTGAGCATACCCAGACAGGCGGTAACAGTAGTGGGGCTTGCAGTAAAATTTTCCTGTAGGAGACACACAGAGCATAAGCAAATAGGTTAAATGCACAAATAAACGCATTAGGCAAATTTCACCTCATGGAGTCTGTGGGCTGCATCTACTCTGTCGGGAAAAAACAATTCCTTTCTGTCTCAAGTGCATTCAGAAAAATCAGGAGGTTCTGTTCCCACAGCTGACCGTGAAAAAGCTACTGTCCCACTGAACAATCTGTTGCCTGTCCTTGAGCACAATAGACACCTCCCAGCGTGGAAAAATATGGAATCATAAGACTGCACTGAGTCCGAGGTGGGGGTTACCGCAAAAATCTCCTACAGCTGTCTTTTACATATTTAAAACCAATAAATTTTGAAAAATTATGTGGCTGTAACTTCATTTTTTGAATCAGAAGATGGCTCTGCTGCATTCCTCGGCTCAAAAAAACAGGCTGAGAGGCCATGGCGTGATCACACCACAGGAGGGCAGCAAACGTGCACACAGTCAAAATCGTTTCTAGATTGTATGTCTTCAAACGAAGAAGCATCTTTGCAGCTTTACACTTTAGTCATTATATCGTACTCAAGATCATTTCAGTCTATTTCACCTTGTAGTTAATGGAATATAAGCACACGTGGGGCTGAAACCATTTGGAAAGCTTACCGTCCTCGACGTCAAACGCATAAGAGGACAGTCGTAGAGTCGTGCCGCAGTAGTCGCACTTGAAACAGCTGCGATGGAAGAACTTCCCCTCGGCACTCAGCCTTTCCATCACGTACACGCGTTTTCGGCAGAAGAAACAAACATCGCTGCCTCCGATGTTGACAGGGAATTCTTTCCTGAGCGAGCCCTGCAAGGGAAAAAGTACTGAATCAATCTTTATTTATAAATGAAGAGAAACGTTCAAACTGGTGCACAAGGAGAAAGTTATTGTTAAGCCAGACGCTCACATCAGGTCACTACAAATGTTTGAAGGATACAGATATTATTTACAAGCTAATGATTCCAAAATACAGCAATTCCAAAATTATTCATTAGTGAGAGAGGGATGCTTGCAGGCGAGCAGCAGTCCAAATTACAGGGACTCGTTGGGAAAACACACTCTGCAGCTACGGGAGAGAAGGAAGTTCAAATGTGGTAAAAGGAGCACAATGTGCAAAAAACACACTCTCTGGGAAGCGCTGCAGTGATCTGTGTAGCCACATGCCTTCTACTCTACAACCCGAGTGCTTACCAAATCCCTCTTTTCAGGTACATGTGTGGGCTTGGGAGACTGAAGCTGACTGGCTATCTGCTCGGTCAATGAGCTAACGCCCCCTGTGTACATCCTTACATACTGCTATCAACAGCAATGAGAGAAAGAAAGAAAAATAAGAGGACAGGTAGAGAAACATTAGAAATGCTGGATGAAAAACAACGTGAAAAACAGAAGGAAGAGGTGTGTGTGCGACAAGTGCTCAAACACAGCAGACAAACAATGGTGTCTAACAGGGAATTTACACAAGACAAAGGAAGCGTTTGCACGCTGGACTGGTCGAGTGTTCAGACGTGTGTGAGGCTCCACCAAAAGCAGCAAACACAGTTCCTGAGAAAAACCTCAAAAGTTTCATGTTGGGTTTACTACCAAGAGCTGGATTTGGAAAAAGATCAACTATCACAGTGTTTAGACAACTCGCTTAAAGCAGTCATGCAGTTTTTATTCGCTTGCACACACAAAGTCACTCATGCTGCACCGTAAATATAAACGAGCTGCAATAATCTGCAAAAATCTGCAAAGCTGCGTTGCTAATTCCCAAATTCAGCAAGTGTTTGGCATATGAGAGCATCTTTGGGTCGAATTCTGAATTAATCTACACCAGGATTAGATTTCAATCTATGAAACCTCAAAGAGCTTTAAAAAGGGAAGAATCTAGGTCGACTGTAGCATGTGGCAAACCTAAGCCACGAAAACTATTACTGTGCACCGCTCTGCTAAATTGAAAGTTGGCTCGTCAACATGGGAATTACACTAGATGAGATTTTTGCTGCCAAGCTGCTCTTACAATCCAAATCAGCTACTGAGTACAAATAAGCGTGGGAATTATAACAGAGTTCTGCTAAGATTACTTTAATATCTGTTCAGACACAGTGACGGATCACTCGCACTCACTAATCACAGCAAACGTGCTAAACAAATGAGTTTGCTCGCATTTCTAAACAAGCAGCCCGACTTTCAAGCAAACATCAAGTGAGATCACGTTAAGCGACTTGTGCTGGAAAGTGAGGTGCATCATCTTCCTGACAGGCCAAGTGCACGTTTAGTGTGTCAGCGCCACGACACGCCATTCCTTCCAGGCATAAAGTGACTACCTGTCTCAAGGTGTCAGACGTGGTGGGGGGAGAATCAGGGGGGCTCTGGGGGCTGGCCAGGCGCCACTGTTCCATAAAAAAGCGTGATGGCTTTTTCTTAGGCTCCAAAGAGGGAGAAAGGAGAGTTATTAGAAGTTCAAGTAAATCTAAAGAAGAATACTAATGTATTCAACTGAGAAGATATTATGATTTACTACTTATTCTGTAATATCCTGCTGTAACAACAGCCTCTCTTTCCTCTAGAGTTAAAGACTTAGGTGAGACAAAGTTGACCCAAAAAAAGTGCTTTTGTTATAAATGTACAAATATTTAAACCTGTAATCATCAATCTGTGTCGATAGTTCGAGTCACCTGTTGTTTGACTGGCTTGCCCTCAAATTGTAAAGCAAGTTGATCAGCCCTCTCCTGAATACTAAGCACACACAAGGGCATTTGGCCATCAGAGTCCAGAGGCTTTGCTGGCTTCTGCAGAGAAATCACCAAAGGGACGTATGGTGAGGAAAACGTTGCTAAATATGAAATCTCCTTTTCATTGTGGTAAAAGCCATAGACTGCTGTCATTGTTCTCAGATTCAGGCTGACAAGCCTTTAATTTATGCAGTGAGTAAATAAACAATGAAAGCAATTTCCTTTAGTTAGCGAGTGTATTCAGCACAAAAACAACAGATATGAGATACTTAAGCATCGATTGGCAACAGTCAAGTGAGCCTTTAATTCCTGTTAGTAGGGCTGCCACGATTAGTCGACTATCAGAATCGTCGATGACTAATTTAATAGTCGACGCGTCGTTTGAAGCTTTGTAAGATCACAAAAGACGCAGGAATAAGTAGCAGGATTTAAGAGTGTAATAATGGACTGAAACAGAAGATGGCAGCACTGCATGTACAAGGATGCCAGCTGCCGTTAAACCCCGAAGAAGAAGAAGAAGAAGAAGAAGAAGAAGCTGTGTCCCAGAATTCATAGCGCAGCCCAGCTCAGTTTCCAACAATGGCGGCAGCTAGTTAGTTTTAATGTTACTCTTATTATTCTTTCTGGGTCACAAAATAAACGTTTAACATATTTTCAGGGAGAATGTAGCTGTGTAAACCTCAAATATCTGCTCAGTTTATCAGGACACCACATATTTTCAAAAGCGCTCCGACGTTTTCGGAGACGTCTGTTACCCACTAGCTCGATAGTTAGCCGGGGGCTAGGTCACTAGCGCCGTGAGAACACCGGACTCCCAAATCGTTGTCAAACCCACCGCCGTCTTTCGCTACTCAGATTAAACATGATATATGAGTCACTTAGATAACTTAAAAATGTTATTGTTTGGCTTTTTTCAGTATTTTATTTGTTCCTGAGTAAATCGGTTTGGCTGAGATTAAAGTTATAGTTTTCACACAGCTGAATAAACGTCAAGCAGACAGCTGATTATCAGAAGTGTGAGATGCTCGAGAATTTACTCCGGTGTCCTGTTATATTTTAGATAGCAAGGAGTTTATTAAACTTCACCGAAACAATCTGCAAATTTCATTAAAATTTAACAAACTATCATCTTGTCTTTATTTTTAGTTAGCACAGACCTTAAACACTTAAAGCTGTAAGCTAATGATAGTTATATAAGAGCAGATGCTGCTGGTGCAATAAGCTGTAGTTTTATGTCCAATGGATGATGATCTGATTAGTCGACTAATCGCAAAATAATCGGTGACTAGTCGACTATCAAAATAATCGTTTGTGGCAGCCCTACCTGTTAGTAGCAAAAATCTTTCTATGAGTGGTAAGTTTCCTGACATGCCACAGGTTGAGTCTCAGTCCACAGCATCCAAGAAATAAAAAAGAAAAAAGAACCTTTCTGGCAGAGTCAAGAGAGGAGAGTGGTGAACCAGGAGCCCCAGTCAGGCCTCGGGACATGTACCACTGCTCTAAAAAGAAACGGGACGGCTTTTTCTTAGGCTTCGGGGAGGGAGAGGGAAGGGGTGACAATTAGCCTCCAAATTGAGGCAAATAAAACACTTAGAAACCGCAATTTTCATGTACAGTGTTCACCTTTGGTGGTTTATCGGGTTTGCCTTTAAACCTGGAGATTAAGCGCTCAGCCCTCTCCTGTATACCAGGTATGCGAATGGGTCCTGGGTCAGTTGGGTGCAGTGGCATCCACTCCTGTCAAGGGAGCTCAGTTGAGACTCGATTTCTTTTGGTGGAGCTAATGAGCGACTTGTTTAATATGTTGACATTTTTTCTTTAAAACAGCTTATTACAGATACTCAAGCCATAATCTGAGTAACCACTGAAACAGAAGCGGCAGAGGCAAGACGACTATGAATGCAGTCGGTCATTTACCCCGTGTGCCAGAGGCCTCTCATAGTATTCAAGTTCCTCTTCTTCCAGACTTTTACATTCATGCTTGAAGACAGAAATGAGCAGACACACACACAGTGTATTAACACTTCAGTTGGCACCGAGCGCACAGACATGAGCATAAAACACAGTTGCTGACTATCATTTAAAGAACAGCTTGTAATGCAGGAACCCTGACAGTGCTTGACAATAGATCAAAATGAGCCCAGGTCTCCTGAGGCTATATGTTTACAAGCCATCACACCCCAACAACATATACCAGTCAGCATGAAAACAAGCTACTACTCTGATAATAACAGACACCACCCACTCACAAGGGAAGTAAACAAGACTGAAGCCCTCTTGGGGAAACACGGCATTTTGTTTTCATCTATGCTACACACTGCAGAGGCCAAATCAGGGGTTCGGGACACATAATTAGAGCAGGAGAGTAAGGGGATACTAAATGGGTCGGCCATGGATTTGTGGCCGAAGACAGAAAGACACAAACAGACACAGATGGCAGACTGCGTGTCACCTCTGAGTGGAGAGAGAGCGAGGAAGTGGAGGAGGAAGAAGGGAGCAGAATGGTTTTCTTTGGGCAGCTCCGAGAGCCCGAGCTGTACAGCTGGTCTGCGCCACTTCTGGCCTTGAGAGATGAGGGGCAGGAGCAGCAGATGATGATGAAGAAAAAAAATAATAGGTGAGCTATTGCTAAACGTGAATATGGTTGAACTTCAACTTATCACATCTCACACTGCATTGAGATATTATAGTGCTTTACAAAACCTGTAAGAATAAAAAGGTTACATTTGTAGCAGCTTATACATATGACTGAGAAGTAGTTAATAGAATTAGTGTAGTTTCACTTCCTTTTTGTTAGGCTTAGTCACACAACAACCTTATCAAAGCCTGGCGCGCACACACACACACACACACACACACACTAAACAGACAATCTGCATAAGGCAAAAAGCCTAAAAACCCCTAAAAAAAAAGGAAAGACAGTTGAAATATGCTCCAGTGGTTTTATAATTAACCTCAAAATAAAGTTTAGCATGGAACAATTCTCCAATATTGACAATTAAAACGTCAAACCGCGTAGCATATAAGAGCGACTTTCTGAGACATTTCCATTCCAAACACTCTCCGTAGAGAAGTACTTGGGATTATCAAGATTATTTACAGTCTTTCCAATCGACTTTCAACTAATTTACTCAGCAGCTGGGGACTTACTGTGTACTGAGAGGGAATTTTAAAACAGCAGTGAATTAATTCTCTTTAAACAGGAGAATTTGAGGCCTTAAATCAGTGGTTGTGATGTGAATGTGTAATCTAGTGAAGAGACAAGAAAAGGCAACTTCAGCAGGTGTCAGCAAGGGGAAACTGATTCTGGCAGTTAATGGTGCTCTGTCGACCTGAGTTAGGCCAGCCAACTATACTCAGCGGCCACTTTGTTAACGAGAATCAGCTACACATATGGCGACAACCCAAAGCATTTATGCATGTAGACGTGGTCCAGACTACCTGCTGAAGTTCAAAATGAGGATCTGAATGCAGAAGAAAAGGGTTTTGAAAGTGGCACGAGTGTTGGTGCCAGACAGGCTGGTCTGAGTATTTCAGAAACTGCTGATCTACTGGGATTTTCCCTCACAACCATCTCTAAGGTTTACAGAGAACGGGATGGAAAAAGAGGAACCATCCAGTAATCAGCGGGACGGGTGAAAATGCTTTGTCAGAGGAGAACGTCCAGACTGCTTGGTAGGGCTGGGCCATATCATACCGTTCACGACAATACCGGTATAATGTTAGGCAATGACAAGACTATGAAATATCGCGATAGAATATGGGTAAAACGCGCATGCGCAGTGCCTTTGTTTTCATACGCACATGGCGGAAAAAGCTTGGCGGCGACGGAGAATGAGAAGAGTGAAAGCGGATCGTTAAATGAAACGGATGAACCAGAACTGGTTTGTAAAAATGCTGCAGCTTCACTGGTGTGGAACTGGTTTAGCTTTCGTCCGTCAGATATACACCTAATTACATTTTTTGGTAGAGCATGCTAGCGGGCCGTCGTTATTACCGCGTTTTTCGGAAAATACGGCGCACTTAAAATCAATCCTTTGATTTTCTGAAAAATGGACCGTGCAGCTTATAATCCGGTGCGCGTTATGTATGAATTCTGGTTGTGTTTACTGACCTCGAATGGATTTTATGTACACGGCGCACGAAAATCTGTCAAAAATGTTGTAGCACGACTTTGCTAAGCTACGAAGCCGCTACTCTTGATGGATTGTCGGAGCGTTACAGCTGTCGTAGGCAGGAGCCTCGCGGAGTGATACGTACTGTGCTTCAACATAATGTTACCGTATTGTGTGTGTATAACCTCTTTTTAAGTTTTGTGGATATTATACATGGTTATGCTGAGGATATGTCGGCCAATTTCCACTGGAAATGCCTTTTGGTTAAACTGTCAGCGAGGAATTTGCATCCACACTGTTAAATAGTTATATAGCTTTAATGCACATAAAAAACAGCTGCTTGTTTAAGTGAAAATACATTATTAGTGCAAAAAAAACCAAAACATCAAAGTTGTGGAGTTGTAAAGTATTTTGTCTCGCGTCAATTATATCGTCAGTTAGATCGTTATCGCAAATTTTCAAATATATATCGTGATAAATATTTTTGCCCTGCCCTACTGCTGGGAGCTGACAGGAAGGCAGCAGAAACTCAAATACCCAGTGATTACACACAAGGTATGAAGAAGAGCATCTCAAAATGAACCACACACTGAACCTTGGAGCAAATGGGCCAGCACATCGGGTGCTGCTCCTGTCAGCTAGCAACAGGACACTTTGCACTGACTCGCCAAGCTTGGACAATAGAAGATCAGAAAAATGTTGCCTGGTCTGATGAGTTGGGACATTCAGATGGTAGGGTCATAATTTGACTTCAACATAATGAAGGTACAGCCTTCTATCAACGGTTCAGGCTGGTGATGGTATATAGACATGGGGGATATTTTTTGGGTCCTTTAGTACCGACTGAACATTGTTTAAAAATGTACCTGAGTATGGTTGCTGACAAAAGGACCGAAAAAGGTCCCAGGGTGACACAAGGGTTATTAAAAATGTACCTGAGTATGGTCGCTGACCACGGACACCCTTTATGCCCACAGTGGCCCATATTATCATGCTGGCTCCTTCCAGCATGAACGGAGATCTCAAACTGGCTTCTTGGATATGACAATGAGTTCATAGTCCTTGCATGGTCTCCAGTCACCAGATCTCAATAGATGGGCACCATCGGGATGTGGTGGGACGGGTGTGTCACATCATAGGTGCGAAATCTGCAGCAACTGTGTGACGCTATCGTGTCAACATTGACCAAAATCTCTAAGGAATGTTCCAGCACTGTGTTGAACCTGCCATGAAGAATGAAGGCTAGAGAGAGTCCAGCCAATCACTGACGAGGTGTAAAAAGAAGAACAGTACTAAAAAGGAACAAGCGGAAAGACTGACGTCGTGGGTGTTTTTAACGGTTATATTTTATATGCTATTATTTATAAACATTGGTTTTCATTAATGTTAACTTGCGTATTTATAGAGACACGTTATATTTTTGAAGCACACTTTTTTTAATTGAAAGTAAACTTCACTATTTATTTTAGTACATAAACTGTCTTCTTTATTCATAGTTAGAGTGCAGAGCTGCCTCCATATCCAGCTGCATTTCTCCATCTGTGACACCAGGAATACTAAAAACTTGTCTGTAAAATATTTTTTCTTTACAAATAATTTGCTTTTTATAACAAAAGTCATTCACTCCTTTTCTTTTTTGCAGTTGCACTTGTGCAGGTTAACGTCTTACTTAGTCACACAGGACGACCGTGTTTCTGTGGCCTTTGTATGCAGTTGTCTCGATGCATGCTCAATCATCCAGGTAAGTAAATCCCAAAAGGTTGATCCTGTTCATCTGGACATCCAGATAAACAGGATCAACCTTTTGGCCTTTGTATGCAGTTGTGCAGAAATAAACTACCAAACAAAACACAAATATAAATATAGATGTTTTTTAAGAACGTGAAATAATTGGGAAGGTTTTGTTGTGATTAAACAAAAACTTTTTTTGAAACGAAAACAATTTTATTGTAAAACAGTCATGTGATGCTTGGTGAGGCTACATTCTCTTCCACTTGCTTCTAGACCAAAACACCAATGTATTTAAGAAGGGGAGGCTACATAACTAAATAACTAACCATAGCTAGCTAGCTAACCATACCTGTTCCCCTCTGCTGGGCAACGTCTGACACTTGATCATCTCTTTGTACCGAATGCTCAGCTTCTCCTGCTGCTGTGTGCGTCTCTGAACCAAGACAGGAGAAGCAAGGATGACTGTGACTCTGCTTCTACTTCCATCTCTCTTGGACACAAACAAACACGCACGCACACGAAACCGTGCAGCTATCTGACTGGAAAGTTAAACAGTCACACAGTTTTGCACACAAGCTACTGTGTTAGTTTCTCCAAATCTCACACAACAGATCTCAAGTCTGCCCACTACAAAGTGGGCTCAGGGTCCGACAGCTCAACACAAAGTGGCTTTCCCCACTATGAAACACCACGGGGATATATGGTTAGTCTAGCTGTTAGTCTCTACAAGGCTAATGTTTACCTTTCTCCATGCTGGGACAGGTGCCAGACGCACTGGCTCTCTCACAGGGGGTGGGGAAGGGGGCAAAAGATGGTCCAGATTGGGCAGCGAGTCCCCCTTTGTAGTCAGTTAAAGATGAGTGACAGCGAGCGTGGCCAATTAAAGGGCCAGAATAACCATGCAAGGCATCGTGAAATGGTCCATAATGAGGGTGGAAACCAAGGAGAGAGCAACAAAAAGAAGGAAGTGAATCATGTATGAGTGGAGACGCAGCAGTAGGAAAATATGTCTTCAGAAAAGATAAGGAAATGACAAGACAGCATAAGTGCATCATGTGGGGTGAACTCTATATTTATAGAGACAATGCACAGTAAATGTCATGCAGAATGTAAATAAAAGAATGTTTTTACCTAAAAAAATAAAAATAAAAAAAATTACTCTTATAAGTAGGGATGGGACCGGTTCTGACATAAACAGTAGTAACCAGACCGAAAAGCAGAGCACACTTCGGTGCTTTTTTCCTGAGCTGTGATACACTTTAGATTCTAGCCAATCATTTTACGTTTCCGAGGATAGTAGGCGGGTCCAGGTACGTACGTTCTTTTAGAGCAGAGCTACAGATTAAAAATGCCCAAGGCGAAGCGGTCAAAAGTCTGGCTGTACTTCACAGCAAAAGATGCAAACTCAGCAGCAACAAGTGCTTTAAGCTGATACTGTGATACTGTCAAAGGAGGTAACACCTCGAATCTGATGAAACACCTGGCGACGCATAGCGTTTTTTTAAAAGCCGAGAAATGCGCCGTATTTGATAGCTTGCTGCGAGACCTCACACCGAGCACATCTACTGCGGGTGTGGTGCCTGTTATCGGACCCGGAGTTAGCAACATCCCCCAAGAACCCGAAGAGGAGAGTCCTGGCCCCTAGCCCTGCCAGTGTAGCAGAAATGATGAGGATGATGATGCAGCAGCAGCCGTTCTTCTCTGCGTGAGTAGCTTAATGTTGTTCGTGTGTAATTTACGTTGAGTAGGCTAACCACGTTATTACATTAATGCATGTAAGGTGAACTAGCAAACATCATCATAGCTACATGCGGCTGTCTTCTTGTTTGATGGCAGATACTCCCTTCACCCTGGCCAAAAAGGCTAAAATGACCAAAGAAAAAGTGGAAAACAGTTAAACATGAGAGGTTTTTGGACAAAGTTTGTGTTTTTTCCATTGTTTAAGCACTGCTTCCAGCCAAGAGTGATACCATATATGCCCCATAGCTGCAGAAAAGGCTAACATTGTTATCTTTTTACAAAAAAACAGCTGAACATGAGAGGTTTTTGGACCAATTTTGTGTTCTCCATTCTTTAAGCACCGGTTCGAGCACCGTTTAAGCACCGGCACTGTTTCAAAAGTGCCGGTTTGGCACCGGTATCGGATCAAACCTAAACGATACCCATCCCTACTTATAAGACTTTTAGGACCTTATCTGCAATCTTCATAGATTTCAGCGGCACACAAACCAGAAGAAGTTTTCCCAAAACAATTACAAAACGTCTCTCTTCTCTCCGCCAGCACTATTGTCTACTGTTTCAAAAGCTCACTTCTCCCTCCCACTGCTCTGTTGGTCATCAGTGGCAAGAAATCCAGACCACTGCGAACCAGTTCACCCAAGCCCTCCGAGCCCAGTCAGCACTGTGAGTCCACCCACATGTCCCAGGAACAATACAGAGCCTGACCAACATAAGCATGCGGGACCTCAGCTCATTAAAACAGTGACCTACAGGTCATGACATGAAGCATGATATTCACATGTTCATCACAATGCTGATTTAAGAAAACAAACACAGTCAGTGTGCAAATATAACCGCAGCTCCTAGAACATCCAGTAGGCCTCTGCATCTTTTCCCTGTGGCTTCATCCTGATTTCCACCAGCTGTAAAACCACAAAATGAGACGACCAGTTTCTTCCATACCTGTCGTTTGAGTCCTGTAGGCTGAGTGGGAGCATTCTCCTCAAACTTAGCAAGCAGCTGGGTGGCCATGACCTTCACTTTGTTGTTGTTCCCCACAGCAGCAGAGTCCATTTTTCTCTCCGACAGGATCGCAGGAACAGATGGCCTGTCGTCACGATTGGTCCTCGATACCTCGTCCTGTGAGAAAGTAGTCGGGGGAGAAAAAACACAACAAAACAGCTAAACTTTTTTGGCAATCACTGCCAGTCTAGTGGGATTAATTAGTTGGTTCTGGTTGGCTAGACTGCTCAAGCACTAATCACAAGATGAACATCTGAGACGCTCTGCTGTCAAAAATACTCACATCTTCAGACTGGCTGGTTTTCCTTCTCTTCCCGTCTAAATCCTTCTCTTTTTTGTCCTGTTGAAGAAAAGTCATGTGATATTTTCCCCCTCAGCAAAAAAAAGTTAAATAAATAAATGATGAAATGCTGATTTTGTTGCTTTAGGAAGAAGTGAGATATACTGGCATGTTTCAGACACTGACCTTGGGGTTTCGTTTTCTGGAGATTGCTATGCTCTGACCCAGCTTGCTAAGGAAAGATATGGGAGACTTTGTGCTCGATATCAACGCAGCCTTCTCTTCTGGACTCAGATTTTGGTTATCTGAACAGATATCCGTGAAATAAGAACATTAACAGAAAATAGCAATTTAAAGTTCTTTCAAGATTATACTTATTTTTGAGTAAATGACCCTTCTGATCAGAGATCGTCACGATGTCTCTCAAAAGAAAATTACAGAATAAAAACTCCCACTGTAGAACCATCTCTCACCTCCAGGTGGCACTGTGTCCTTAAACATCTCATAGAACTGACTGAGGTACATGACCATAGAGAGTTTGTCTGGCTCCACCACAGAGGACATCTCCTTGCCCGTCATGCATGGTGAGATGCCAAATTCCCTTTCTGCCACGTCAAAAGCTAACTGGTTGTTCTTCTCCTGGTCTCGTTCATCCAGGGAATCAAAGTCACTGAGAACAGAGAAGAGAGACCACAGACAGTGAGAGGCAAGTAGTGATGCCAAGCATCTCAAATGCAAACTAAGGGAATGGGGCTGATAGGTGCTTGAACTACAAACGTATATTACATATCAAAAATATAAGAACTTGATCCTTGTGGTCATATAAATTACACTTGAAAAGGTCCAATTAAACCACGACTAGCGTGTGCTCTTAGAGTTTCATTCAAAAAAAAAAAAAAAAGAGTATTGCAATAATTTATTTTTTAAACCCAAAAACAGGTCACATTTTCGCTGTTCTAAATCAACTGTTGAGTAAAAGTATCTGGTTTTAATGCCACTAAACTGTCCGTTGTGTTCTTGAGCTAGCTGAAAACTGTTAGTGGTTGCAAACAACAATGCAAGAACAGTAAGAGTAAACCAAATCAAAACAATAAGGCTGTAAAACAAAAATCAATGAGCTTCGCAACATTCTTAAACTGTTCACAGACTTTATAGCAGCTTTAAGAAAAAATGAAATAAAAACTAATAAAAAAATAAAAATGCCAAATGCAGATCTGCTAATACACACACACACGAATAAAAGAATCTATCATTCTGGGGAAAAACATCTGATGCTCGGTAAAATAGTGGAGGTCTTTTATTTCTGTCTTCCTAAAGAGGATAAAAAGCTGACCTAAGTGTAAGATCAACAGGAGAAATCTTTACTAGAAAATGGGAAAAACTGACTGCTTTTTATCAGAGAAGTGAGGATGCTGAGGTGCAGGACTTAACCTTATGCACAATCTAGATTGATAACACGTTTAAGTAGAGTTGTATGGACTGATGTGCCCCCAGTGTGCATGTTTGTTTGGTTTAAGAGTATAAATCTATCAAGTATCCCACAGTTAGTGATGAATCAGCAACATTTAAGAGAAAAACTGTCCCTTAGCTTTAGTTGTACTGGAAATAAACCACAAACACTAATGATGAAGCACTCGTGTAAAGCAGGTGGACAGTGTTACCGTAAATGTCCTCATTACCGCAGCTGAAGGTACCATTAACATGGCACATCAATACATCTCAGCTGCAAACAGCATCCATTTAAATGCATTACAACATCACAACAAGCGCTGAGTGGGACCTCCATTATTTATCTTAACCATCATTTACACAAACACACATGACGGCAGTTTTCCAAAGGTTCCTTCACTCATCCTTCTGGCTCATCAGTAGCAGCAAAGAACAACTGCTACCCTACTTTGTAAAGGTCGGGCAGGAGAAACGCTCTAATAGCTTATAATGTTAATTGCCGTGTAGTCTCCAGAGGATAGCAAACCACATTAGGCATTGTGGATGGAGATTGCGTTATTTATATTGTATGCGAGGGTGAGCAGAGCGTTCATGTATGCTTGTGTGTGGGAGAAGAGAGGGGGAAATGAGGACATCTCAGCCCTAGGAGACCCATGGGGGTATTTTAATTGGTGGCTGTCACCTCATTTACAATGATATACAAGGTCCCAACCAGGCAGTAAACATCATTTTCAACCAGCAAACACATAAACACGGCAGACCAGTCATTCTGAAACGAAGCAGTTTCAGTCCTTTCTTTCAAACCACAATGGGATATACTTGGCAAGGTTTGTACAAGTTCACAAACTGGGGGAGGAAAACCTTTCCATCTATGAAATGTCAATCTCCGCGTTCTAGATGCATTTTCTTTAGATACTCACATAAGATCAGGCCTGTATCTGTGAATTAGGGCACAAAGGGCCAGGCCGCTCTTCCAAGACATGGTGAGGTCTGTCACATTAACATTCCTGTAGCCCTCTGTTTGCCTCTGGCACCAGTTGAGCAGCTTACTGGACCGAGCTATGGATTCTGATGTGTGGGAAAGAAGACAAAATTAAATGCTTGGTGTGAAATCTGCAGGTGGAACAGCATCTGAAGTAAGCAGGGAAGGAAACACAAACTGTTTCTGGGCAGCGTTACATGTCTCTTGCTGAGCAATCTCATAGCCTTGGGTCAGGCAAGGCTGAGCAGCAATGGGGCCCCATCATTCATGCTAGAATCAGTGTTTAAATGAGCCCATGGAGAAATATTACAAACCATGAAATGTAAAGATTTTACTGATGTAAGAAGAAAAGGATGCAAATGCGAGGTTAGGAAAGGATGCAGAACTCACATGAAAACTTTAAACAGCTACAAGTAGCTTTAAATGCTCGATATAGCCATGGAGCTTGAGTGAGTGGATCAATAACCGAGTTAGTATACGCAAAGGAAATATCATGGAGTCTCTCCAAAAGGTTTCATCACTCCAGTATCCACGTCATTCATAAATATACAGAAAGACTCATCAAATTTGTTAAAACTTTTAAAGGTCCCTGAAAAGCAACGCCATGCATTCGGGCTTTGTGTTACCTTGCAACTGCTTGTCAAGCAGGCAGTTGTCTAGAGTGAAAATAGTTCAGTATTACATTTCAGCAACAGTGACGGCAGCAACTCCTACACTGATTAACCAGCCTATGCCATATCATCTACAAGCAGAAAAGACACAAACCATTCCTGGCCAACTTGGGGGTTGATGAGTTGATCACGTTCTCGATTTCGATGCGAACTTCCCTGCACTCCCCTGTGTCAAACAGGTGCCGCACCTGCAACGTCAAGATGATCATTTCTCGCATGAAAAAGCGTATTTGCATAATAGCATCAAACACAACCTGGTTTAAGCTAATAATGAAATCTTAAAAAGAGGCACTGTGGCTTGTTAGTGCTCATACTCACTTGGCTAGGTTTGAGGAAGTTGAGGCTTATGTTGGGGTAACGAGTTGTAGGATCCACACTGTACTGACTGAAGTTCTTACTGACATTTTCTGGTGTGGTCTGAGGCAGAAGGCGGTATATGCTTTCTCTAAAAAACAAAAGCATCCCCATTGGGCGACCTTAACTGAGTGAAATGTAACAAAAAAGCAGCAGTGTAATATGATAATGCAGTAGCAAATCGCGATCACATTGCTCTCAGCGTCACAACAGAACATTACGGGCACATTCCAGTCAGTCCTTACTACAAACTCTTATCCTATTAGTACTAACAGAGGTGGGACTGATGCTTGAAATCTCACATTTCCTAGTAAAGCACTTTGAGATAAAAGGGTGTCCCTGAAGAGAAAGCACATCGAAGAGTGTGGCTGCAGATATGTATGAGCACAAGAACAGAACAGGTCTTGGCGTGCATGCATTAATGTTTCCACGCTCTCACCTCTCAGCCAGCACCTCAAGAGGGGTTTTTCCTTGGGCCCAGCTCTTCACCATCCAGCCCGAGTCCATGGCTGCCAGGAAACCTCGGGCTATGCCAGTCCCCATGGGCCAGAAGGGCTGGAGACAAAGTAAGCACATTCAATACCCAAATATGGTCAAATATGCAAACTATAATAAATATCAGAGATAGAAACGAGCTTTAAATCAACACCTTAAGATTAAGAATTTTAAAACAGTCTCTTAAAAATCTTTAAAGGGGACAAATGCTTTTGATATGTTGCATTACTGCTTATATGAAGTGTGTCCAAAGTTTCAAACAATGAGATCAGCACAATCCGAGTAAGGAAAACGCTCAGATTCAGACAGTACAAAGCTTCGTTTCCAAACAATTATTTCTACTCTTGTGCTTTCCTAAGCAGATTTCTTTATGTCGTAGCCACAATGATGATTGAGTTTCACTGAAATGATCATGTGGCTTCTGCAAACATACCCTGGTACTTTTACCAGGGTATGTTTGCAGAAGCCACATGAGGGGCAGCCAATCGGAACAAAATACACTTTGGGAGTTTTTTTCCAGAGAAGGAAAAACTAAAACAACTACAGACTTACATGAAGGGCCAGTACGACATTTTTACACAGTCAATTTCTCAGTTATTCTAGTGAAGTCCCAACGCAAGAAAAGAAAGAGTCGATCACAAGTCATCGTCATTCCTCTCACCTCTAACAAGCTGTCGCCAACAAGCGCCACTAGCAGCTTGTGCCCATTGCGTTGGCGCACCATGGCGGCATTTTCTGAAGCATACATGCAGGTGAAGTCAAACATTGCTACATCAGGCTGGCCGTAATGGTTGATGGCAAAGTCCAGTGTGGGCAGCTGGTGGTTGGTTGAAAAATCTGCAGCTTCACGTGCATAAGACAGCAAGGCAGCCTGGTCTACGTTGGCTCTGGAGAGCAAAAGCTCGGTGTCTGCATAGTCCTGCAGGGGAAGCAGGTGAGATAAGAAGCGGCCTTAACATGAAAAATTCATGAAAAATAAATAAAAGGAAACGATTTCCCCCCAATTGTACGTTAAGATTTAAGATTTTTGAGCTTTAAGAGCTTCATATGCCCGGCCATCTGCTGCAACCCAACCAGTCACAGCAGATGGCCCCGCCCCTCCCTGAGCCTGGTTCTGCCGGAGGTTTCTTCCTGTTAAAAGGGAGTTTTTCCTTCCCACTGTCGCCAACATGCTTGCTCATAGGGGGTCATATGATTGTTGGGTTTTTCTCTGTATGTATTATAGTAGGGTCTAAAATTGAATTGAATATAATACAATATGAATTATATAACCCCTTTACCACATAGAGCCCAGAGGATTTGCACTGGAATGAAGTCTCTCTAACATGTAGCATCAAATCACTGCACGCTTTGATAGTGACATGCTTTCACAGAGGGCGGTAAGAGATACATTTCTTCCATCTTCAAGCTCTCTGGTCTTCCAGTGGTGGTGCGTGACGGGAAGGGTGGGGCAGTGGAAGATATTAACAGGGGCTGTTTTCTGATTTGTAGTTCTGCCATGAGCTGTGCTGACTAGCCTCTGTCTTCCTCTATCTCTTCAAAATTAAAAAATAAAAATGGCTACACTGAGCTGTTTAATTGCTATAAAAGGAGCTCATCATACTGCACTGTAGTCGTGCTTACATAATCCAAATGCACTCTGTCTTTGGACCTCAGTGTATGCCCAAACGTCATTAACTCCCCATAAAAACAAAGAGCTGCACATCCATGCACAAATCAAAAACAACAACAGCTAAAAAGATCTCTGCTTAAAACTTAATGCAGACATTTATGCATCTATATCCTTTATTAATATCACTACACAAAGACAGACATGCCAAAAGGTCTTTCCGGTTTCCTGTGCAAAGTGGCCATGGAAAGGAAACTCCCGTATTTAGCGAGGACACAAATAAGTAGCAAGTGCTTAAGTTGGTTTGCTCCAGAATACCGTTGGCTTGGTTAGACCATTAGGGAAAAAACTGGAGGAATTTACAGAGAGAATAAAAGACTGAAAAACAATGAAAGAGTGTGAAGAAAAAAAAAAGGCAGAAAAGAGAAAGAAGGACTAATTTTGTTGGTTTGAACAAGCATACAGAGACGAGCAAGCGCTGTAGGCTTTAATCACTCACATGTAGAATGACTCCTTTCTCCAGCAGGCTCTGTTTTTTGGCAGTCATCACAAAGTAATGCGTGTCATCCTTGTAATAGACGATATTTTCCAGGTCAATGCCTAAAATGACCAACAGAAAGATGTAGTGTTACATAACAAACACAATCATTTTCCTTTTTAACAGAGCTGACAATCCTGACGTCATTTGAACACAAGAGCAGCAATTATGCCTTTCAAAGCACATAACCAGAGCCTCGGGGACATTGTCATGTCAGCGGCAAACTGTGGCCGGCTTGGCGTCAAACCTAAGTATTTTAATTGAGTGCGCTGACCAATTTTTAACTATGATCAGAGCACAGATTATTTGTCCAATTTCTTTTGTTTTTGGCATCAACTGCTTCCTTTTGCTTCTGCTAGCTCCAGATCTTGCAGTTACCAGTAACAACAACAACAACAACAACAACAAAAGCACATGTTTTATGTTTTATGTAGTATCCGAAATTCTTAAACTGCATCATAACTGTTACACAGACAAAAAGTAATGGAGGAGAATGGAGCCATGACAGACCGGTTGCTTCTCTGAGGTCTTGAAAGAACTTCTGATTGAAGATGAAGGCCACGCCGCTGATCTCTTCAACTTTTGCCTCTGCCGTTGTGTTCCTGTTAATGAAGTTAGCAGTGATGGCGATGGCGAGCTTTCCCCGGAACTCCTTGCGCCGAAACCCTACAGAAAAGCATGGATGATTGAGGAAGGCCTCAAGGTTAGAAACCAGTAACTGTTCACTCCGTTAGTGAAGTAAAAGAACATAAATTAGAAATGTTAAAAATCACGCTACTTTTAAGCGCATACAATACATAGAATATCTAGAAGCATCTACAATTTCATGACATCGTCTGTCCTGCAGACCGCCTTCTCCAAAACAGTCGAATTAGAGGAGAAACACTCTTGTGCAAAGCTCCACTGAGGTCTCCATGTGTGCGTCCCAACACTCATAGGAAACAGACCTAGTTCAACAGTTCCTATTAACTGTGCTTGGAGAGCAAATACTGTCTGAAGTTGAACGTAGAAGCTAAGATGTACACAAATGCTCATTCGGCCGTGAGGAGCAGAGCGAGGTCAGGTACCCAACCACAGCTGCACACGAAGTGAGATCATAATCATTCTAACTGGCCTCCAACTCGACAAACAGTGCCGCTTCATTTAGTCAAATGCATTACTGATGCATTATTCCCAGTCTGCGCATGCAAACTCGCCTGGTAACGTGTTTCTCCTTCCATCTGCTCCAATGATGACATCAAACTCCAGCTCGCTGACGGGGTGTGTCCTAGGGTGGATCTCAGCTCTCCAGCCAATTCCTAAGAAAACACAGAATGTGTAATCGGACAGAAATGCATTAACAGAGTCGACACGCATAGGCTCTGACAGATAGTTTCATGCACTTTTGGACACATTTGGCAGCTGCTCCATTTACTAACTTTCACTTTCCTGATCTTCAGGAGGCTCAATAAGGCTTTTAAACTCTACGTTCACGTGGATCTCGATGCCCAGCAGGAGTGCCATTTTGAGAAGCATAAGCTGAAGCTGCCGAATACCTAGAACACACACAGAGAAAGAATATGTAAAATAACTTTGATATATTTTGTATTAGTACCAGTAGAAGAGCTCAAGAGAATCACGTCTACTCACTGATATGATCGATAGCACCAGCACAGAACTTCCCATAGAACTTTTTGGCCCCGAGACCCCTGAGATCCTGGATGGTGAAGGGCCAGAGGTGCAGCACATTGTTTCTAGAAAAGGCATCTCTCTTCTCCAGAATCACAACTTTGGCCCCCAGGAAAGCGAGCTCGATGGCTGTACGCAAGCCACATGGCCCCGCACCAATGATCAGACACTAAACAGAAAATGACACAGAAGCTTCAGACAGGTTTTAAGGAAGCAAGTCGAATCTATTCTTAACTTGCTTTCTTGCTCGACTCATAATCCACCTATTCAAGCTTCAGTGTGTAAAACCCCACACTAGCATCTAACACTCAACTTAATAAAACGGTCTAGCCTATAGCTGTTTAATAGGCTTTACCATTATAAGATACATCTATCTTCTACTATAATTATGAGCAACTCCCTAACTACAAAGCCCAAAGTGAAGACATCTTCGGCCTAGTGGAAGAAAAATAAAGATATCAACATACTGAGGATCATATTGTTCAGTCTGTTAGATGTGAATGGGAACAGGAGCCCAAGCTAACCACAAAATCCAGCTTTAAAACAAAACAACAACAACAACAACGATTTTCAAATTATGCTGCCTTACCTTTGTGTTGGCACAGGCACGGCCCTTTTTGTACTCCTTGTGGCTGGCCCTCTTGTCTAGCTTGGCCCAGAGGGCCTTGGCCTTCCAGTAGTTGAGTTTGGACTTGAGTTTGTGATAGAAGATCCTGTGATCACTGGGCTTTACTTCCAGGTGGTCACATAGCTCCTGGAAGGCCTTGAGAATGCCCTTACATGTGGTCGCCTGGACAAAGTTGTCAAACAGGACATGGGACTGATTCACCCCATCTCCTCCAGCCGCACCAGCACCTCCATCTCCCATGGTCCAGACTAACTCCCGGGCTATGAGGCCCCCTCACCCCCAGAAAGGGGCTTCTGGGTCCAGCCTCAGCTCTGGAAAAACCCTCTCTCTGCTAGAGAGCTTTAACTCCCAGCCTCAGGAATCTTCATTCTGTAAAAGAGAAAGAGCGACAAATTAAAAAGTATTAAAAAAAAACATACATATTGTTACAAATGTAACAATACTGGAAAAGAAAACATGAAAGATTATAGTTTTCTCACATGTGTGAAATGGAGAATTTTACAATGATGATTTGTTGTACAATATTTTACATCAAACACTTAATGTCCGGCCTCCAAAGCACTACATTCACAAATCCTACAGATGTGAATCTGCGATGAACAATTTCTGATCTGGCACAGTAAAAACAAACAACATTAATTAAAAACCACATCAGTTTATGTCATTCATGACCTGCAACTTCTTGAGTGTCACGTATGTCAATTCATCAAATGCCTCCATCCTGACCATTGTTTTAGAAGGAATATCTGATACGTACATATGTTATGATTCTGGAGACCCAGGAGAGTAGCTCAAGTTAACATATTCATTATTTTATGTTAAGTCTCTAAAGTGTTTGGATGTCTCATCTAACAGCAGAGGAAGCTGTGGAAACAATTTTGGAGGGAGGAGAGATATTTTATTTTATGCATACCGTCCATCTAATATTCTTTAAAAACAGTCCAAATCAGGCAAAAAACATTCCCATGATATTCCTCAGGTATAACACCAGGTACAAAATACAAAATTACCTTTTTTAAACTTTCTTAAGTTTCTGTGATCATTTTCTCAACAACAAGTATTTTCATCCCATATTTATTTATTTATTTATTTTTAATTTTGCACAAATCTTCCACCTGGAATTTTATTTTGATGAATTTGATGACCGAATGCTTCTTAGCAATCTATTTAACAGCACAACTATATTTTATATATGACGACTTCTGGCTACTGTCATTCCTCTGCAGCATCGTGACCTTAAACAACCCTTTGTATTTCTAAGCATGGAGCTGGACACAGGAAAGGTACCGACACAAAGCCAGACAGGAAACACACAGGGAGAAAGTGTATAGATGCGTCCTCGTGGCACAGACTCACTTCCAGACACAGGAAATGGTGGGTTCACTGCTAAATACACTGTGAAATAACACAACAACCCTTCTCAGTCAAGAAAATCATCTAGCTCTAATAAGGGTCTCTGAATAGCTACATGGATATACTGTGCACAGCTTTATTAAGCTATTTTTAACCGTTTTAACCTCCAGGGGTTAGAGATCATTCATGTTCACTGATGTCTGTAGCTTTGCTGTGATGAATGGGGAAGGCCCCGTCCATAACAAAGTGGATTTGGCAGTAACGTCTTCATCAGCTCTGACCAACATGGCTGAAAGTATACAAGGTAGATTAGAAGGATGGAAGACTATTATAAAAAGCTCAAATAAAAAAAATCAAGCACATTGACTTAAAAACCACCACACAGTTGATCCGGTTTGTTGGTGGTTCATTTGTTTTTAACCAAGCAGAAGCAGTGTTTTGCATTTGCTCCGAGCAGCGATGCAGAAACTTTTCTTGCCTCTTTAAAGTGAAAATAAGAAAGATTAAAGCAAATAATTACACTTCTGACGTGCTAGGAATAACTCTTGCTTACTTTCTTACAATGAGGACAGCTGACAGGACATAACATCTCATGTCTATAAGGTACATAAGCTCCAGGCAGGCTGTATGCTAAAGAAAGCATAAAGAATGGATGCGAGGGTGAACAAACTGGTGTGGCTTTGTGCACTCGGAACATAATCTGGCCAACAGCTGCTCTGGTGGTTCTTGCACTGCAACATTGTTTAGGCTGGAATACCTTTCAAAGTAATTATTCTGAGGTTAAACTCTGCTGTTTTGAGGATATTACTAACTTACTTACAAAAACATTATTTACAACCACCCGTTTAGATTTAAAAGCTCGAGCTTTGTTCTCCACTGTCCAGGATGCTGAGCTAGTTCGTGGAAACCAATGTAGCCCCAGTCCCAGTGGCAACACGTGATGAAAGGAAGGCAGGTACAGAGGTCAGCTGGCCTCCTTTTCACACACTGCCAACTCCTCACTGCAGTGAAAACAGCAGGCCTTAGTTTTGGCTCTGCCTCAGTCAGTCAGGAACACGACTATAAGGGAGCAGTGCTGACGCAAACAGAAAGAGCCCTTCACCAGAACAGCCAGCCACACCATTTCTTCTTTGCCTTAACTTGTAGTGTACTTTAT